TGCGGTTTTGAGAATATACCCCCTTCTCTTTCACTGGTACCTTGAACAGCTGCTTGGACTACCAGGAGAACTTGAAATCGGCTAGCTTTCTCAATCTCTTTGCTGATCCGCTGGATATTTTGTAAACCGTAGTGCTCATGGTTTATAATATTTAGGGCCTGGAATTGGAGTTGCTTTTGGAAGTCATCTACCAAAATGGACCGATCGAAATGGACTCGAACTGGAATTGTCCCGATCGTCGGCCCAGCGATCCTCTCTATTCCAGAAACAGGAGCTTGTCTACCGCTCACTGTTGCCCCAAATGTGATGTCGTCTGAATTGGAGTAGGAAGCAAGTAGGATTGCAAGAGCCGAACGAATTACCGTAGAGGCAGTAATGCCAGATGGCCACTGTAGCCCTCCGATCAGGAGATCGAGTTCAGCCTTGGTTTGTGGAGTAAAGTTGATCGGTGGGAATGTGGAGGGCAAAGACCAATCAAGTTGCTTTGTCCAGAATTCCACAGAGTCGGTTACGCTCCTAGTTGTGATATGCTTGATAAAGAGTTGAAAAGGGTGGAGTGGTTGTTGTTCCGTGCCTTGGTAGGCTGACGCTATTGCATCCATAATAAGCACATTACACCAGCGATCAAATATTGCATGATGTATTTCCGATAGATAGTAACACTTGCCGCCATCCTGCACGATGCCAGCTCGAAACAGGCGTGTGCCTAAGCCCATCGGGGGGGCATCTTCCAAGAACGAGGCGATATCGGGGTATTGTCTCAATGATAAGACCTCGTCGATTACGACCTGAACCAATCCCTCTCCGGGAACATCAACTATCCTTGTTCGAGTTATTGGTGTTGATTCAACTATAGTCGTCCACGCCATCTCAAAACGATTCACGTCAATATTGGACGGCAACTCGAATGCAGTTCTTGCTACATAGTTTGCAGTCGACATGCTGGTTACTAAGTGGTTGGGCCTCTCGCTCTTGGCAGTCATGGCTAGCATTCCTTGCTGAAGGGGAGTGCAAGGGAAAATATCTTCAACAGATGTTGTGTCAAGATGACAAATCTTGGCGACGTGTTCGCGCAGCAGAGCCTCGGTGCTTTTGTTGTTCAGCAAGGCAAACGGCTCAACATTTTCGATACCAGAGAAGTCTCCGCGGGTCAGTGACTGTGCCAGATCTCGGAGGATTGGGGTGTTGAATAAGTCTGCAACACTCATCGCTAAATTCCTTTCGCGGGCAGCGGCGACAACAAATATGGCGGTAATGGAATCGCCACCAAGACGAAGGAAGTTGTCCGTAGTACTGATACGATTCGGGTCCAACCTCAAAGCAGTGGCCCAAATCTGTACCAAGTGCTGTTCTATGGTATCAGATGGTGCTTTGTATTGCACTGAGGAGAAGATAGTCGCTTGGGCGGCAATAATCTCATCCCATGTTAAAGCACTAGCCATTTCGCGAAGAAGCCTCCTGTCCGACTTCCCAGTGGCTGTGATCGGGATTTTTGCCACAGGAAAGTAGATTCTGGGGATCATGAAAGCTGGAATGACTTCCTTCAGCTGTTCAGCAAGACCGTCCATGGCTTGCTTGATGTTTCGAATATCTTGACCTTCCAGTTCAACGAAGACACTCAACGAACGGTCTTCACTTCCACCGCCGTGAGGAGTGATGACATCCACGACGATGTGAACTCTTCTCGGGAGACAGGCACGAACGTGGTGCTCAACATCACCAATTTCGATTCTCTGACCCCGGATTTTGAGCTGAGAGGCGTCCTTGCGGCCAACGAACAATAAATTACCATCGGCGTTGTACCGAACGAGGTCACCTGTCTTATATAAACGGCCATGTCTGCCGGCGTGATGCATGCTTCCAGCAAGAAGCCAGGCTGGATCCGTGACAAAAGCCGCATTTGTCTTTTCCAGATCCCCTATATACCCCTGGCCAACAAGGGGTCCCTCAAGGTACAGTTCTCCCACAGATCCGATGGGGGCAAGCTTTTCGCTGTTGTCTGGATCCACAATCCACGTAGAGAAGCCAACGCCGGTCCCTATATCCGGACGAGACTCAACCGAAGGCGTAAGAACTGAAAAGGCGCATTTGAATGTACATTCAGTTGGGCCATAAGCATTCAGGAGCCTCACACGGCCAGCCCACCGGGTTATGTTGTCCGGATATGGCATTTCACCGCTGAGGAGAACCGTCTCAAGGGACAGCGGAATCGGGCTGATCGTCCTCAATACGGTCGGCGTAACATTGATCAACGACGCCTTGAATGCGGTTATCGAGGACGACAGGTCACTTAGCATATCTTTCTCGGATGCAACGCAAAGGCACCCCCCTGAGCAGATAGTGTGGAGGAAATTACTCCATGCAACATCGAAGGAGTAAGGAGCGAAATCGAAAACCCTTAGGCCACGGCGGAAGCCCAGCTTCTCGCCTTGGTAGAACACAGCACTTCTCACATTTGCATGGCTAATGCAAGCGCCTTTGGGCTGGCCAGTACTTCCGCTACATGTAAAGTTAATGGTTTAGTCATAAGTGCAGGACCTGGGGCATAACTCACGAGGTGAAGGATATGTAAACGATATCTGATGGGGAGATGATGTAGGGCAGATGGAAGATTGTCCATTTCGAGGATTTTGGGTTCAGAAGCGTGTCATCAATTTGGATAACCGGGACGTTGGCAAGAGAGGTTGCTCTCTGGTAGTGTTCTGGTGACGCAAGTATGACCTGGGGGTATACTTGCTCAAGAATGGAGAGTAATCTCTTGTCTGGCTGCGTAGCATCCAGAGCTACTGCGATGCAGCCGACCTTGATAATGGCGAGCATGCTAACAGAGGTCCATCGCGACTTGGAGAAAAGCAAGGGCACGACAGATTTGTGCTTTACGCCATGCTGAAGGATCGTGTTGGCAACACAACTCGCCAATTCATCCAGCTGGGAGTATGTGAAGTCCCCATCCCACGCACAAACAGCCAAGGCATCTGGTTGACTGGTGGCTATCTCGCTGACAAGATGGTGCACACAGCTCTGCACCTGCTCATGTCTGGTTGCGTTACGATCCCAGATCTGGTCAATATCACCAGCAGATTGCGAGACGTCGATTGAGGTCTGTAGGGAGATAGAAGACACGCTGGGGGATTCTTCTGAGGAGGTGTCCCCTGCCGAAGATGACACAATTGATCCAGCGGCCATACTTGGTGGAGAGATGACACGTCTAACCATCAAACGCCTTCCTTCGATCTACTCTAAGAATGTTGACGGGGGAGACACCAACCATATGGCGATGGCGACTAGCTTTTTGAGTCAGCCAGATGCATTATGATGTATCTGCCCCGGGAGCAGCTTTGATGCCTTGTACCCACGTACATGGTCATGGGTTCTCATTTGGCAGTGAGGGGCTTGGCACAGGTCAGGATCTTCTCAGGTAGCATTCGTACTGACTAGTCTCAGCCAGGCCACGGAGGTTTCAAAAATCGGATCTCATGTGGACGCTTGTAGGGCCTGCATGAGAAGCCCGCAAACGAGGTATCTACAGTAAAGATGACGCTCAAGCACCGGTACCCCTTGACTACGACGGAACGATAAACTAGGCGAAGGAGGTTTGCAAACAAAGACACCTCGTATTCGGAACGAAAACACCAGAGGCATTCCGAAGGAGTAGCCAATAGCCTTGACGGCTTGAACTGGTGCAGCTCCAAACGACGAACGAGCTGCGTGGGAGGGCATGGTTCGATATCGTGTCTGCACATCCTCAGGCGAGTCTAACCAATTCTCAAGCCGCTCTCAGCTCGCCTGAAAATGGCTGGCTGGTGCAAGGCGGCCCGTGCAAGGCACTTTTGGCTCTGAGTTCCCCGCAAAAGCACGGCACGGCACGGCGCTTAGGCGACGATAGGCCGAGGCGAATGTTATACTTCGTGCACCGAATCAAGGCTAATAACTCCAAAAGGCGGCCTCGATGCTTCTGTGTATCTAATGAGGGACCAGGGTGATTCAGGCCCATCTGCTAGTCCACACCCCATTCGCTGACGCAGGTCGTGCTATTTCCCCCTGTCCTGCCCAAGCATCTCTCAGGGTCGCATTGAGATCTGCAGTAACTGTCCCGTTGCGTCGTGACTGGCATCCAGTAACCCTGATGTGCGTCCCAGCCACTGTCGGTAGATGTGTGAAACCGCCCCTGCGCACACAATAGTCTGCGTGTGGCCACATCGGACGTGTAGTACCCAGATCTATATTCAACGTTGGTGCACCTATATGCGTGAAACCCTAAAATTGCGGTAGGCCAAGAAGCATCCATGGCATTACGTCTGACCACTGCATGTCTCAGTCAGCTTGCTCTGGGCGACATGCTTTCCTTCGTTAGTTTGACAAGACGGCACTTGGCATAAGCGCAAATCGCCCATAAAGGGGTATTGGCGTCTGACAATGCAGCTGAACTGACTCATCAGTAAATCAGGTCGCTGTTTTCCCGCCTGCAGTCGATAGTGAACCAACTCGCAGCTGAATTCCGCTGAGAATCCTTGTGGCTAACCAATCGGACGTCATTAATCACCCATTCCGCCTCTAGAGACGGCAGATCTTTGCCGATAATTGGTTACTTATCGTCCAGTCCAATAATGTGGAGGACCCTGAAAGACATGCATGTAAATGGCGAGCAAATGGCGGTGGCTAGATATCCCGAGCGGGTGATGTCACTGCTACCAGTCTTTCTTTCTTTGCTTTTCTTTTTCCTGCATTGCGTTGAACATCTTTCCAGAATGGAGTGTGTAGCTACACGAAGCCGATCCTCTCGCGACAGCAGATTTGAAACCCAGAATTCTCGTATTGCCCCTTGGCTACCTCTTAACTCCGATCAGGTCTATAACTGTTCGTTTCTTGGCTTCTAGAGCCTTGTATCTTACATTACTGTTCTTACAAATCCTCCATACTCCAAGTCAATGATTTGACCAACACGCCGTATGATTTCAGGCCAGCGATATAATAACGTTTGATCAAAACTACTTCTCGTCATGATTTCCACCACAGTCAGCACAGAACGCGCTGTTGCTTCCATCTTCAACTCAGCTGTCGCTGCTGGAGCAATCGGTGCTGCCTGGGAGGTGGGATTACTCGATGCCGTAAGATCCCAGAAAAGAGTGAGCATCGAGCTCTTTGCCAAGGAACGAGATCTAGACCTTGACTCAATGCACGGGCTAGCCACAACTCTCGTTGTGGCTGATATCCTAGAGCGTCAAGATGATTCCCTTATCCCAGGTAGACTGATGGATGAAGCATACCGGAATAAGTCCCTCTTTCATTGGCTCTGCCTTGGCTCTGGCGGACTGTTTTCTAAAATGCAGTACGTGCTTCAGAACAAGAATCGTCAAGGCGAATTCTACGAACGCGATAGCGTTGCTATCGCGTATGCTTGCCATGACATCAACAAAGAGCACTTTGATCCTTACTTTTGGGAAGCCATGGATGGACTCGACTTCAAAATCAACACCGTGGTCGACCTGGGAAGCGGAAGCGGCCAGAGGCTGATGCAAATCCTGGACAAATATCCAGGCACCTCCGGAATTGGCATTGATATTGCTGGACCAGCCACCAAGGTCGCTGAATCTCATGGCAGAGAGCGAGGCCTGGGCGACCGCTTGTCGTTTGTTGTAGAGGACGCGACAAACTTGAGCTACCAGCAGGAATTTGAGGACGTCAATTTGGTGACCAGCTTTCTCATGGGTCACGACTTCTGGCCCCGTGAGAACTGCATCGCGTCCATGAAGTGCCTGAAGAAGGCTTTCCCTAATGCTCGTCGCCTTCTGTTGGGAGATACCACTCGTGTCTTACTACACCCTGACGGGTCAGAGAATAGCGTTACTGAAGACGATGTGCCAATCTTCACTCTTGGCTTCGAATTTGGGCACGCAATGATGGGGACCTATCTGCCTACGGTAATGGAGTGGGAGGGTGTTTTTGATCAAGCAGGATGGCGATGTGTGAAGAAGCACGTGGTTGATTCATCCTATCCCTCTATCATCTTCGAGTTAGAACACGCTTGATTCCACTTATTGCAACGTTCGAGATGATGGGTTCGTAACTCGTCCTGATACCGAGCTTATTGCCGATTATTAGGTAGTTAATAACAGTATCTATTGTTGCTGCCATGCTAATGCTATAAAACTTATATCAATTTATTGAAATGCAATATCACACACAAGGTCACTCACAACATGGGTAGATGAACGGTCGAGATCGATACACCCCACTCTCTATATATTCTGCCAGGGACTTCTATCGAAGGTCCAAAATTTACCACGATATGTAGTGTTCTAGAGATCCGTACTTGTTCGCATACTGAACCTTGGCCTGCCTGTCCCCTGACTCCAGCTGCACTTGAACCGTCCTCACTCGCCTCTTCACACGGATCTCATGTCCCGATAACACCGGTTTCCCATTTTCTTCAACATCCACAAGAATCTTAGCCACACGAGCCGCCAAGAAACTATTCCACACACCTTCTTGCATTTGATCAGCCAGCATTATCGCAATGGCCTTACGGCGCACCAGAGGGTCTCGGCAGCGCGCGATCAACTGAAAGAGCACGGGCGTGACACCAATCTCCATATGCCAGGATGCTTTGCTGGAGTCCCCAGAATCGGTGTCATCCGTGTCAAGTCCCACCGCAACAGCAGCATACGGAATCATCTCCTCGAAGTCAGCTACGTACTGATCCCAGAAAAAGTCGTCATCCATTGATTCTGTATCGTGTGCCAGTCGAGCCAGATTAAGGCTCAAGTTTCGCTTGTGGAGCTCCAAGAGAGCAATGCCTCGTTTTTCGGTATTGCTAAGACTCTGGGTGGAAAGTCGAGACACAAGACTGTTGAATGATTGGATCCACTGCTGTATTTGTTCAGCGTAGCAGATTCGATCAGATCGCAATGTGGACAGCATGGAACTTCTTATGATGATGTTTAGGAGCGTTTCCCTTGCAGAGACAAGAGTTCTGAAGTTAAAGGGAGAGGGGAAATCGCTGTTACTCGATCGAGCGTGAAAAGCTGTGGACAATTCAGGAGACACGTCACCAACAAGCTTTTGGTAACCACTATCAATATAATTCTTGAGTTCTAGGGCATGGCAGAAACATACCATTGATATCTGGACCGCCAAGCGCTTGAAGAACGCTTCAGCTAGGTAAAATGTGCGTTCCATGTCAGTGCCTGACCGCAGCCGAGACGCCTGTGTCCTCTTCAACTGCCACATCATCTCGCATCCGTGTTTAAAGAGGTTTATTGCAGATTTTATCTTGCCACGTAGAATCTAGTAGTAGGTGTTAACTCACAACTATAAATCAAGAAAGGAGAAGCCGGCTAACCTCAATAGATATGAAGATAAGACAGGAGAGCACCTGTAAATGAGGCTCCGGGTGTCGAGACGTTCCATCAGAACAACGAGTCAGCTCTTTAATTGCCATATTGTATTGGGAAAGAGCAAACTCAGAGCTCTCGCTGCCTTGTGGGTAGAGAAATTCATGATGATACGAAGCTAAGGCGACTAACCCATGGCGAATGGAGCTCTCGGACCGTGCGAGTTGAAGAGCTCGAGTGTGCCACAAATCGTTAGGAAAGAACGCCTGAAAGGATAACAAGGTTTTTTCTACGAAAAATTGGAGATACAGCGATTCTCCGCTATTCGGTGCGTTGACGCTGAGACTGGGCCGGGGATTGCTGTAACCGAGTCCTCGGGTTGAGACCTCAGCTTCATACCCGTCGCAGCGACGGCCAGTCGAGGTACCTGGAGTGAAAGAAGAGCTTAGCCTATATCTCTACAGAGGAAAAATTGGCCTGTCAGAAAAAGCTTACACCTAAGACACGCTGGGCGGCCTTCATCGCATTTCACACGTCGGACTGCGCAAGGGAGAAACAGGAATCAGCACACGCTTCCAATACAAAGCCGAAAGTTGGAGAAGTACTTCTGTAGTACATACTTGATTAGTCCTTCTCTGTAACGAGCAGCATCTATAATTATGATTTACTGACTTGCATGTCCTGCAGCCTGATCGGACCTTTGGAGCGCGGACGCGTTGGCGATCTTCCACCCTGACACGTGGCATGGCGACTTCAAGTTGAAAGAATAACCAAAAAAGAGATGACGTGTATAAGATTTCTTCCGTAAATTCCTGGTGGTGCCTGCAACTGCTTCAATTGCCGGTGTCAAATGCTTTGCAGGTTGCGGCATCTCATCTCGACCGTTTGTTTTCAAGATATACTCCCACCAGCCGAAATGGGGGCCGATGGACTCATCCGGCAATTGGCTTGCTCGTATGGACATCTCCACCAGACCCACTTGCCGCACGATCTCGCCCCCAAACGCTCGTTTCCGTGTCTGGCCAAAGCTGTATGCCAAAGGCGAGGATCTGCAGGGGTAGGACGGTGAGGCACAAGGCTTGATTACGTCGTCCAGGCGAAGGTAGTACGGATGCATATATCAATGCCGGGACAGTGCCTAAAATAACCATAAGCAAACAATCTCAAATGGTGTGGGCCGTGTGGAGGTGGCCTTACGAGCATTCGAATGGCAGCCTTGCAGTTACATCTCAGGATTGAGGATTTATGACATCGAAAAGGTATATAATCAATAGCAAGATCACACGAGTTTGGTCCAGATTCAAACCTCACATCCTACATTAACGCTAAATCCACAGCCCTCGCAACCGCTCAAAATGCACCCCAGCTTCATAACCTCAGCCTTGACGGCGTTTAGCGCTCTTGTAATTGGGTCTACCGCTCTTCATACCACAGGGAATGATCAAGTTGTCAAATACGCTATTCACAAGGTGCGAGTAACACAAAGCAATTCTTCTCATGCCGTTTCCATCGGTACTGCAAACCAGAATTGGCTCTACACAGTGGAACGTAGGTTCTCCTTTCACTCTACCGCTTCCGACCTTCACAACTAACATGTATTTCAGTGTCGATAGGAACACCTCCTCAGAAAACTCTCGTTCAGTTGGATACAGGCTCTAGCGAGATGTGGGTCAATGCCAACTGCAGTGCCGCTCCAACTGCGCTCAATCAGAAGGAATTATGTGACAAAGTGCCTGTATACAAAGTCAACGACTCCAGCACGGCGACTGGACCCTTGCGTTCGAGCCAGATTCAATACGGAGTAGGCGAACAATTAACGGGAGTGAGGTTTAACTACTATAAAGATACCGTGAATATTGGAGGTAAGCGTTGCAAGTCCGAAACCACACCGTCATCTTACCTATAGCCAATCAAGGAATCGAGATCAAGGAACAAATTTTCGGTGTTGCTTGGGCCAGTGCCAACGTTCCAATTGGGATCTTGGGCCTCGGTCCCGATTTGGATCGGGGATTCGCTCTCAATGAGTCTCATCCACTCGTCCTCGATGCAATGGCCCAATCAAAATCCATATCAAGCAGAGTCTACAGCGTTGGCCTTGGCGGCGCCGATGAAGTAGAGGGTAGGTACATTTTTCCCGTTTCTTCCTACCGCTGCAATCCGTGCTGACTGATGAATAAGGATCATTAATATTTGGAGGCATCGACAAGGGGAGATATACCGGTTCGCTAGAGAAGCTTCCCATTGTAAAAAGCACTGAGGGTAAATCGAGGCAAGTACCTCATGCTCAGCTTCATATTTCTATCCAGTGCGACGAGACTAACCGCCTAATCAGACTCACTGTCGATCTTTCTGCATTGAGTATACATGGAAAAGGCAAATCCCGCGAGTATGACATTTCCAATCAAACCAACGTCTTGCTTGACACCGGTTACACAATGTCAAAGTTGAACCAAAAGCTGGCCGAGCAGATTCACACAGATATCGGGGCCAAACTAGATGAGAGCCTTGGGTACTATGTGGTGGATTGTTCAGTACGAGACGTCGACGGCGGCCTTGATTTCAAATTTGGTAACAAAACTATCACTGTCCCATTCCATGAGTTCATTTTCACGGCAGAGGGGATCTGTGCCGCCGGATTGGAACCCGTAGAGGAAGGCCAGCAGCAAGTGCTGGGACTGAGTTTCCTCAGAGCCGCATACGGTGAGAAATATCTCGAGCATATTCACTCAAAACATCGGCTAACTTGACCTACAGTGGTTTTCGACTGGGACAATGAAAATGCTCATCTGGCACAGTTGGCAAATTGCACCTCGGAGATTGTGCCAGCTACAGCCGGGCCAGATGCCGTCCCATCCGTGGTGGGAAATTGCGAAGCGACTCTGTCAACCACGAACGTTTCCTCCGCGGCGACAAGACTAGAAAGTGTGGCTATGCTCATGTTTGCACTAGTAATAGCGGCGGTTCTTGAGTAATTTCTGTAGCTTGTTCAAATCCATAGATCGAACCCTATATTTGTTAAGATTTAATCAAATTACCCAGGGTAGAGCAAGTGGAAGAATCATTCATCTACCAAAAATAACGAAGACCTTCATTGTTTGATAATTTATTGTTTGATAAATTATCACGCTCACAACTTGGCTTGAGTATAAGTCACAGTATTCCCAATTTCGCAATACTATCTCAAGACATAGAATTTCGTTGAGCATAATTGAATCTCTTCTCACATAAACTATTCATGATTCGCTCCAGATTTTTGAAGGTAAAAATTATTCGTAAATCATTGCAATATCTAGCTATCATACCCAGTATGCGGGTGCCCTTGATCTACCTCTACGATCATATTGACGTTCGGCTCGGGGCACAAAGAGGTCATAAACTGCGCGCCAAAGATGATCGACGATTCTTTCGGTCATATCTGGCTCGGATCGGCCCTTTCTTTGTGCAGACCGATCAGTGTCAGAAGCTCCGTTTTCGTTTCCCCTTTGTCGACGATGCTCACTATTGTCTCCCTCCCGAGAACTGCTGTGACGTTGTCTTCTCCCAGGGACAGCCGATTCTAGGTCTTGGGCCCGGCTGTGTCCCCTCTTCACATTCCTCGCCCCCTTTTCGCTCTGATTCGAAGACTCATTGGTCGGTGGCGATGACATCGGTAAATGTGTCAAGATCAGACAGCCAAAGTAGCATATCAAAATAATAGGCAATTGCAAAGGTGAGTTGATAAAGCTGGAGAGCATGGACGGGTTCAGCTTGATGGTGGCTACAAGGCTGAGGCCAGTTCCGGTAGTGAAAACGATGGCTGCACGGAGCATATCAAACTGCGACCAACCGCGCCTTTTGGCCAGAATATGCAGGATCATCAATAGCATGAGAACAATCCCAGCGCTGACGAACAAGTACGCAAACTGCAGAACCGAGTCAGTCGACGACTCACATGTCCATGTATTGAAGAGCAAACTTACAATAGTATGAAGCCGGACCGATGTAGAATTTACAGCAGCAAGTTCTGCACTCTTCCAATCCGTCGTGCCAGAGTCTTTCTTGTCTTCAGACGAGAGGCCAAATGCCTTGCTAACAGAGTTCATGGTGGTTCTTGACACACCAAGATAACTATCAACCCAGGTTCGGTAATTAGGGTCGCTGCTATTCTTCATCCCCTGGTCCCAAAAACTGCTTGGCAACCCTTTGATGTCGTCAAAGGCGGTGTCGAGGTCCTGCGAATTCTTGCTCCCATCCTCGGGATCTGATCCATACTTCTTCAGGATGGAATACGCCGTGTCTTTGAGGGCTTCGGCTACCTTGGACGAACGAGTAGAATCCCTGTCGGTAATGCTGTCGTTCACACTGGCCTCAAGTTTTGCCTCCACTTCACGGTAGGACTCGATGGCTCGCCACCATACAGCCCATTGACTGCTCCCTTCGGATAACAGCACAAGAACTGCATGGAAAGGAAGGTGAATCAGTGTCCAGGCGGCGTGTCTCCAGGGCGTCATATGCGGATGGTGATGCTCCTGCGGCATCCAGTCGAAGTAGAGCTGGTATGTAATGTAAATAATTGCTCCAGCGGAAAAGAGCGTACCAACCAGAGCGGGGGCTGGTATGAGGTCAGTTCCGCGATTTTTCACGATGAAGGAATTCGTAATGTATGGTTTACTTACACCAGTAAGTGGAAATACCCTTGAGATAGGTATACTCTACAATCTTAGCTGCATTTTTTGCTAGAATGATGATGCCTATTTGAAACATCAGCCATGTACGAAAGTCAAAAAAGAAAGAAGCATAATACGTACCTTCTCCAAGTACAATTAATGTCAAGAGGTTCAAGCGCTCATTGAAGTGGGTGCCTTCAAAGCTGAGAGTCTTAGAGAGCGTAGCATGAAGAATTCCGCCCAATAGCTCAAGTAGACCCACGACGTACCAAACGACAATAACATGTCGATTATTGCTCGTATCCGAAATGATGCCCACTATCAGGTAGGCAATTGCAGGAACAAAAGTAAGAGTAGCCGCAACCACAAGAGCCCTGCGACCTCTCTTGTTATGGCGTACCCCGTACAATACAAGACAGTACTGTGCGGTGAGCACCAATCTCGAGAGCACCAGAAAGAGAGCTAAAAATGTTAACAAGGTGCGAGAAAAATAAGAAGAATTCCCAATCACATACAAAGCGCCTTAATAATAGACCTAATAAGTTCTTTCCGATCGAAAGCAGCCCCGGCAATAACGAACCCGATCATGACGGTAAGGTGGCATGCCCGGGCAATACGTGGAAGTATCCCATCGTGGATGAATCGAGCATCAAAGGTTGTCGTAATGAACCAAGTATTCCATAACAGTCTGGCAAAGCGGTTAGTCAATTACGCATCGCTGCCCGTGTCAGAGAGCGACTCACAGGAAGTAGCCGACAAATGACACGAGCGCATCTACTTCGGTGATTGGATGCACGGTCGCAAAGACGGTGAGGTTGGCAACGAACCACAAGTCGTAAAAGAGCTGTAGGAAAAGGGATTCGTCAGTCACCAGGTTTTGGCGTCAGATGAGAATTTAGTTGTAATACCTCAGACGTTGTTGCCGATTCTCTCTGTATCTCAAGATTAGCAAACGTGACTGGCTTCTGATTTCGTTATATCAGCCGCAGAATTCTTACACACCCTGTCAAATTGAATCAAGGACCCTTCCTCATCCTCTGCAAAATCATATTCGGCAGGGCGTCGACGACGATTTCTTTCACGTCGGCTGTTGCCGCCATTCCCGTCATCGCGTTCCCACAATGGGCTTCGGTTCAGGCTGTGGCTGGATTCGGGTGGCGTTGAGGATGAGCGCCCGCCATTGTGGCGGTGTGATGCCGACATGATCAGCAGTCAAAATCAACAATGACGGGTAATGGTAAATGAAAATGAAACCAAGCCGCCAAGAGAAAAATCGATGTGGAGCGAGGGAATATGAATGCAGCTCTCAAGAATAAGTACGATCAGAGGCGTCCAAACTCAGGGCTGGCATTCGCATCAGGCATGAGCAAAGACATGCATACGAGCCAGACACATCCCAATAGGCACGGCAAGGCGGCATCTCAGGCGGTCAAACAACAAGCCCTCGGTGTCGGTCAGGTCATCACCCATCGAGCCCAACCTCGTTTCCAGGGGTGCAGCCCTGGCCCGCGGTGGACAGCACAGGGCATCCATACGCCATAATACAGGTGGCGCCCTCCATTTTACAGCCTGAGATCGTATTGCATAACGCGCCGGGCTGCCAGCATTCCTGGGCGAACAAGTGTTTGTTTCACGGCCTGCTCCGTGGCACAGTCCCAGCCACCAGTTCTCCTGAGCGAGTCCCACTGTGGCTCTGCGACAACGTCATCCGCCAAATAAGCACACGGCGTCCCCTAGGTTTAATCTACTTTCCTTGCCATTTGCTACGCCAAACATAATTAAATGGCTGAGTGCCTCCTTGAAAATATGGCAAGGACAGTGCGCGGTGGGATTTCTTTTTTTAGGTAATCGCGCATATTAGTACCAGTAACCAGCTGAAACAGACCAGAACCGGTGGGCTCATTATATAAGCGGGAAAAGGGGGAGTGAGAGGGGAGAGAAGGGAGAGAAGGGAGAGAAGGGAGAAGAGGGAGTGTCTCGACTACCCTAGACCCAGAACACTCCCGGCCAGTTCTCACCCGAAACGGCGCGTCAAACGAGTCAGGCATTGTAAATGCTGTTCAAAAACATCTCTAGTTCATAAAGATAACAGACGGCGAATCAAGAAACGATCTGCTAATTCTTTTGCAAAAACTTCTTATCTCTCAGGAGCGATACTAATCGTTCTTGGGGATGGGGCTAGAATGTCACTGAATGTTACCATCCCTCGGCCATCATTTAGCCTTATGTTCAATAATCACCTTTAAATAGTGCATACAAATATTCTACTCCTTCCAAACTTCAGATAAGTCTATTACTGATTCCAACAGCTAATTACCTACCCGGGCTGTCCGACCATATTTAATCAATGACCCCAGAGCTACGACTGTCACTGACCCGTCTCGGGGCTCACTTTTTGGCCCGAAACTCTCAAGCCATCGGGGCAAGAACTAAGTGGGGCCGAGTGACATTATTCTACCACCTCCCCTTAGTCATCGAATCATGTCCCTTGGTAAGACTCACTCTCATTGGTGGACTGCCTCACTGCTATCAGACCCTCCGGATATCGTATCTCGAGCCGTAGTGCGGCAAATACAGGGACCGACAACGGCAGGCAGTTATCGTGAGATTGAGATTGGATTTGGAACGCTCATTGGAGGGCCGTTGACACAGACTCCATAGACCTGGCTCAGGTCTCGAACCTGTCGTAACCCCCGTGGGGAAGCACTGATAAGCAAGCGAGGAGGAGGACTTGACAAATCAGATGAGCGATTGTGTATGATGTGCATTATCTATCTATCTATCGATTTTGACAGCGTATACCTATATAGCAACGTCGTCTGGCCGGATTTGTTTCATCTCAACAAATTGCCATACCGAATTAATTGAAGAAAATTGACGTCATGGTTGATTGGAAGGCTCTGTTTTCGCCGGCACCATCGCTGGATGTGCCTGGCTTGGAGACGGTCGATCTCACCGACAAGGCGATGGAAAAACGCATTGTCCGCAAGCAGGATCTGCGTATCCTGCCCTGGATCTGTGTGACATACCTTCTGAGTGAGAACAGTTCCTGAGATAATATGAACGAAGTCCGCGATGTATTGACAATTTACTTAGACTACCTCGACCGAGTCAACCTTGGCAACGCCCGTACGCTCAATAACGACACTCCCGAGGATAACATCGTGACGACACTCAACCTCACTGGCCAGCGATACAATGTCGCCGTCGCTCTTTTCTTCGTGCCCTATGTTCTGATGGAGTTCCCTTCCAACATCATGCTCAAGTATTTCTCCCCAAGCAAATGGATCTCCCGTATCATGGTCTCCTGGGGCATCATCACAGTCTGCACTGCAGCCGTGACAACTTATGGTGGCCTGCTTGCTGTCAGAATCTGTCTCGGATTGGCTGAGGCTGGCTTCTTCCCCGGTATCATGATGTATCTCTGTTTCTGGTACAAGCCTGAGGAGCGGGCCACGCGCATGGCCATATTCGCTTCTTCCATCGCAGTCGCGGGTGCTTTCGGCGGCTTGCTGGCCACCGGCATCTCATTCCTCAACGGAAAGTCTGGACTAGCGGGATGGCAGTGGCTGTTCGTCCTCGAAGGAATCCCCGCCGTCATTGTCGGAGTCATGGTCTGGTTCATGCTGCCCGACTACCCCCAAACAGCTTCTTGGCTGACGGCCGAAGAGCGAGCTTTTGCGGTAAAGCGCCTTGGCCCCTATGCGCCATCCATGACCGACAAGCACTGGGACAGTAAGGTTGCTAAGAAGACTCTCGCTGATCCATTCTTCTGGCTGTTCGCCGCTCAGTACTTCCTCATGACAAACTCCCTAAATGCATTTGGTTACTTTGCCCCCACCATTGTCGCATCGTTGGGCTTCCAAGGCTACAACGCGCAGCTTCTCACTGTGCCTCCCAATGTTTTCGCCATGATCATCATCGTTGGCGTCTGTCTTCACAGCGACAAGACCAAGGAGAGATCAAGGCATGTCATTGGAGGGCTCATTTTTGTCTCTATTGGATACCTGCTCCTCGCTGTCGTGAAGCACTGGGGTGTGAGGTACTTTGCGGTCTGCATTATTGCCTGCACCAACGCAGCCGTCCTTCCTTTTGTCGCCGTATGTTACTTAACCCCCTGCCCCTACAGCACATTTGGACGTATGCTAACCCTGAACAGCACCGTACTGCGACCGTGCAAGGGTCCGTGGCAACTGCTCTCGCAACAGGCGGTATGATCTCCATCGCCAACTGCGGCGGGATATCTGCCCCTTTCCTCTTCCCAAGTGCCCAGGGACCCATGTACAGCATGGGCAACTGGACCGTGTTTTCATTCCTCATTGCTGCTGCTGTGATGACGGGCTACACGTGGTACGTGTTTGGCAGTCACTCCGGATACAGGACTGGAGGCAAGGATGAGAACGGAAACATGGAGGTCCTGGACGCAGAAGGGGAGGACCAAGATGAAATGATGAACAAGGCGCTCGGGATCAAGAAGGCAGATGATGATGCTGTATGATGAACTACGAAGGGATTGCAGTATGAATACTTGACGAGAAGTGGTCACAAAAAAGCGTCGCCATAGAGAGTGCGTAATGAAATGTTCAAAGTTTGAGATCCAAGAGTCTCTAGCAAAAGTAAGTAGACTTTATCAGACCGGTATTGAAACATGCTAGGTCACACGGGCAGCAAAGCGCGCTCGTTAGGACAAAGTACTTAAGTTTTGAATGAGTGTGAAATAGTACCAAACTAAGGATAGGGTGAAGAGGGTAAAGTTTCAAGATGTTGCACTCTCTGTACCCTCCGTCTTCTATCTTCACTCCCCCTCGACAGTCTCGCATTTACGGGCAACAACGGCTCGGATCACTGCCAGTCAGAGCTTGAGTTGTTTAAGAGGCTCTAACCCGGCGTGCGAGGAATCGTGGGGCTTCCAAGGCGGCATCATCCCCATACAGAAAATGCGCTGGGAGGATGAACAGGGTTCCATAGCACACAGCATCAGTAAGTTCACAGTAGATTGCAGTTTGATCTTTCGGATAGTTCTTGATCCTCCCCAAGTTTTGGAGATTTTTGGTGTACCCAAACAGCGCAGCCCCAGCAACTCGGTTTTGGACAGCCGACGCGAGTTCAGATATGGCGACGCCCACGACAGCTGTCCCTTGGCTGTGGTGGCAATTAACATGTGGCTGAGTTTGTGCACATATATTTAGATGGGCTTACCTGTAGCCGGCTGCCACAACGGGAGTATTGGGGCATTTGGAGTAAGCGAGTTCGAAAAGTCGCTTTGCTTCGTTTATGGATGCCCGGTTTGTTCCATCGGGAAGGAAATTCGATGCCAGGTCTGCAATGTACGGACCGCCCACGCCTTGGATCCATATGTTGCTGAATTCTCTCTCAAGCGCGCTTGCCAAGATTGGGCCGGCAGTGGCTCCCTAAAAAGAATTATTAGAAGAGACACGTAACCGTTCACCGAGTGGCGGGGGGCATGCACCATATTGCCGGGCTCGGTTGAGCCACGTGCAAAGATGAGGATTGCTTCTGGGCAGCGGGAGGAGGAACCTGATTCTAGGTCGTTTCGACTCGCTAGCTGTCGGACCTCAAGATGGCTTTCCTGGCGAGTTGTAACTGCAATTTTGTCAACGTTGGTGTTGACAGGTTGGGCATTGATAAAGGCAACAGCCAGTGTAAGAACGAAGATGAATGATTTCATGATGGGATAAATTTGTTCGAATTGAGGAGTGAATGTATTGGATGAATTGTTATCTATTGTTATGGTTCTGTGATGTGTTGAGATCTGAGTATATTCCTTTTTAGAGAGGGATTCTCCAGGTTTTATAGTTGGTTTTCAATTCTATCGTACTCTACTGAACTGTTCATACATTATCGGTTAGCATTATTCCACCATTCGACTTTTCAGCTTCATGACACGAGAAATATTGCTAGGAATGCAAAGGGTCTGATGACTTTTCCCATCTAATCCTATTCTAGTGAAAGATGCGAAAGGCACTGAGCCATTCATTCCCCAAGATGCACTCTAAACTTGAAGCCATCGCCAGGCAGCTCAAGGGTGTTTCCCTAGGTTGCAGTGGGGAAAAACCTTAAATTCGCAAGAATGCATCTCAAACGGAAGTCCGGGGTTTCTCTCGAGGCTATATTAAGCTAAAATAGCGAATCAAACGGTTACGGTGTAGCATTTTGCAAGAATACCATGTGGTAGAAGAATGCGGGGTACATTAGCAATGTGACGCTATCTTGGACTCACAGACCTGCCTCGGTATTTTGGTCCTGGCAAGTATTCATTATGAGGTGAACTAAATTGGATCTGGCTCTAGCGTGGAAGATGTTGCGATGTGCCTCGGTTTAAATGTTCATGGGACTTCGATCGTGGGGAAATACGAAGCGAGCAGGTTCTGGGCACGACAAGGCAGCAATCGTGATGGTACTAGCGTTCACCTGCTGGGACAGTTTGGGAAACGGCTCTCTGGCATAAAGCATAGACAACGTCTTTTGTCTTGGTTCTTTGAATTGAGCTAATTTCGTGCTTTTACGATTTTCTCGAGCGAGATTTAAATGGCCATTCACTATGTACCGATCCATTCATTCCGATTTTCTCACACATAGCCTCCTACAAGCTCGGCTGGAACATGTTTCTCGACAGTCATTGATGTTGATATCAAGAAAGAGGGTGACACTGTCTAAGGGTGATCCCTTCAATGAGGTTAAGGAGCCGTTTTTGTAGAATTTTAAAGTTACAGTAACCAGTCAAAGAATCCACAACCCCTCCGCCGATCTGGTTTGGAGAAAGATCCTATAATGACGAGGACTTTGCTGAGGTTTCCTGAAGATGGCTGGCGGGAGAGGTACTCAACGGTCCAATTAGAAGTTCTGAGTGCCCCCTGTAACTAATTGAGATGGACAAAGGGCCGCGGAGAACGATAAAATGAATGTGCGCTTGTCCCCTTTGTGTCGGTGACGAAACCATGCACACCCTAGCTCTTCACCCTGCACGGCGTAGTGGTGTAGAGAGAAGCGTACCAATACGGTCACTTCATTTTGGGCCAATATCTCGCGCCAAGCCTCTTGGGTTGCAAGAAGGATGAAAATACTGGACAGATGGGACCAGTGACACTTCGCGCGGACAGGGCCCCTGGCCTGACCAACACTCGTTTTTGGCCACCGGGAGCAGATTGACCGAGAACCCTATCTTCGCGAAGATTTATTGGTTAACTAGGCTAAAGAATGGGTCAGTTCGGGTAGCATTGCAGCGATGACTGCGGTGTTGGAGGCCCAGACCGGTCATGGGCAAGGATGGAGTCAAAGAGTCAGTCACCTGGGGAAACAAACTTCTGGCCCATGGGGTAAATGCGGGGCCTCCAACTTTATCTCTTGGGTGTTCCCTCGGGGTAATGCTGGTCGACTGGCCGTCTCTGATTGATGGAGAATCGAGCAGCAGGGACATTAAGCCAACCGAAGGGGTCTCGTGTCTCCACTGGACTGGTATCTCGCATATTTGAACCGAGTTTTGGGGTTCCTGAGTGGGATGAGGTCGCACTGGAGCTCGCGTATTTAACAGCTCATACACCCCCCTTTGCTGTCCATGTTCCATCTCCTCACCGCACCGAGTCAAACCAGGACCGACAAGAACCTAATCATGGCTGTTTCGGACACCAAAGCTGAGGAAGGCGTAAAGCCCACCGTCGAACACAACGACACCGGTGTCTGGGGCACGCAGGCGGAGCTCATTGAGGCCGCCCACGCTGCCTCGGATGAAGAAGCTACACTCCCTCGCAAAGAGCTCTTCTCCCGCTACCTCCCGGCCACGATTTTCAGCGCGCTGCTCAGTCTCGCCCTCGTTATGGAGGGCATGGATGTCGGCCTGATCAACAACTTCTTCGCGCACAAGGCCTATCTGGACAAATTTGGTTGGCCAGATGCCAATGGTAAACAGCATATCTCCACCTCCTGGCAAGCGGCTATTGGAAACGGCAACAATCTTGGAAGTATCATTGGTCTACTCCTCAATGGGTATCTCCAATCACGGTTTGGATCGCGTCGAGTGTATATGGGCGCCATGGTCGTCATGACATGCACAATCTTCTGTCTGTTCTTTGCCGTCAATGTCCAGATGTTGTTTGCCGCCAATATCCTGTGCGGCATCCCCTGGGGTATCTTTCAAACTCTGACTACGGCATACGCCGCCGAGATCAGCCCAGCTGCTATGCGTGGATATCTCACCGCATGGGTTTCCATGTGCTGGGGCTGTGGCTCCTTCTTGGCCGCTGGTGTGCTTCGTGGTTCACTCAATCTCAAAGGTGACGCTGGATGGAAGGTTCCATACGCGCTGCAGTGGATCTGGGTCGTGCCTCTCTTCACAGTCGCGTTCTTTGCCCCCGAATCGCCCTGGTATCTCGTCCGCCGCGGCAAGTATGAAGAGGCGGAAAAGTCTCTTCGCCGTCTCGCGCGCAAGGGACACTACACGGAGCAAACCATGGCCCAGACAATGGCACTGATGAAGCACACGAACGAGATGGAGAAGATCAATGCAGAGAACTCAAGCTACGCAGACTGCTTCCGTGGCACCAACCTTCGTCGTACTGGAATCGTGTGCATGGCTTGGATAATCCAGATTCTTAACGGTCAATCCATTGCTGCCTATGCTGCCATTTTCCTACAGTCGGCTGGCATGCCCCAGGTCCAATCTTTCAACTTCAACATGGCCATTCAGTCCGTCAATATCGTTGGCACAGCCATCGCAATCGTGCTCATGGGCCGCATTGGTCGTCGCATCTTCTTCTTCTTGGGCTCATCCATCATTGGAGGGCTCATGCTGATTATTGGCATCCTTGGACTTGTCGCTAAGGGCAGCGGTGTCTACATTGGAGTCGCCGCCATCATGATCCTCGTCAACCTGACCTTCAAGGTCTCCCTTGGGCCTACAACATATGTGATTGTCGCCGAGACCTCTTCTAATCGTGTCCGCGCCCAGACAATCGTCATCGGACGGGCCATGTACGTGGTTGGCCAGATCGTTGTCCAGCAGCTCAACCCGCGTATGCTCGGCTCTAGCAGTGACGCCTGGAACTGGGGCGCCAAGGCTGGATGGTTTTGGTTTGGTCTCTGCTGCATCTGGGCAGTCTGGATCTTCTTCTTCCTGCCCGAGACCAAGAACCGAAGCTTTGCTGATCTGGACTATCTGTTCCAGAAGAAGACGCCGGCTCGCAAGTTCGCTACCGCCCCCATCGATTGTAGGTTTCCCCTCCTGTTTATGCTAGATTGGTTGCACTGCTAACTGAATTGTTATAGTATTTGAACTGGTTCACGCCGACACGAGTCACAAGTTGGAGGACAATCAAGACGATGCCCAACACGTGAGCGAGATCCAGGACGAGAAGCGCTCATAGGTTTTGCTGTTGGGAATTCTGGATGACATATAGAAGCAGCTAACCCGCTGTTATATTCTTTCCACGATACTACATATACTATGGGGTTCATCTTCCAGCTGTAATCTCTAATAAATCTGAACATATATGTGAATAGATGTAGTCTCCTCAAGCATAGATAAACGTGTCCTCCAGGTTGTATGAGTTGCCGCTGAAATAATTGTCCGCCTGTCACCAGCTCAAATGAATACGGACATTGGAAATTGAAAAGCGACGGTTATCTGATAACCAAGGCATCCTCTGTGGTCTTCATCAAGTCCCCGTTCCGTTCTGGTATTTCAATACATTACCACATATATTGAACGAGAAGTTCAACATGCACAAACGTAATGCTCAAGAATGCTGAATACTTGTTAACTTCCAAAATGCCTCCTAAGTTTTACCTGATCATCACAACGTGAGGTTTGTTATGCACAACGGCTGATACGCCCTTTTTGGCCAAAATTGAATGGCGTGGATGAAAGAGGTTCCCTGAACGATAATATGCCAGCGTGATTAGCAACACCACCTTGTGGTTGCCGCTTTTCCCCTGTCCTTCGAGCTGCATTTGAGCTACAAGGGTATGTGTACTCGACAACGGTCTTCCTGTCCCAATCGTACGTTTTATCGAAAGTTGGAGGCAGAATCGCCGTGGTACCATCTTCATTTATCAGAGGGAAAAAGTACTTCTTGGGGCTTGATTCTACCGGAACGCATGACGTGTCAATATGTGTCGGTATCGCCAGCGTAAATCGCCAGTCCTAGCGCGGCACCTCCCCAGGGGCAATATGAACCAGCCCATCATGCATTAACTGGCTCTTGTTTAAAACTGTCAACTACCCCTTGAACTGCGGGATTTTAGTCTGAACTTGGCCGCTCAGCTTGAGCCTTATCGTCGCATGAGGAGAAACGACTGCTCCAGTAACCACATCACCTGGCTGATAGGGATGTTGGCTATTGTCAAGCTTAATACCCAGTGTCGAGTTAGAAGGGTCTGACTTGAATACAGCCATGATGAATGTGTGAATTATCTGGATCTCGCAGTGAGGTTGTGTGAGACTGTCATATGGTGCATGACAGGCCCGGCAAACCGGCACATTTATCCATCAGCCGTACGCATGATCCCCAGGACGGATTCACAGCCCTCGCTTCAGCCCTTGGGCGGGGTAATGGACAAGTTAGTCTTAGCCGTTTGGCGTTTTTGCACTCTCACCAGGCACATGGTTCTACAAAAGCCTTACAGAGATTTCCACGTACCGTAACGCAGAGGACCCATGCGATCCTGCCTCTAGCCGTCGAGAAGGTCGTATTTGCGTATTGCTTGTCATCGGTCACAAAAACTGAAACGAATAGAAAAGAACGACCCGCACTGGCCTTCAATGACACCCCCCAAAATTCAAAGACGAAGCTAGGGCCTAGAGAGCTTAACTAGAGGCCAGATGTCGTCCAGGTAAGCTTAGCTATAATCGACGTGCGCACCTTTGGCGAGCTGGCCAAGCAGTTCGTGCTCGATGTCACCCAGAATCGCAGTACCTTTCCCTAAATCCTGTAAGAGAGTGCAAAGTCATTGGTAGTAGGCGACGGTGTAAGTGGGCGAGCCTGGTGGCATCGGCCGTTTGAAAACTGGCAAACCTAGAATTGTAGATAGCCTGCGCCTTCTCTTATATGACCCCTAACATTTTTTTCATTGTTCTTCAGATCGCGTGACTAAAAGTTCCCAAAGTTGCATTTCCTCCGAATTTGAATGGGCCAGATGACGTTCCATATATTTGTGAATTCTGTTGAAGCTCTGGAAAACGGAGTAGCTTATTTTTTGCAATATTATAACTTAGCTTCCAGCATCTATCTACTTCAAAAGAGTTTCTAGTCTACCTTCTCACTCTTCTCACACATTGCTTTGGCATACTCCACCCTCTATGAAGGAGGCCTCGGGGGTCTTTGAACTTGGAAACCTCGTTCTTGGTCTTTTTTATGAAACCCCTTTAAGCTGGCGAGCAGTTTTGGTATCGACTTAGAATAGACCCGACCATCAGTCCCCTGCTCGTATCCCGATGCCGACCCCAAGTCTGACGTGGATGCCGGGGCAGAAGGTTGGCTTTCTCTCTGCGTGCCGTAGAAGCGGTCAACTTCTCGAAAAGAATAATCCACACCTTTTCTGGGAACTAAGTCTGAGAGGATCAGGTTCAGATCAAAGGGTTCTTCAGCTATAGGATTATTAGAGGTTGAAGCTGTCGAGGTGTCTGACGTTAGGGTTCTACGAGAACCCTGAGATGTTGAAAAAGCCGATTGTGACCTCGGTGGTCGGTAGAACGATGAGAGATCCTGCTGGTGATGCTGCCGTGATGGTTCTTCGGTGTGGTCCTTGCGATATTCATGCGGTTTACTCGATAGGTTAGGCGTGGGAAGGTCGTCCATCTGGAGATCCTGTGACCATTATTATGTGAGTACATTTCAATTGCCTCCAACAAGAACCTGGACCTACCAAACTTTGCGCTCCAAGACTTGCGTCATTTAAACTATCGAGACTCTCGTCTGAACTTCTCCAGTTCGTCCTTATTAGGTTCCAGGCGGCGACGACAAAGAAACCTAGCACGATCACCGACCCATGGATGCATAATATTATGTAGCCAGTCCACTGTCTCTTTGCCGCACTGGCTGATGAGACGAATACACAATTGAGTAATGCGGTGAGCAAACGAGTCGCTGAGAGGATTATCTTCCCCATGTTAAGTGTCTGGATGTCCCTTTTTACAGTCAGATGAAAAAAGAGATAGACGCATTCACATAATATGAGTATGAGCAGTTGCGCCAAAGGAAACCCCTGCAGACCCCCAATCCCAATAGCTTGGAGGAGTGGCATCGTATGTGGCAGATGACGAGAGATCATGTTCCTAATCGTAGCAAGATTCGGCTTCAAGCTATTCTCCATCTCGTCAATACTCGCTGAGGTCAGCTTGATGGTGAATTGGTCATAGAGCGTCCGTGTGAGAAAGTGGCTGGCACCACAGATGATAAGCAACATTAGGATAGCCAGACCAATCCGATAATTTGGCAGGTAGCCGACGAGCAACAGGTCGTAGGCTATGTAAGAAAGCAGAGGCACACTGAAGAAACATAAAGCTATGCCAATAGTGGTTCCCACTGCCTTCTTTACGAATGACAGGAAGGTATTCGGTCGTGCATTTATCGTTGATGATGCTATCCAAAACCAGAGCGAGAGGATGAAAAATATCGGGCTCATAATTATGGCAAGGTTTACCATTGAATTGGCCAGCGTGTTGAGCATGTTGGGGTATCGAAGCATCTGGGTCATTAAACCAAGCCCATAGGAGAAATTACTCGGATACATGCCACCACTAGGTCCTTGATATGAATATCCGTAGTCAAAGGGTCCCCTCCAATATAATAAAGAGGCCCAGGCAAGTTTGCCTACTGCCGGAACATAAAAGCCAGGGTATTCTATGGTCATCGATGCAGACACGAAGGTGAACTGAAGATGGCGCAAATATTCAGCGACGTCAAGAACCGTCGCCCACAGTAGCTCTTGGCTAGCCAAAACGGAGTCATGGTCCAGGACATAGCTGGAACTGAGCCTGTTCCGGTGTTTCATCCAGGAAGAAAGGGCAACAATGACTAGAATGCTGAATGGCGTGAAGATTAATGCTGCTGAGGCTGTTTCTCCAAGGTCTGGAGTAATTTTCGCAACACCACAGTCTAGTTCTTTGCCATTAAGTTGTTTAAAACTAAAAGTCGATTCGAGAGTTTGGAACCGATGTGTGCTCTGAAAGCTGTAAATGAGATGATAAGAGGAGAATAGTGTATGCCCAGTACTACTTGAAACGTCAGTACATCCGCCGGGAACAATGCTAGGATAATCTTGCCAGCAGAAAGGCCTGTCCAAACCAATCCAAGAGTCGGGGCAGTTGTGTACTCACGGTGTCAGAGTGTCTGTGATAGGCAGAGGGCAATTGCTCCGGAAATTCCTTAACTGGCCGACTGAATATCCAAGAGTTTGGAAGTTCAACGATGTTTCAAATAACGAAACATCGATTTCTTCACATGTTAAGAGTGACTGGTTGTAGACTGCAAGAATGTCCAGCTTCAGTTCAGCTGAATCGCTCTGGGTATCCCACGAACCGCGGAAACTATCGATCCAGAAGGGACTTTGCTCAAATGAGACAAAACCATCATATGATCGATTACAGGGATACTTTCTGACCCATGCCTGGTCCTGCCAGAGAGCTGTAGAAGGGGAAGCTTGCATACTCAGCATCAAAGTGATGCCGCGCCATGCTGCTGACCGTGGACGCGTTGTCATCTGAAAGGAGCCAAAACACGTAGCCCCACGAAGTTCTTAGCTCTCGAGACAGACCACAAGCAATAGAATGCAGTACCCTCCACGAAACAGTAATGTACCTAGCCAAAGAAAAGGAGAAATCGTATGAGGCTGTCAATTCCTCCTTTTTTCAAAGGATTACTCAGCTTGTTTCCAATTGCCCGTGGCTCCATAAAACGAACCAGTGATGTGTCTCTGTTTCTGGTGTCTGTTCCCTTGGCACTTGACGAACACTGCTTAGTTCTTACATGATGTAGATCGTAACCATTCTCAGCCAAGGCTCCACCCCGTAGATCGGACGGGGAAGGCCGATTCGGCTACAATTTCACAAACCAAACCAAAGTATACCTACCTTTCTAAAAACAAAAGTTGGGGTCTCATTTACGGAGTTACATTTGGATCAATGACTGTCATGATGAGCGGGGGAAACAATATTTTGAACATCGAACAGGAGTTGCAGCCAGGAGAGGGGAGGTGGAGCCGAGGGGGGGAGAGATAACCCTCAGCGAGAAAGTAGACAATGTTAGCACGATTTCCATTGACCACATTGCCTTGTGCTTGAATGAACCTTCTACAGCTGTGGTGACTCAGATTTGAGCTTGTGGTTTGCAAAGTGCTACAACAAAAGCCAGTTATCACTGCCCTGTCATTGTTGTATGGAGTGATGTATGATAGCAGTCAATTCAATCTTATCCTAGCAATCATTCTCGGCCGGTCCACTACTTATTCCGATAAGCATGCAGTGTGTGCATTCAACAGCTGATATTGGCACCTGCAATTTTTCCTATCTTATCCGTCTTTCGATGCCCCTATCTCCTCACTACCATACCTGTACTAGGAAAATGGCAAGACCGTAGAATCCTTCCGGGCAAAAATAAACAGGTTGCGGACTCCTTCCATCAGATCGTGCTCGACTTCTGCTGTGGGCAGCTCACACTTGTCATAAGCCAGCCACATCTCCTTGGTCCGGGGAGAGTCCACGTCTATAAAAGGCTTACTAAAGCGATAATGTCAGTGTATGTTCCTACCCTCCTGGATGATTGAAAAAGACTTACTTATCCGAGTTCATTGTACGCCGGTGATCCCAGTAAGTAGAAATAATCATCGCAGGTCGGGCGAAGTCGGCAACGATCTGCCTGATGGGCGCTGCGGGATATGCGGTAATCACCAGAGACTCGTCATCAAGCTCCGCAAAGGCGCTGGCCCCAAACCTCCCCTTGACTTCGAACCCTTTTTCACGTAGGAAGCTGGCCGTGCAATCCCTGTACTGGGGATCCTGCGTGATCAATCGTACGTCGGGGTTATATTTCCTGATTTCTGCTGCGATTGTCAGTGCCATGAGGTGTTGTGTCATGGGGCGCGCAGAGTTGGCATCGGGTGAAGAGTCCCCCTGGAAGTAATGCGTGAGGGCGAAATCCCCAAGTGCAAAGCAGAGGACTTTGGATATCTTTCGCGAGTGCAGCTGCTGACCCTCAAATAGGAGCTTGCTAAGTTTTGCCTTTAGTAGCTTGCAAGTGATGCTCGCGTTCCAGAGCTGTCTCCTGGTCTCGTAGAGGTCCTGCCAGTCCTCAATGTCGCCACGGAAGTCATGGTCAACTGTGTTTCCCCAACTGATATTGTATGAGCAGTGAGATAGCTCGGCAGGACGTTCAGGTTTTTCGGTGGGCCGTGTTAGTGTCAGCGACCAGTAGTCATAAAACTTTACATAGGGTCTCCTTAAGCCAGAGTATCAGCGAGATGTGCTTTAAAGTTCCAAGATTGAGCTTTGTGATGGGCAGATGCTTACCAGATCGGTCGCTCTACACCGAACATGGGATTCTTGATCTGAACTTCCTTGCCGTCCATGGCTCTCAGAGTAAATCTATCAAGATCATACGACTGTTCCAGTTGTCTCTCTATATCCTCAAGATCACTCTTCTTCCAGAGCTTAGCGCCCGAATGGTAGAGATCTGCCACACTCTGGGAACTGGCCCTCCATTGTGTACATGCGTAGTCAAGCAATGGTGGTTGCGGTTCTGATGTTTCCGCTTGATCTTGGTTTATGGTTGCCATAACGATGAGTGGAAATCCCGAATGTCGACTGAGAGTAGAGATAGAGAGATTGAGCTAAAGAGTACCAGCGCAGAGTTGAGGTTATATAGCATGCTCAGGGCCCTCGGCCTGTTGCCTAATAGTAGAAGTGTAAGCATAATTCAAGTATCGATTTGGGGCCGTATGCGCTAAGATATGCAATGTTGAGGTGGCCCACGGCAGGCATGCACCACCTTTGGCACAATCTCAAGCTAATTCCACCAATGTAATCAGCAAGGTTGCATATGTAGTCATTAGGTGGGCTCTGCCCTTCATCATCGTGGAGTGCGGGGTGTAAGGCGAACAGTGAGGCTGACATCGGACGACAGGCAGAAGTCGCTCCATGTCACCTTGAAAATAAGCTGCTGCCTGCTTTGCATAGTCCAATGATAACACATGTCATATTCTTCCATCGCAAGGCATAATTTGGGCCAGGAGAATAGGTTGGAAACGCACAGAGAGGGGCCTAAGCTCTGCAGATGAAAGTACATATTGTCGATTAAACAGAGTCCAGGACATCTAATGCTGACATGCCTAGTTCTTATCTCCCTTCTGTCTTCCCCTCTCGTGCTGCCCCCTCCAGGCCTTCTCCCACTGATAAATATTTACACACGACTCCTTCAACCCAAAATTGGTCGGAATAAGCTTCCTGGAACGCGCATCGCAAAAGGATACATACCAAATCCTAACATTGCGACCGACGATCATCTCCTGCCAAGACTCCAGCTGGTCACATAGCAAAACCACTAAAGACGGCTGGGCCGTTGGGCATGGTAATTGAACCTGGCTTATCAACATCTCCAGACACACCAACATCATATCCTCGACAAGAAGGGGAAATCGACAGAGCACTACGATGATGTGATGTCTGCTTATTCGGTCATTGTCTTGAAGGACTTCGTATATATGCCCATCAAGGGAACGAAAAATCTCGAGGCATGCGTCCAAACCGTTCGAAATTATTGGAATATATTCACTGGGGCGTGGAAGATGCTACACGAGCCAAGTTCCTCCGGCAGCATTGGAACTGTCACGCATGTACGTTTTTCTTTATGGCTTTATTTGAGTAAGCTAACCCTTCGGCATACCTTTAAAGGCCTTGCTTGCCTTTTTTATCTGCTTTCAATATCTTCTATTTCCATTAGCTTCGTTACTAATAGAATGAATTATTTATCTTAGCTTTCCCTTTTTTTCCCTTCTTTTTTCCAGCCCGATATATATTAATAGCTTGGAATCCGTTTTGTTTTACCAACAATAAGACGGACCTAAGACAACATGAAGCAAGCAGATTGCTATCCAGGCCACAGAACCTATTATAAGCCTGATTGTTTTCGCATTGCTGACGTGGGGGCTCCATATTACCAACCTCCCGAGAATGTGATGTCGGTCTTAGTCAGTCTATGAGTATGTTTTACCGATACCTAAGACAAGCTGGGAGATTACTATTCGTTCTCCTTCGCTAATCGTAGTACCAGGCCATAAAACCTAGCTGGTTGAGGCCTATATAAGAAGGTCTATGTCCAACAGGCCGTTAGTATTTCTTACCAATCTAATAGTACCTATTATTACCAGAACCATATCGAACTATAATCCTCTATCTTCTAAGTAACTTACACTGAGCAAGTATCGATTTAAGATGCGCCTAATTACCTTGCTCACCCTCCTTGCAGCTACAAGCCGGTATGTCTTATACCAGAAGATCCAGTTCTACTGGTTTGAATAATTATGCTAACCCTCATGGTCTAAAATAAACAGCGTCTCTGCATTGTAAGTAGTTTATTACTCCATGAGAAACCGAATACAATTTGAATGCTGATACTTCTTTAGCGGTTGCCAATGTAGAGAAGCATATGACGTTAAAACATGTTGCCAGCAAGCCACAGGACATCCTTCTTTTTACGATGTAACCTGGGGAGAAGTGGTAGGTTCTCGCCCACCGTTGGAATTGCTCGAGATGCTTACGTCCCTGCTTTGTAGTGTGAAATTAGACTTTTCGAGGCGGGGAAAGAGCGCGAGTTCCATGGCTGTTGTAATTCGAAGAGCGGTTCTTTGGGTTGCAAGTTCGACCCATTGCTTCCAGGGGTTGGTGAAACCCGTTCTTCTTAGGGGAAATGGCGAAGTAGGTTTGCCCCTACTTCAATGGATCTGTTTCGGCTTGCGTAGTTTCAACACAAGCACTGGCTTTCTAGTCTTAGCGGCTTAGTAAAACTAAATTATTATGGAATGATATATATGCTAGTATCCAGACTGTTAATAAGTTCCCCTTTGTCTGTAGTTTCTTACCTATACTAGTATCATAGATACCTCTCCTGATTGTCCTGGAAGGTTTGATTCCGGTAATTAAAACGTTGTCGGTGCAACCAGAAGTTAACCCTACGGATGCTGTACTCCTATAATAATGTCCTATATGTAAGACTAGGGGTATAGTGTTTCAACGCCAACTATACGCCTTGTGTTGTATTGAGAATTATATCTATATGAGAATCTGGAACGGTATGGAAAACTTTAGCAAACCCGGAAAAAGAAACGTTTGCAGTCTCCTTCGGGGATCCAATTCAACCTTAACCACTATAGTAACGAGAGGTGCAAAGATACTACCTCTTGCGATAGCAGGCTCAGACTCCGTGATATGCAGTTTCTTCTCTATATCTTCCGGTGAATGATTTCTGGTTTTAAGCTGTATTTTCTAGCATTATATTAGATATCAACGTGGGACTATAATATGGGAAAGCCGTTTATATCAAATTCGCCTTATTGACCAATGCCTATTTCGATGGCGTTTCGACTCAAGGAGGCGCAGAGAGGAGAGGATTCCGTGTAACATATGGGAAACCTTTGCTGTAAGCTGCTGAACTAGGCGATGTTGAGGCCGTGAAGTCCTTGCTATATCCTCGATGGAATCAATCCTGACCAGGTAGACGGCTGGTAACCAATACACGATACCCCAATGCATGGTCTAGAACCTGGAATTTCTTGTTTGACAAACCTCCTGAGCTGCCTCATGGACACGACTGCCCTCGGCGACAGCAGTCTTGACTACTTAGCCCACCTCATCCGCAATGGAGAATATAATCAACTGGAAGATACTGTTATTTGATTAATGTTGAAAAATTGTGCTTAAGCCTATCGATTTCTTTAAATCTAGCACTTATTGTGGGCGATTCATGCCGACGTGAGTGCTGGAGGCGGTGGTAAGATTGGTCTGGGCCTAGTATCTCCAAGCTGTCTGCTTCCCAATTTGATCAAGTCAGGTGCTATAACCCACATTCAGAGTATCGGACTACGCTCTATTCAACCCTCCACAAGAAAAGAATTGAAACCTCTTTACGTAATGTTAGGTTTACATGCCATACCATTCATCGCAACGCAAAAATCATATAGAGTGGGACAGATGAGCCGAGGTGTATGGCGTGGAGACAGCAAGAGCGTGAGCAGGGAGATGTGCGTTCGTTCGCCAAGTTCTCAAGCTTATACGTTAAACCCGAGCACCAAACCGATATCACCGCAATTCACTCCTGCAGGCCTCACGTAAGACAATTGTTGCAAAAAGTGCTGAGGGTTGGCTGCCATAGCCATGATCGCAGTCGCCTTGCCTTGGAACTTGACCAAGGAGCTTTTTTAGATGTTATGCTATGTCACCTTCTGTCAGTCGAGTTGTATTAGGCCCTGCTAGGTTAAGACGTTTTGAAAATATGATGTTCAACATGGTCATGGCCAGATAGATGACAACAAGAATGTAGCGATCACCTCCGTTTTCGGTATCGATGGATAAATATGTCGTATGTCATTGGCTTTGGAGTATCCAGTCTTTTCCAAGGGAGCATCTTTGATTCGTGGTGGTGCAGAATTATCCATGTATGGAGGGGAGGGTGGAATGGTATTGAAATCATGATGATCTTCGATAACAAAGTTCTTTCCGGCAACCTCGAGTTCTACTCTCCACTCTAAGATGCGGACACTGCGAAATATAGGTATCAAAACTCGGCCTCAGGTAATTAGTGTGAAAATTCATCTTGGGATCATATAGGGTTTAGAATTTTACTGTCTTTCCCCATATGGGCGCGCTGGTTAGGTTGCACAGTACCTCAAGCTTATATCTCAGGCGCATAAGAGTAAGATAGTATTAAAGATCCTTTTCTGGTCCAAAAACTGATTCATATGTGAATTCAATAGCCCTATGACAGTAATTCGCATAATAAACTCCAAAGAGAAGCGCTTAACTATAAGATTGGGCTGGTTGGTCCAAACGCTCTCGCTTAACATGTCCTACAGTGGAGTGGCCTTCAGCTGAAACGGAGATGGATATAGGCTATCAAGCTGAATCAACCTGGGGCTAACCACTATTAACTGAAAAGTGAAAACCGGAGGTAATCGCGAGCAAAAGAGGCTCTTCATTTTCTGAGAGAGCAAAGGCTTTGTGTTCTCCTTTCCAGGAATCAGGCGTTGCGAAGATACTTGAAGCCATAAACAATAAATATGAAATTACTTTTTGTCCTTTTTTTCCAGCTGGCCTTCCACATTGAATCCTTACTGAAGCACTCCTCTGGCGTAGTCGCTATTGATGGACGCTAGCAAACGAGATCCCGATGAGACTAGGTCACAATTGTGATGTTGGCTCATCTTTCAATCTTAGGGTATAAGAAAGATATTATTTATATCGCAGGATTTTGGAAAGAAGATAAAAAAATAAAGAGACTGATATATTCTTTAGACTTTAATCTATAAGCTATTTCTCTACAGGCGGCAAGGCCCTAACTTAATATAGAGAGGATTTTTCAAATAGCCTTGAAGTTGGTCAAAACCTGACCGGGAACCCCAATATTCCGCGAGTAGGCCCAAGAGACTGGCAACAAGGAGGTGGAATCTCAACATTAGTGGGAGATTGAGCAAGTTGCAGCCATTTCATGGGATTCTCGATGGCACGTCTATCAAGGAAATATCTGTCTAGATTAGCAACCTAACTTGCGAACGAGCATATTTGCAAAGACAACTGTCGATGCTACATAACTCTACAACATTTCGGCATGATAAAGGATCTACCTTAAAGTTGGCAAGAAGCCGACTGGTTTATAGAACTGGCCAACTGCAGAACCACATTGAGTTTCTTCAAACGGAATGTAGTCTACGCACAAACTTCAACGGTTGACGAGAAAATTTCTTCACAAAATCTAAAGAGTTATCTCATAAGATATACGTCGATGCCGCTTCTTGCTTCAAGATTATGCTCGAGAATCTGCCAGTTAGTTACGGTTGCCGGAGGCGAGAGAGTTTAAGTGGCTTGATTCACATAGTATAAGACAGCAATATGAGATGTCAGATCCGACATCTCAACACATTAGCTAGAGCTGCTTCTGCGGGTGTCTTCATGCCATTTCTCGATGGCACTATGAGAGCTTCAGGAGGATAAGAAGCTACCTAGATTAGATAATGAAAGCAGCACTGTTCAGCGACATAAATAGTTATCTTGGAAGTACGTTATTCGATTCCAAATGTTTAAGCAATCTGTTAAGAAGACCTACTTTTTAGTGGCCCTTTCCCTCTGAATCGGATTGCACTGAGACTTGTGAGGACTATGACTTTGGATCGTATCGTATAAAATGTCTCGGGCTTCGCGGAACAAATTTATTTCGTCGACAAGTTCTCCAGAACGCTTGGTATCGGTAACAGGAAGTGAGGTTAGAGAGATCCTGGGCTCGCACAAATTGACAGAACATGTTCCAAACGAAAAGCAAGGGAGGAGAAACCGAAGCTATACCATTGCTACTTGACGTGACGAGGAGCCCGGCAAATTATGACCAGGGCAGGGCTGACGCGGTTCATTCCGCTGTGAGCGGAACAGGCCGTTGCCCTGCTTGACTGTTCCCACGGTGGCTGCTCTTTTACTACTCAACATGGTAGGTGGTAGTGTCAATGGCCTTGCTGCATGATCGTCTGGGTTAGATACGGTCCGATTCAGTAAGGATTCCCAGTGCCAGACAATCCCGCCGGCAGCACCGGTCGGTCCCGAGCACAAAACCCTGCTCTCCGACTGGGCCCTCCAGCTCTCTTATGTCAGCCCCATATATCCCTGTCCCAGCGGCTCGTTTTTGAAGGGATAGCGAACGTGGGCGAGGTATTGTTCCTAGGCGCACTGAAGACAGATAGGATTTGGTCTGGTACCTAGCTGAACTGCTTCAGCTGCCAAGCATATAGGCGTTCCCGCTAGTGACCATGGATATTCGGGTTCTTCCTTTTGATGAGAAGGAAGGCCATTCTGATCCTTGAATGCGTCAGCTGTGATTTTAGCCTCACCAATGAGTTCCCTGATCAGGACCAGTCAGAAACTCGGGGGATCACCGTCTTGCATCCCCGTTACTAATTCCCACCGCGCGCGGCTCGGTTATGTAAAGCGAGTTCTCTGACCGGACACCATTCTCTCATCGTCAATACATTTTTTGCGCTACCACCTCAATTGGAGGGTAGCACAGCACCCTTGGTCGTTTCAAGGAGCCAAATTTCAATAATGCTGGGCTACCCATCATCCTTCACGGATCTCGGATCTATTGAAGGATCCAACCCAACATGCTTCATCCCAAACAGCCGTCTCTACCCCTCTTTGTTAGCTATCGACTAGCCCCTTGAGACTATCAGGGTCGAAATGCAGTACGCCCTAATAAAACATATATGCCGGTATTGCCTGCGATATCAGTCTCCCTGGGAAATACCGAGCCTATGCCTCCTTGAGTCTAATCAAGATGAAGGCTAGTGTCGAGTCCCTGGCATTCGTCAGCTGCCAAGCCTATAATTGAGGAATTCGTCACCCTTCTCATGAAACAAGGTAGTGAGTGGTCATGCTTCAGTAGGCATCACTCTGGTGGTGCTGTTAAGAGTACTTCGCTCTCCCCAAATAATCATCCCGACTATTCCGCCCCGTCGACAAGAGTCATCTAGGAAGTGTTATTTGGCGTCTATGGATTGTCCACCATGGACGATCTTCAACATTTTATCGCCGAGGTATGGTCATTATTCGCTTTGGCCACGACATTTACTGGGATACGGATGTTCGCGCGATTCAGGAGTGTTGGTTGGAAGCAGTTCACATCTGACGATTATTTGGCCTGTTCTGCGATTGTATGTACACGGCCTACAACAAACCTGTGTCCCAAGAGGCCACTTCTATGACTGACACCGACAAGCTATTCTACTCTTTTCAGGTTATGATCGCTTATAAAGGCGGCACATTGTATCGCAGCCGATCAACCACTGGCGCCCTGGCCGAACAACAGGAATGGCTAGAGCCGAACTCGCCGCCATTGCTCATACGGTATGCAAGTCTGTAGGTATCTATTGAGTCAAAGCAAGTACTGATTGGGGCATCTATGCAGAGCTCAAGGCTCGAAGTACCATCTGGCTTCATGGCCATTGTATGCGACAACTCTGTGGCTTTTGAAAGCATCTGTTCTAGTCCTGTATATGCGATTGACGGTAATCTCTTTTGACAGCCGTGAGTAGCGATCGCTTGGCTAATTGCTTTCAGACCGGATTGGCGGGTGCATATCGAATCCGAATCATTGTCGGATTCACGATTCTGGCCACAAGCTGGGCTGCGGTGATTTTGACGACACTTCTCGCTTGTCAGCCCTTCCAAGGATATTTCAACACGACTGACATGAAAGCCAGCAGTAAGTGCCGGTGTCCCTTTCTTGATGGCATTCAAATTCTTGGACTTCGACTGAGCCATTGATTTCCAGATGCTTGCTCGCCAGCTGTCTCCAAGCCCATAGTTTGGACCTGCTACAGTATGAATGTCAGCACTGACATATTTCTCATTGCGTTGCCTATCCCGATGCTATGGAAGACATCAATCAAGCTGTGGAAGAAGATTGGCCTTTGTGTGCTTTTCAGCGGAGGCGCAATAGTCGTCGTCTTCGCCACTGTCCGCTGTGTCCTCTTAACAACAGTCCGTCATTCCAGCACCCAACCTGTTGTAATTCTCTAACGACTTCTTACAGAATCCTACATATGGCGCGCCTTTGTCGGGGACCTGGGGAGTGCGCGAGGGTTTCGTCGCAATTATTACATCGAATTTTCCCATGGCTTTCACTCTAGTGCGAGGCATGCTTGGGCCGGCCTTTAATTCGCTACAAACAACGACTCCTTCAGCACAGACACCATCAACACAGCTCGACACTCTAAAGGCGAGTGGCAGGAACGGGAGGAGTGCGAGGTCTGCTGTCATGTCAGATAGGATATTTACCGAGAGTGAGGAGAAGATTGTGAATGGGAGAGATACACCTCCAAATGAGGAAGTAAATTCTCCAGCTTGAACGACATTGTACATACGGAAGCTGAGTTTTATTTCCCGCTCTTCTTGCTCATGACCACGGTCAGCTTCAAATATATATACCCTTTGCATAAATTTCTTCATATGAATCATTATCTCATTCACATTGACTGGGAAACAAATGTGGTAGGCTTGCACATGATCGGCTGTTGAAGGAACGGCGGAGGTTGATTCGCAATGAGTTGAGCAATTTGGTATCTGATTCCAGTGACGTGCACCGAGGCTCAAACCTGTCATATAAAGCTTTTCTTTACAGCCCTACACCTGGAATAATAACTACAAACTTGTGTATCTACGGGATGATCCCAGTTGATAGGCTCTCGTCGACCAGATCAAACCATAACCCCCGAAATCCAAGTCTTCTAGCATCTTGCGTAAGCTTAACGAAGCCTCTGAGTCCATCCACACACTTCCCAAAGAATGACTGGGGTGCTAAATGGGACAAGATCTGGTCCGCCGGTTGTTGGACTTCGATCATTGCCAAGAAAAGAGGCAAATATACGGCCATATCTTTCACTTCCTGAGGGGCCCACTGCACGAAGCACGACAGCTCTGCAACGATTATCATCGCCAGCCTTGATCCTTCCTCGTCTTCAACTCCCAGTGGGTATCGAAGTCTATGGATGAGGAGTAGCCCAGCAATGCGGTAGACCCGGGCTTGCATCATCATTACCGACACTTCAATGTGAGAATATTTTGAAAATAGGGCAGTAGGACACGACGGTTCCCACTTCCGCATCTGCTGCTCGATTTCGGAGTAGTCGTCATTCTTATTCTCTAGAATATTGGCTTTCATGCGGACTGTGTTCTTCGATAACCTTTTTCATGGTTGCTAGCCTTGCACAGGTCGTAGAGTATAGGCATGAAGGTTACTGAAAGGCCCATGGTCCTGTCCTCTTTGTCGCAGAATGCAAGCGGGATTTCAATGATAGGAACTCGCCGCCGTACCAGAGAGTCAACCGTATCAATTAAGATTGGCGCCATGAATATGGGTTGGAGGCAAGGTTGAGCGATGAGCATTGGGTACCAGCCCCTTACTGATAACAGGCAATTCTGCGCTATGGTGTGTGCGGATGTGCCCATGACCATGAGGTGATAAACAAACAATATCTGTCCTAGTAAAAGCATGGCTGCAGCGTCATTCAAGTGTCCTATTTTGACGCTCTGCAGACACTGCAGGCTTCGAGCAGCTTCTGTGAACCCAAAGGAGGTAGAGCTGGCATTGGGGTTCTCATTCAAACTCAATAGCTCCAGTAAGATTTGATGTATGCCCAATACTTCCTCTTGTGAATCGTGAAGAGTCATCAAGATTGCGAGTCGGAACTGGTCGGAGAAACTCGGCCCAATCATGAAGTGATGATGAAAGTTGAAGAACCTCTGTCGGTCGAAAAGCACATCGAGTACCTCATGGCGGCCTTTCGACCCGAATGACTTGGACATTGGCGAGCGCAATGATTTTGAGAGCCAAATGTCGGTACACGGCTCCTCCCCTTCTGATATTCTCCTCTCTCTCTCCTCAAGGGTTGATTCAATACCATCTACTTGTCGTTCTTCAAATTCGATGATGCCAGTGTTACCATACGGAAAGACCTGGGTTGCTGGTGGGCGACCCATTCGTTTGCGTTTCCGATCGGAGGAGCAAACCAACCTTTGGTTTTGGCATTGGCGACAGCCATTTTCACCTCGGACACGACGACATCGCAGTCTTCTGTGGTAACATTCATCGCAAGTTTTCAATACCATCTAGCCGTCTGGCGAAATGAAAGGGGAAAAGAAGGAGGGTTGCAACTGGAGGAAACCGTATTGTCGATTCGCGCGATAAAGTCTGGAGATTGGTCAGGGGAAGAAATTTAGAGATCCGCAGGGGTCGCGATCAACCACTGAGATCATTCGGCGATACAGACGTTTCGCCACGTGATGGCTCCTCAGTAATCAAACCCCGGCTGCCCGAGCAAGAAAGTGTCAGCTTATGTTTCAAATAGTCAGAGCGAGATGAACTCCCGATATCTTTAATTGATCATTGCAGGTTACCCTGGGTTCTAAGATCGGAGGATCGCGAGATACCCTAGATTCTTCAAGCGACCATCCTGTGCGATTTTGTTCAATGATTGGAGTCCCTTGAACTACCTAGTAACATGGCGTTTGTTTGCTCACAAGACTTCACTTTTAACACATTACACGACTATATTGAACTTTGATAAATAAGTAATAGCTAGGGAGTGCCGTGTTGAAACTGGACTGAGATATGCTCTGATTTAAGCAATGGGTTGCGGAAAGTAGCAAGCCATGCCTTGCCCAGAAGGAGATGTAGGAGCGAGATCCGTGAGATGATAACGTCTACGCTAGAAAAAGATAGTTAATACTTGAATCCAGATTTCTGAACAATCTCATCCAGAAGCTTGTGTGTCTCCAAAGCTGACTCGAAGTCGGCGTAATCAGCCTGATTTCCCCTAGCATATGCCTCCAAGATACGCCCGGTATTCTTCCCGATCTGCGGGATATGCTTGATGAAGTCGGGTTCTGGGCTGGAAAAGTCGATCTCCTGGGTCGGTGCACCCTTGAGCTTCAACCGAAGCTTCCAGTTAGGACTGTTCATCTGCCAGTGAGATTGATCCGTCGTGATTTCAATTTCTCCGTCTCTTCCCGTAATAATCCACCGAACGCCTACATCATCAACAGCTTCGTTCAAATTGGCCCACCGATAGGCGATAGATGCCATGGCGCCGCTCTTGAGCTTGCCCTGTACTAAAACATGGTCTGGGACGTTTTTCGAGGCTACGTGTTCGTTAACACCGTCCTCAGCCGGGATCTTAATTTCCGTAATTTCAGTTTTAAGAGAGGATTGGAGGCTCTCAAAACCGCCCAGAACGTGTGTGAAAGAGTCGAGAACTGTCTATGTTAGTTTGAATTGTCTTCGAAGCTATTGATTCAGCCACAGTAAGGAGATGTGCTTACAGTGAGCAAAGTAGACATGGAACACATTCGCTCCTGTTCTCATGTCAAGATAGAATTCACTGCCTTTGAACCAAACGTCCGAGGGTATAGAACTTGTAGAACCAATAACAGTGGTACTTGTGATAGTTCCTAGTGCCCCACTGTTGATGAGTTGCTTGGTTTTGACAATGACAGGGTCAGCCCGAGCCTGTACTCCGACAATGGTTTTGAGGTTGTTCGCGCGAGCGAGTTCTGTCAACCTTTCCGCCTCGCTCGTGGATGCACCTAGAGGCCACTCGACGAAGACTTGCTTATTTGAAAGTAGGGCAGGCTCGGCTAGCATAAAATGCTTGGTGACGAGGACGCTGACCACAACTAGGTCCACGTTCGGATCATTCGCAAGATCGTTGGGACTACCGTAGGCCTTTGTTGTTGTCGGAAGTTTGTGTATCTCGATGGCCTGAAGAGCTGAGGCAACAGTGGAATTACAAACAGCCACTATCTCGTAATCAGGTGAATTAACAAATGTAGGGAGGAAAGAAACTACGCCCCAGGTACGCGGGCCAAGGGTCGATGATTCCACAGCAGCGAGGCCGATCATGCCAACTCTGATGACACCCATTGTGAGAGATCACGAGGTTTTCAGGATAATAGTGAACAGAAAATGAAGGAACTATATAGAATATTTCCCTCAGAGACTTATGGTGTTGATTTAGTGATGCTAGATAATAAATCTTTAGGCTTATGCTTGATTATTTATGGAGCAGCCTTCCCGAAATTGGGTTGAACTCCTCTCGACAACACATGCTAGGTCAGGGTAAGATCGGAGCTTATTGCAAAGTCATAGGTCAAAACTCCGTGATGAATAATGGATTTCTCATCGGCTTCATTGAAGAACAAAAGAAATGTGTCCACAATTGTCCGCTTTTGCGAAGATGTTGTCGGATTGGTCGGAACTCCGCGGGAAGCTGACAAATGGAGTATCTAGCGAGCTTCTACCATTTCTCTTTCTTGCACTCATTTCGTGCCTCCTTACTCGATACTGACAATTTTGACGGACTCCAATTCATAAGCCAATCAGCTATCAGTTCAATGAGACGATCCCGAGAGAAATCGTACGACAGTTACCTGTTTAATAAGCAACAGCCTCATTGAGGATAGCATGAACGCAGTGCTAGAAACGAAACCCAAAGTATTCGTACAATGCTGAGGTTGATGTAGTGCGTAACTCTGAATTATGAGGCCTTTTGGTTCTGAATGTAATCACTTATTCCATGGTATAGGACGCGCACTTCATTCCATTACGGATGACTCGGACACTGCGCACTCTGGACTACTATTTCGTCTTTAAATCGGCTATCTATTTCTACAGTCGTTTCGAGTATTGCAAGCATTAAATAAACGCACTTCATTTTAAACCTCACTTGTAAAAACAAAAAAAAGGGCAATGCGCCTAATTGGGGGGTAAAGGTACAATAGAATGGCGATGATCTTGTTAGACAGCAAGTACTTGATATCGGCTAAACCACCCTGGCAGTAGATGATTGAAAGTTTCAACATTTTGATGACAACACAAAGAAAAATTGCAGGGCCAGCATAGACGTACAACCCAGCTATGTTTCTAACTCAGATATTATCCATACAAATGGTCCAATTTAGCCCATAGTCCCATTCACCAATCCTCTATTTGTAAGCAAAGAACGCATTCCAGCAAGAGTTAGCTGCTCGGATGTTCGAGCATTACAATGTGTCGTTTGTCGAAGCACTCTCATTTCTTCCATGCCAAAAGGTTGTTCTTGTGAAGTACAAGTAATCACAAAAGACCCGCAACCCTCATTCACCACAATTAAAAGAGATCTAAGTTAAGTACTTCACTTCTATCCTCATCAGGGAATATGGCGTGAGCACGGCTCTTGAGCCAGGACACATATGCCTAATTCGCAAGATGGGGTCGCCTGGTGAACGTTTTGACAATATTGTTGTACAATTGCTTGGACTCATACCATTGTTGTCGTTGAAATTGGTTAAGATAATGTGACGTCCAAAGATGGCGATAAAGTCCGAGCAAAGTCGATTCTTCGTCCAGTGAGTGGCAATTCTGGAACCCCCAAAATAGCTTCTGTTAAAAGGCAAGCTACCGTTGACCATGTCGTACCAAAATCCGCTGGCTGGCCATGGTTCGTCAACATCGAGACATGTGTGCTTCTCACTATCTTCGCGAGATGAATCCCAGCATTCAAAACCGCAGAATCGACCGGTACCGCAGGTGTAGCAGACCGTCTGGGCAGGCATCTCGTTACAGTCCTGGCAGAATCCAGTCACTTGTCCTAAGATCGGGATGCGCAAGGCATTATCAATCTCTTCGGGAGTGCCGCTACGACCGCCCTCATTATTGTCCTCGTCCTCATCTTCGTTGCCGTGGTCATGTGCGGATATCTCCTCGGAGTCATTCGTTTCGCTCGCGTCGCCACTGAGTCATTACTGGTTATTAACGAAATAAAAGAGCTTCATTAGGTAGATATCACATACCTGGTCTCAGAAGGCTCAAAGTTCGGGTCACCGTGGTGATCATCTAGGTCAGACGAGGCTTCACTTCTGTCTTCGCCTCTGTCACTGGGTTCGCCACCATTGTTGGGATCAGGTTGCGAAGCCAGCCAAACTGGGTCTTCGGGTAAAGTTGAATCGGCTTGATCATCCAAACGTAGGTCGCCCAGAAGCTGCTTGGTCTGTTGATAGACATGGAATAGCTTCCTCCGCTTTCTGTCTGGTCCTGCCGCTGATGTGTTCTCGGCTGGCTCGACATTTACCCCTTGGGACTCCATATGAGCTACCGCCATCGAAAAGAGGGCCTCAAGCTGGACGTCAATATCTTGGATTTGGATGGCCATGTCTGGCGAAAAGAACAAAGAGAACTTTAAAAAGGGTTCTTTGCGTGCGTTGTGCGTGACCGAGGCAGACTTGTGGCAAGGGATTGCTTTTCAAGGATTGGGGGGAAATGTTGAAGATCAAGTTGTTAGTTGAAAAGAGAGGACCAAGATATTCTACCTACAGTAGTAATTTTGTGAGCCAAAAGGGGCTAGGTCGAGAGGAAACTGAGGTGAGAGGAGCGTCGGTTTTTGTAATGTGCCAAGCGAGTGACACAAGAAATGGCGCCCGCAAATAAACAGCTGAAAGGACAAACAAACAGCTAAGTATAAGCAGGAATTATAGAAATGTTTTTATTAATAAAAACTAAAGCTCTATGAATATCCAATGTCCCTAGTCACCTGGTTCTTATCTTCATGATTTATTACCTAACTTTGGAAAGAATAACCACGAGCCTACATAGGGAAAAAAACCCACAGAAGCTACCCACGCCGATGGTTAAGAAATCGGTTGGGTTTCCAGGGGTCAGATAAACTCAGGGTTGAGTTTCTTAATTCTAGTCTTATTGGAGTAAATGGTGCATGCACTTTGGATAGAGGCAGAAACTTGAGAGTGATTATTATTACAATAGAGTGTGATTAGAGGAAGAAGGTGTGCAGATTCCCAACTGCGAGATAGCAATAGTAAGTGAGAGAGCTATACAGCTACTGAAAAAAAAGAAGGAAATTCCTAAATACTAAGAATTTAATAACTTAATATTATACCCAGTATTATAATATATTAAACTTCAGTCTTTTTACCCAGCTGTATATAAGGTTTAATACTAATAATAGTTATACCCAGCTGTATATAAGATTTAAATTTAAAGGCTATACCTGGTAATACCTCTTTTATTAGTATAACTCCTTTTATTAACTATAAGATACTGCTTTTTATCTATTTAAAGACTGCTGTCTCTGGCCTGGTCCTGAATAAACCGTACAGCTCAAGTCCATTGATACTTGCGAAAGTATTGATAATCTGCCTATTTCGCAAATCGCTGCTTTCATTGTTACAGACAAGCTAAGTACTACATGTCGCCACCTTCGTCGTCAGTTAAGTCAGTCGACCACTCATCGCTACTCAGTCGGATCAATCGATCGCACATCGCTGCACACACTTAAGTCCTCGCCAAAATCAAACATCCCACCGAGCTCTCGCCCGATTTGTCTCTGAACCTCGACATCTACGCATTCTGTCAAAGAACCCCAACTGCGAGATATAGCTATTTTATATAGGCCTGCCCTAGGATAGCAGGTAGGCCCTGGCTTAATAATTCTATGGGTGTGCCATTCCACATGTCACCCGCTTGGATGGGAAATTCTTAGCGTTTATCGAAGGGGTCGATAATTCCCCTAGGCAAGTAGGAGATGAAGATTAACTATTTGAAAACAATTTGCCGTCCTCTTACGAAGCTATTATATTTGCGCTGAACAGTTAGGAAACTCACTATGCCAAACAGTATGGGGATGTGCTCTAAATCCAAATGGCTCATGGTTCAATGCTGGCCATAAAGTACTCATGTGGGTGATGGACTGATTCAGCAGTGGTCATTTCTGTGAACGGTAACAACTGTAAAGTCCTTCTATTATTACATGTGTTATATGTCTAGTGGCTGGTGCTCTGCAGCGAGTGATACTTGATTGCTCTGGGAGACGGGTTAATTCCATCTGTGGAGGCATGTGGTTGGGCAGAGTGAGCTGATAGAAAGTTTATGCTATGTTCTGGTCTGGTTTGCCTCTTTTGACGGACAGAGTACGGCTCGGCCGTCACGAAAATATTGAGAATATATCAATCATGTTCAAATTGCGGAAAACGCTCCCCTATATTTTGCTCTGAGCTACCGGCTTGTTCCCGCTGCTATGGTACAAAAAGTGACTACGTCGGTGTGCGTATTGTAAATGAGAATTTAAAAGTCGTGCTGCATCCTCATGCGATCAAGCTCTGGCAAGGTTTGGTGTAGCCATCACAACAGCCTGGCTTGGCGTCGACCCGCCTATCCAAAGTGGCATTCGATAGTCGACTCTTAGTAAGGTATGCATTAACTATACTTCGAAAGGAGGAGCCACGGCTCTAGACTCTATATCCTTGAAAATGGCAGAAATAATTCCAAGCCCTCGTATGCGGCGGCATGGGGGCAAAGGCTCTGAACGCGAAACTACAACGGGCAGAGTTCCGACACCAAGGATATTAAAGATAAAGGGAAGTACACAGGCTGGTCTTTTAACGAAGAAAAGCCAAGATATCCGTAATCACGGACCTCGCATTGGGTTGTTGGCCTTACTTGACATGGCAACAATCTGCCCCTAGTCGGATGTTGTCATTTGGACCCAGATGGCGCCACATAAAGCCCCTGCCGAGTCAGCACGGCGGACGGAGTAAACACCGGAAAAGCTGTTAGAAACTAAAGTATTGGCATGCTGATCAACGAGCCGAGTTCGACGCCCCTGTAAGTCCAAGGATGCTTAGTTGCACTCAGGGTGGCACTCCGACAGCACAGCCAATACGGTTCGTTCGGGCTCACGCCGCCAGCGAACATGTTGATGTCTCCTGCGAGAGCTCGCCATCGCACGGGGAAATGGCGAACGTTGCACGGAGACTATGGGTCCTCTTGGCTCTCGATAACATCAAGCTGTTTGAATGGAGAAGTGCGGAAATTCAACATATATATCGCGCCGCCATTTTGAGCTAATTATTGAGGTCGCCTCAAAATTTGTAATAGTTTTCCAGGTTCATTTTGGAATATTGAAAATGGGTGTTCTAGCTCGAGCCAAGAAGAACAAAGTGGCAGCGGTCATTATATCAGTATTTGACTGGTATCGTATGTTGTCGCATTCTACTTACTCCTTGTTGCATTTGAAAGCTGACGAGTGTCGTACAGCCTCCCATTACCCGATTGAAGAAAGGAAACTACTTCGAAAGCTCGATCTCGCTATATTAATATATGGTTGTCTAAGTTGTATGTTGCCATTGAATAAGTGAAATAGAGGTCTCCGTACTTACCACAGTCACAGTCTTCTGCCGAGTCAGTATTACTTCTCACCACAAAGATTGTCGTAATTTGGAGAGTCGGCCATGGCCTAACAACTAACATGGCTATCAAGTTCCTCGGACAACAAAATGTCACCAATGCATACGTATCTGGCATGAAAGAGGACCTCAACGCATATGGCAATGAACTGAATTACTATGTTGTCGCATGTACGCATTTCCAGATCATACAAAGGGTCAATTATACTTATGTCAGTATCATAGACAACACGGCATATGTCTTTGGCCAGATCCCACTGATGACACTCCAAACCAAAGCAAAAATGTAGGCTTCTCTATTCAGATGTAGAATCTTCCTTTTCGATCAACTAACCTATTCAGCGCCCCATTTCTATTGCCTTCACTTCAGATTTCTTGGGCTATTATCGCTTTTTGTCAGTCACAAGTAACAAAGAACTGGCATCTATATCTGCTCCGAGCCTTGACTGGGTTCCTTGAAGCATCGTCATTCGGCGGCACTCATCTCATACGTGAGTTTACCCAGCCATATTTTTGACTTCACCCTACCAAAAGTATAACTGGCCGTAATAGAGTGTATGTGCTAATGCAATGACTTTGAAAGTCGGCTCGTGGTTCAAAAATGAAGAGCTTTTCAAAAGGGCAGGTGTTTGGTTCATGGGCAACTCGCTGGGCAGCACATTCTCTGGATACTTCCAGGTCGCCACCTATCGTGGCTTAAATGGTGTCTTCGGTTACACAGGCTGGCAATGGCTTTTCATAGTCCAAGGAATCATCACCCTACCACTTGCCTTTGTCGGATTCGGAGTCTGGCCCGGTCTTCCTACTTCACCACGGCGATGGTATCTCACAGTAGAGGAGCATGCTCTGGCTGTCAAACGAATACCTACAGTGGAGAAAGAGGGCATCACTTGGCAAACTTTCAAGTACACACTTTCTCGGCCGATGTGGTGGATTTGTGTCCCTTGCTATATGTAGGCTCTCTCTTATTGCTTCAAATTGAATGCGTGTGCGGCGAGCTAACATAGAGCAGATTCTTATGCCAATCCTTCTACTGGACTGGATATATGCAGCTGTGGCTTAAATCTACTGGAAAATCGGTCGAGCTTATCAACATTCTCCCTACTTTCATCGATCTCCTCAAGGCATTGTCATCATGGCTTGGCACGACCCTTGCAGGATGTCTGAGCCTAAGAGGTATATGGACTTTCCAGGCATCGCTAACATTCTTTTCGGTCATCGTGCTCTCGATTTGGACTGTTCCCGACGCACTCAAATACATGGCCTACTATTTTGGTGGATTTTCGGGTATGGCATCGCCGATTCTCTACTCCTGGCTTAACTCGACGCTCAAAGAGAATTATGGTGAACGAGGCCTAATTATTTCATCGATGATGACCATGGGATTTGCGATGCAGATCTGGGTCCCGTTGTTTACGTTCCCCACGGTCGAGGCGCCAAGATTTCCTCATGGATATCCGGCTTGCGTCGCTTTCTTGTTCACCATGTGGGCGATATTAATATTTGGATCCTGGTTTATGAAACGGTGGAAATTGAAAAATCCGGACCTAGAAATGAGATTGGCACTTGGATTGAGTGACGACGGCGAAACCAGCGAAGCACCGAGGGAAGTTACGAAAGGACAGGAGGAAGGTCTTAGCAAGACTACCGCAGCCACCGTTCAATAGAGCGGCTTCTCAAAGATCATTGTTATATTATCAAGATAGGCCGAAACACAATAGATATCCAAATTTCTTCCATGAATATAAATAACTATATCTGCATTACCTCGTTGACCGAGTATTATCAACTTGGCGTTCCAAGAGCAGTGGCGAAATCGTCTAGGTGTAAAGTCTCATCAAACGTTCTTCCATCGGTCTCCCACCCATGTAATATCAGAGTGCGAACCATTCGATTGGACATAATGGTGGTTCTTGGGTTCACATTCTCGTCGAGTGAGGATACCATCAGAATACTTCGTCTCTGCTCGAGTTGTCGTTGAACGGCCCGGACGGTGGACACGGACGGGGTATTCGAAAACATGCAGTCCTCCCAAGCACTGCCATTAGATATCAGACAATCTAGAATATTTTCAAGAACATCAATTGTGTTGGTGTTGCCACAGCGTATTGCTGAATGAAGCAACATGCCGCAGATTCCTCTGCGGTAAATATTCTTAGTCGAACATTCAGATATGTCGATGCCTCGGGCAATTCGGACAAGAACATCCATCCAGTGGCTGGCATTCGGGCTAATTGGGCTGAGTGGTCCTCCGGATGGATTCGTTATTCCCAGGATGATGGATTCATCACACAGTATCCGACACCATGCGTAGTCGGCAGCTACCATGGATTCTCTATGGCTATCGAACCGTAGAGGCTCGTTTTCCTCGTTTGATGTTGGCTCAATCTTCTCTATGTCAGTAACCAGTGTGTACTGGCTTCCTTCATCGCTGAGCAGCGGAACCCCCGGGGGCGTGGGCAACGAGAGAACCTGTTCTCTGATGCCCGCCATGTCTCCGAGGCACTCCTGGTAGGCAGACACCAGTTGATGCTTGGAAATCTGCTCGTTCCGGTTCGTAGGATATAATGTGTTTAAGTAGTCTGATAATTGCTTCATGACAATGTATTGCATGCGGCTTGGGATCGTTAGATGATGCTGCATTGTTGTGAGCAGACAAAGGCGCTCGAGTATGATTGCCATTTCGCATCCAAGACTTTGAGCCACATCCGGCTTGATGGGCATATGAATCTCCAGCGTCTGCCAGAACTGATTCATCATCAACTCGCGCGTACTCGGTGGACCGATAGGACCAGCAACGAACTTTTGCACAGAACGCGCGTCGAATAAACCACAGAGAATTTCTGGGCCGTGTTTCTCACGCAAAAGCTGACTGTGTGTGTTGTAAACCAAGCCGTCAACGGTGGAAATGTAGTAGCGCAGCCCTTCAAACGATCCCAGCTCCAATTCCACAAATGTGAGCATCAGATGCGCAGCGAGAAGAGTACTGATGTCCGTGGATCTACAATCGGTGGCTATTTCGAGGGCTTTGCCAGCATAGGCGAGCGATCTAAATCGATGCCTAGAATCTGGTATCCAGGAATATCCGCTCTGCAGGGGAGAGTCGTATACAAACGTCCCTCGAAGATTGGCAAGGTTGGCGGCGCTGATAGCCATGGCGGCGTAGCGGGCAAGATATGATCCGTTGAGTACAGACATCATTGTCTCGGTGCTGGTTGGCAATATATGCGCCACATGATTCGTGAAATGGGCCAAGTAGCTATGATCGATGGATGTAAGCCCGGGGTAGGACAGATTAGGGAAGATTGTCGGCTGCATATATCTTCGGTTGTTGATGAGAATATTAGCAACATCATGTGGCCGCACATTCCCGGGGAAAGCCTGCTGCCACTGTTTAGTGCTTTGCAAGCACTCGAGTTGAGACAACAGTGGCCAATGTGCCCGCCTCGTGATGGACTTTCTATTTGTTTGGCTTCGAAGCCCAGATTCTGGTATCAAACGTGACGATTCATCGTGGAAGCAGCCTCGTGTATGGCCTGGGTGAGTCTGTGGTTTACGGTGATCTTCTGATGGGATACACCTAAAGGATGCATTACACCCAGGATCGGTAGCGCCCGGATCTTGGGTGCTTGTCTCGGCGTTGTGGGCGTAGCAGTCTGTTGTTCGGGTATCTTGGGAAGCATCAATTGGTGACAGGGATGCTTGCTTATTCGGCCAACTCTTGCTCGGGCTCGACGGTTGCCGAAGTAGAGTGTCTGGCTCGAGTTGGTCCTCCAGAGCGCGCGCAGGTCCCACCAGCAAAGGTTCCGAATGTAGAGATTGCCCAGCCCGGCTTGCATTTGATGGGGATGGGGCGGAGCTACTTGATGCCGATTCGAGGTTCAAACGGCCCCCCCTCACCCTTTTCACCTGTTGTGCCGCCCATTCGTTGGCATGTCGAAACTCAACTGTGTCATTCCCATACCTACATTCCACACCAGAGCCCGCGCAGCGTGTGCAGACGGGTTTCTGCTCGTCACACTGGACAATCACAAATATCAGCACCGCTCAACGCACCATTGAACGGCACCTACCTTCTTTCGCCTGGTACGACAGGCGTGACATCCTGTTCGGCTTCGGACGATGGAAGTCTTTTTGCGACGAGCTGGCGCCGGAGCGTACGTCCACCTCTCGGATGGCATTGAAGCGTCTCTACAACTGTCCGGCCTGCGTTGAAGAAGAAACTCGGTTCAACAATGCTCAGGCTGGGGGGTTAAAGCCTCAACACAGGGGATCAGTTCCACATGACTCTCTGGGCAGGGGAAAGTCCTTCGGTGAGTCCACCTCTTCCAGGCTATTCCTAATCAGGTGAACGAGAGCGCCGCTCCCAGATGATTGATAAGATATCCTTGCTTGGCAAGCCACGAGGTTGATGGATGGCTGGCTTCATAAGTCCCAAACTGCTTATTCTTATACTTACTCCGTTAGCTAGGCAGTAGATTCATACTAATTCGCTTATCTTGAGGGTTTTTTTGCGTATATAATGATGCCAAATGTCCACTAAGCGACGCGGGAATGGTGAACCGAAATCAATCCAATTTTCCCTGTTTCAACTACAATGTGAGCATCCCTGAAACTAATTATCGCCGTTGGTGAGTTCCAACTAATCAACCCTCGTACTGAGGGTAGGCCCATCAAGCCAGACGCCGAATATGACTGGCTCGAGTCCCAGACTCCAGAGTGCCTCAAGTGGGCAAGGCAGGAGAGCCAGCTCACTGCCGACAGATTCGACCATCTGCCCCGGAGCAAAATGATTGAGCAAGAAATGCAAGCCCTTGTTTCATCAGCAGTCAGAACTCCATCCTTCTGGGTCTGGGGCAGACATTTGTTCCGACTACGCCAAGATAATGTCAACGAACGAGGGATTCTGGAGAGATGCGCGAGGGTCAACGATACGACACCAAAGGAGGATGACTGGAAGGTCGTCATCGACATTGATGAATTGGGCCGGAAAGAGAATCGCGTCTATGAATTTCATTCGCATATGGAGTGTTGCATCTTTGGCCCTGATGCAGATCGTCTTTTACTAATGCTTTCCGATGGAGGTTCCGACTTAGTCGAGCTTCGCGAAATTGATGCAAGGACAGGCCATTTGATCGATGGTGGATTTCACACGCCGTCGGGTCGCATCACCGTTTCTTGGCTGGATATCGACCATATTCTAATTAGCCACACAATATACGGTGGCCCAAAGACTGCGGGAGACTGGCCCGCGGCTTCTTATATTTGGCAGCGTGGATCAGATCTCAAGAATGTCAAGGCAATTTTCACGGCTGAGCCAACCGACGCAATCGCAGGTGTTTGCTCGCTCGGTCTTACAGATAGTGGCCGGGCTATCATCAATCGCGTTGTGGACTTCTCTACATTTATCTACTATATTGTGTCTCTTGACGGGAGCGTGGAAGAGCTTCCGGGTCTGCCAACAGGTTCATCCATGGTGCTTCCCAGGCCTACAACGTCAAAGCACTTGTTCATCTCCCTATCCAAAGAAACCGCCGTACGGGGTAGGATGGTACCGGCAGGCTCCCTAATTGCCTACGATGTTTCAACCAATAAGCCGAGCGAAGAAAGACTGAGCATTGTATACGAGCCCGAAGAGGAAGAGGTTAACCTACACCTGTGGATCAATGGTTTGCGGGCAAGCAATTCAAGGGTTCATTTTGCTATGAGCAAGAGAGGTGTAGAGAAACGAATGGTCTTCGATAACAAAAACGGGGAATGGCAGCTTGTCCGTAGCGTCCCGACCAGCACCGGCTCCCGTGTCACAATTGTTGCGGCAGACTGTTACAGTGATGATACCATCATATGTGAGTCTGGACTACTTTGTCCTTCGACCTATTGGCTGGAGGATGAAGAGGGAAAACAAACCCTACTTTATGCCGAGAAACCTGCCTTTGATGCTAGCGAGTTTATCCTTCGCCAGATGACAACCAACAGCGAAGATGGCACCGAAATCGATTACCTCGTTTTATCTCCCAGAGTCCCAAAGCATGACCAGGGTAAAGCCCCTGTCCTTATGACTGGGTATGGTGCATATGGTATATCAATGCCTACCTCGTACCTTAACTCTATGTTGGGGGGGGTTTCTCTTGTCCCATGGCTCAACAGTGGTGGCTCTCTCGTCATCCCATTCATACGGGGCGGTGGAGAGAGAGGCGAGGCATGGCATCAAGCCGCGAGACAGGAGAAGCGTCAGAAGTCATACGATGATTTCATTGCGGTCGCAGAGACTATTGTGAGAGATGGTTTCACCACACCGAAGCATCTCGGCGTTTACGGTTCGTCCAGTGGCGGCCTCCTCTCTGCCATAATGTGCATTCAACGCCCCAAACTTTTCGGCGCTGTCGTGAGCGATGTTCCAATCACCGACATGTTGAGGTATACATTGATGGGCATGGGCGGCGCTTGGATATACGAACACGGCGATCCCAAGGATCCGGAAATGGCCAAAGTACTAAGAGCATACTCGCCATTTCACAACATCCAGGATGGGGTGAACTATCCTCCCTGCCTGGTCACGATTTCAACCAATGATGATCGCGTCGGCCCCGGCCATGGGAGGAAATTTGCCGCGAAGATGAAAGATTCCGGAGCGTCGAGCTTTTATTTCTTTGAAGATGATAGTGGCGGCCACTCTGTCAGTGATTCTTTCAAAAACACCAAACTACTGGTTAGGCGACTCGTTTTCTTCATCGAAACGCTTCAATAAAGTCATATACTTTTCAGCACAGTTTTTATTACATCGATGAATAAAGTATACATTGTAAATATCGGATTCTCAATGAACCATAATGTTTCTATGCCAGTTATTAGCTACGTGAGAGTCTGCCATACTGCCAGCAGAATACCACATGTCAGGCAGCAATGTTAAAAGGCACAGGTTGATCTAGGCCAATTTTGAACTGATAGCTACTAGAGCTGATCCCAGTGTATGATTACACCACCAGTTAGGGTGAGATGAACTGGAACGCGCAATAGGAAAATCTAAAACTAGGCTCCTGCTATTATTATTATGGATTCTTCCTAGTTTGTGCAATAATTTGATATGTTACTCTCCCAACAGCAACAGAAGATATCTCATTTTGAGGAGCGCGGTTCGCTGCGCACGCTGACCAACTTTAGGCAGTCTATCAGCAGCATGACTGGCATTTGCTTCATAAATGTAATACAGGGGCATTCACTAATGCTAGGATAGGTATATTATGATGATTATAGAAGATATGATCTGGGCTCTGCAGTGTCATATCTCGCTGTCTCTAGTAACTAGTGATAAGACCTATCCATCGCTTAAAGACTATAAGGTACTATAGCTCGTAGGGGTAAAAGGTAGTCTTGCCTACCTTAAAAGGCAATTATACGAGTAAAGATAAGCCGACAGACATATTAAATGCCACGAGGAATATACTTGAAGCACATACGGATTCAGCAGCTTAAAAGGTTCTGATCTCTTTCATTTATCTGCACGCACCTTAAGTGTTAACCTTCGTCTTAGGTAGTGACAAACGGTACATTCTGAAAATGATGGAAATATTAAATAATATCACCCATCTTCGTCCTATTAGCGGTAGGTCGACCTGCACCTATTTCAATCTAGCACTTGGGCTGCATATAGCTCACAGCCTCGGATGTGCTCACGACGTATCCCGACACAGGCAGGACAACGTCGAGAAGATGTGATGCCACCTGCGAATTGGGGTCCCAGACCGCATCCCTCACCACCGTGACGACAAAGTCCTCGTCGATGCCCTGCAAAGCGGTGCCGATGATGGCGCCGCTGGTCGCGATGCCGCCGAGGATGAGTGATGTGACGCTGAGCTCCTTGCGCAGCGTCGTGATGAGGTCCTTGTTGAGAAGAGCGGAGCGAGGGCCAGGCACTCGGAGCGACGTGCTCTCGTGGCCCGTGGCGCTGCCGTTGGGAGCCAGGTCGGGATGCTCCTTAGCCAGGTCCAGGTTAGCCTCGAGGAGGGGCTTGTGGATGGTGGACCACTGCTCGTAGATCTTGCTGGTCGGAGGCGGGTCGAGCTTTGTGTCGATGAGGCAGTGGATGATGGGGACCTTGTTCTGGCGAGCGCTCGCCAGGAGCGTCTTGGCCGAGTCGAGGACGCTCTTCTTGACACTCTCGTCAGTGATCATACTGAAGAGCACATTCTGGTAGTCAAGGAACAGCAGCGCCGTCTCGGACGGGCCGTAGAACTGCGGCTGATTGGGCTGGGCAGTTGCGGGTGGCATGATGCGGGTGGCATGATGCGGGAGACGTCCTCTCGTCTTAAGAGCAGTGGCAGGTCTCACTGGTGGTGTCAGATATATAACTGCGTGTGCTGGGAGGAGTGAAGACGAGCAGATGCTAATTAGCAGAAGACTTACAATTGAATAGCTATACGATAACGGATATCTTCCTAATAGACAAGTTGGCTCTTGACCCTTCCAAAATCCCTCGAGATCGCGATGTTGTTTTGTTGTGGTGGCCTCACATGCCGGGCCCACTTACTCGCGCGCCCTTATTGACCAATCCCTTTTGTCCCTGACAGGTGGACGAAGAAGAGTTGGAGGCAGCGGGCAGTCCTTACGCTATATATTGGTGAGAGGAGGTTACAGCAGAGGGATTGGTCTTGAGACAGTCAAACAAGCGGTGTAATCGGAAAGTCCGCCTAATTCCGCCAAAGACATATAACTTTCACGAAAGAGGAATAGTATGTATAAGCATAAGCATAGCCCTGGGGTATTATCCATGTAGCTACCTACTAAATACGGTACCATATTAGTATGCAACCGTGGTCGCGATATTAAGAGAGTAATACTGTATGCAAAGTTTTATTATGATATTGGGATGATCTTTACTAATAGTACATATAGTATTTAAACTAAAATAGTACTGGTAGTATACCTGATTTGAACCAGGTAGATGTGATTTTCTCCTGCTGTTGGAGCCGCAGTTCTTATGCTTCCTTGACGTGCCTTCCAAAGCCGGGCCTTGAAGACCTTGCCCAAGGAAGCAAGAACCTACTTCTTTTCCCTTATATGACCCCATTTGCCCTAACCCTCATGCTTACGATCAACGGCCTAGCCTCGAGCTGCCTCGAGCAGGTAAGTCAAACCTTTTCTTGATCCCGCTAACCACGATCCGGGCGAATACAATCAACAGCCGCAGCCTCGAACGGCCTTGAGTAGGTAAGCCAGATCTTATCCACCTCGGCCCTCATAAATGCGATCAACAGCTGCAGCTGTAGGCTGCCTCGAGAAGGCAAGTTTGACCCTATCCGCCGCGATCTAGGTGAATATGATCAACAGCTGTAGCCCCAGGCTGGCTTAAGCAGGTAATTGGGATGTTGTTTGCCGCGATGATGATGAATCTGCAAGCCGGTAAGTCAGACCTCTTAGTAATAGGACTAATAATTGTAGCTCCATAACCTCTCAGCAACCTCGATATGCATTGGATGTTCAAAAATACTGGCCATTCTCGTGAACACAGTAGGCTTCTTCATTTAATTCTAGTGTCAGGTTCCATTTATCGAACCCTCATAATCACGCAATCAAGGAAAATCCAACATAAGATTTAAATGCACAAGCCGAATGCTCAGCACCAGCCTCAAGATTCCAAATTAGCCAAGTGTCACCTCAGTACACCTCTCAGAAAAGTGCAGATGCATAAAGATAGGATCTAAAGAGCGTCATTACCCCTTCTTTTCCCAATTTATGCTCTAGATATCATATTCTGTCCGAAAGGGCAACCACACTTATCGGCGCATAATTTTATCGGCACAGAATTAAACAAGGTCATCGAGGTTCAACCGAATAGGTTATGCTTCTAACGACATATTTCATGCTACATATGAGTTCGCCGGTCTCGGAGAACCCAGGTTCTCTCTCAACGTTTGCCCCTCATACTCGGATCGGAATAGTCCCCTGCGTACAAGCTCAGGCACAATATGAGTTGTAAAGTCACGAAGTCCGTCAAGTAGGAGTGGCTGGATAACAGCAAACCCGTCTGTCGCACCCGCCTCCACCCAAGCCTGCAGGTCATCAGCGATGGACTGAGTGGTCCCGATCAATGGTCTATGCCCAAGCCCAATAGAACAACGCTCGGCTGTCTGTCGTATTGTGAGCTTGTTTGATCGCGCAAAAGAGGCAATAGCGGCCGCTCGACCGCTGGAAAATCCAGGATCATATTCATCTGGGAAAGGCGAATCTATGTCTGCATCCCCAAATCCAATGTGAAGGTTTTGAACTGCCACTTCGATAGGCCATAAGGATGTGACCTCTTTGAGTTTCCTCTCTGCTTCCTCTTGAGTTTCGCCCCAAATCACGGCGACACCCGTTAGGATAACCAAGTGATCCGGATTTCTTCCTGCCTTTATGGCTGCGTCCTTGAGGGCTCTATAGGTTTTCTGTCCATCTGGTATCGAGTAGTTTGCGCAGTAAATCAAATCTGCCGTAGATCCGCCAAACTCTATCCCTTCAGGAGATGTACCAGCTTGGGCAATCACCGGATGGCCCTGGATTGGGCGCTCAATCCTCAATGGTTGAGTAATCTTGTAGAAACCGTCATCGATGCTAGGCCAATGCACCTTGCTCAAATCAACATAAACACCACTCTCCTTGTCTCTGAGCAGTGCGTCGTCTTCAAAACTGTCCCACAGAGACTTGACGGCACTTAGAAATGCCTTCGCCCTGGCGTATTTGGCGGGACTACTCTTGGTTTCTTCAGGTGGCACTCCCAAGTTCCCGGAACCAGGCCCTGGCGTGGTGACAACGTTCCAACCAGCTCGACCGTGGCTAATGTGATCGAGACTTGCAAGCTGCCTCGCAACATGTGTCGGCTCGTTGTCACTGACGCTAGCAGTGTACACCAATCCGATGTTCTTCGTGCGCGCGGCGATGGCTGAGAATAGAGTCGCTGGTTCAAAGCCGCTGACACTCCAGAAATGCTTTGCCAATGGTCCGGTAGGGAAACTGGCACCGTCTGCAAGAAACAATGTTTCGAATTTGGCACTTTCAGCCAGCTGCGCATACTCGATGTAATAATCCACATCCAGACTTTCATGAGCATGCTGGTTTTGGTGTCGCCATATTTGGGTTTGCTGGCCCGAATAAATAAAGGCGCCTAGCCTCAGTTTCTTCTTCTCTTGAGGCGACATGGAATCACAAATAACACTGGATGGGTAGGAGAGTTGGAAGAGCGGGAGGCTATATCGCGCAAACAACCGGAATACTATTCAAGAACCCCCAAAACAAAAGGGCAATCAGCCATTTTCTAACACTTAGCAGTTTCCTCTCCCTCTTCATCATGCCGACTCCGGGAAATCTCCCATGATCCATGCGGTTCGTGCCAGTTGACGACATTACCCCACAATAAGATGGAATCGGGGAGCCTGTACCGAACACTTGGTCAAGGCACCTTCAATGGCAATAACCGGGTATTGGAGCAAACGCCTTATTTCTGAATAATGGCGATGTCTTAATTCAAACGTCGTCCCAATCGGGATTGCTTTAGGCTGAGTAGCGATGTCGGATGCCTTATCATAGACAACCATCTCGTATAATCTACCTCATTGGACCACCAGATTCTTTGATTTGTAACCTTTCCCATATGCAATCGCATCTTCTATCACGACATATATCCCAGCAATAACAAGCGGACCATTGATAGATGAGAGGTTTCTTCTGCGTAACGGCTCCCACGCCTACCCCTCCCTGTCGGTCCTGCCAACACAACTATATACATTTCCCCGATATGCATGATTCAAGTGCTTGCGATGATACCTCATTGTACCCTTTCCTAATTTTAAAGTATACAAGTATCTCAAATGACGTCACAAAGTTCCAAGAATAATGACAATTCAAGCTTGTCGGTGGACGAGGGGTCGGGCCTCCAGACAGCTCCCAAAACACCCGCGCTGGTCATAAGAGATCTCTCTGAATATGAAGACCTGTCAAAGGATCTTCGAAATGATACTGAACTACGAAAAGAGTTTTTGGCGACATTCACAGCTGAAGAAGAGAAAGCGATTATGAGAAAAGTAGACAATTGTTTTCTCATTCTCATTGGTTTCATGTTCATGTTCAAAAATGTGAGAGCTTTCTGACTCCCTTCTAATATGAATCCAATAATATAAATATTGACATATGATATAACTAGATTGATTTCTCAAATGTGAGCATTATTAAAACAATGCAGGCAGGGACTCCAAACAACATCATGGCCGAGTTGGGGTTCACTCCAGACGCCTATAACTGGGTTGGGACTATCCAAGGAGTAAGTTCACGCAGTTCTCAATGCCAGATTTAATCAATAGGATATTTGATATTGATTTTCACTACTCATAGATTCCATATATTATATTTGAGCTACCTAGCAACCTTCTGCTCAAGTGGATGACGCCCCATTCCATGGAGTCACGCATCTTCTTGACGTGGGGCATTGCCACGGCGTGTTGTGCAGCTGTCCAAACAACCAGTCAGCTGCTCGCGTGTAGATGGCTTGTTGGGTAATTCCATCTCGTAAATTGTACATTTCAAGTACATTCGGCTAACCCAGCACTAGAATGTTTGAAGCGGGGATGTTTCCAGGCGTCATTACCACACTATCTTACTGGTATCGAACTGATGAAGTCGGTCGACCAATACTATGGTTCTTTTGGATCTCCCAATTCTCAACTATAGTCGGTTCCCTTATCTGCTACGGCGCAAGTTACATGGATGGTTTACGCGCGCTAAGCGGATGGAGATGGGCATTTATCCTAGAAGGTGTTGCTACAATCATTTTCGCGGGCATTATCTTCTTCCTACTTCCTGATTTTCCTAAATCGCCTCGCAGTAGCAAGTGGCTTACGCCCAGGGAGCAGCAATTTATCGAAGCACGCCTTCCACCGAATGCACCAGCCACTGGCGACCCGAGCTGGAAGACCAAAGATGCATGGGTGGCCTTCAAAAGCCCGACGACTTGGGCGTTCCTCTTTGACCAGACGCTGATGAATCTCTCTCTGTACGCCTTGAATTGGTACATGCCGACAATCATTGCTGGGCTGGGATTTGCGAAGCTTCCTGCCAGTCTGCTGCTCAATATTCCTCCAGCTTTTGCAGCAATTTTGGCCATGGTGCTTTGTGTGCTTGTAACATCCCGTGCTTTGGCTCCAAGACCGCTGCTATGTGTGTAAGTAAATCACCCCCCGCCTTCAAGATTTGTTTACTAACAACGGTGCCCCTTTCAGGTTTGTTGTTTTAGGATCTATCATATGTTACATTCTCTTCTTCACAGTAAGCGGATCAGGTGGACTGTACGCAGCATGCATACTGAGTCAGTTCTTTACGTCTTCTTATTACGTGCCATACTGGTCCTGGAGAACATCTATCATGTCGGGCTCGACCGGAGCCGCGTTCGCTATTGGCCTACAAAGCAGTGTTGCTCAGCTCGGTGCCGCGATTGGACCTCAGTTCTTTCAGCAGAAATGGGCAAGCGACCGATATCGTAACAGCTTCCTGATAGGCACTGCAATCACGCTGGCAGCTTTGGTTACAAATCTCTGGACATGGTGGCTGACCCGTGACATTGAGCGCCGAGTCAACCAGGTTCGAAAGGCCACTTTGAAAGCACGGAGGGAGGGTAAAGCATACACTGGTAATGAGGATATAGATGTTTTAGGTGATCGAAAGATCAAGAGTAATTCTTGGTGGTGAAATAAAAGCAGGGTCACGGTATAGCAGTAGACGCTACATTAAGCTCATATCAGCATACCATATGGAGACAGCGCAATTACAATCATCCCTTACACCTCCAAACTTGAACTGCTCACCGTTCGTTCAGGACATCAATTTTGATGTACGCTTCAGTCCCCAAGAGGCCGCTATATCGGTCGTTTTCCGGAAGACAGCTCCCGGAAATCATTTGCTCCTCTCGCAAGCGAAACTAGCCAGCCTAACATGTTCATGATATCGTGATAACCGCAATGAAAGAATGATGGATGGTGTAACGTTAGTTGATATGCTCCGCATGTCCCCATGCTAAAGATGCCCAGTAGTCCTTCAACCCACTATGCGTTATGCGACAATTAGTCCTTCGTTTGATAGGTCAAGATGAATCTAATCCTAGCATAAAGACGGGGTAAGCCCATCACACTATGGTGTTAAAAACCGATAGTAACATTTGCGTTGGAGATAACAAGCTAGAAATCACGTCTTTCGCACGACATCTTCCGTTATCAAGTCACCAATTGGTGGGTCTATCCTCATCCACCCAAAGGCTCAAGACCGCCCGATGATCGGAAAAAAATTATATATCAATTGAGCCAAAAACATACACTCCTAGTTAGACCATCGAAGATTCCACGTGCGGATTGTCCTTGCTTATACTAGTTCTTCGGTCTTTGGATAGACGTCGACTTCAGTCCGACCAACGCCATGGCGGAAATCAACAACTCGGTAGCAAAAGTGAGCCTTGACAAGCTCAGCGCCACTCGTAAGAAATACGAGGAAGAAGCCAAAAAGCGATTGAGCCGAGATGCATCTTCAAAATACCTCCCTTTAACTGATGCTGAGGAGAGTCGGATTCGCTCCTTGGGAGATGACCCGTGGGTAGACCATGAGGCGCTCAATCAACACCCCTCGCCAATTAAAGAAAATTCTACGCACCGCTTTTTCATCCTCGGAGCGGGATTTGGAGGATTACAATTTGCCGTGCGACTTATTGAATCGCAACTGGCCACCGCAGATGAGATTCGAATCATAGATTCGGCTGGAGGTTTCGGGGGTACATGGTATTGGAACCGGTATCCCGGCCTTCATTGTGACCTTGAAAGCTACATCTACCTACCGCTGCTTGAGGAGACCGGTTATGTGCCGTCACAGAAATATGCCACCGGTGCAGAAGTGCGAGGGCAAGCGGAGCGGATCGCGGCGAAGTGGAATCTTACTGACAGCACGCAATTCCGCTCCGAAGTCAAGAGAGTTGAGTGGGACGAAAATTCAAAACTATGGAATATTTCCTTCACAGAGAATCGTGGTCCGTCAAGTAGCCCGGTTGAGCGTCGGTTTCGTTCCCAGTATGTCTACCTCGCCGCCGGTGGACTTACTCAGCCACAAGTCCCCAGAATCCCTGGACTCTCTTCATTCTCCGGGAGCCTGTTCCATACTGCCCGATGGAATTACGAAGTTTCAGGGGGTTCTCAGGACGATCAGACTTTGACTGGATTGAGCGACAAGCGCGTAGCAGTCATTGGTACAGCCGCCACTGCCATTGGCGTAATTCCTGAAATTGCAAAATACGCGAAGAAGCTATATGTCGTCCAACGAACGCCTGCGAATGTGAAACCACGCAACCAACGTATCACAGATCTGGAAGAATTCAAAGCTTCAGTGGCCAATACGAGCGGGTGGCAGCGGGAGCGTCAGTTGAACTGGAACCGCTTCGTCACTAACTCGGCCAAGCCAGGAGAGAAGAATCTCGTGGCTGACGGCTGGACGACCATGCCAGCATATTCTGCGTTGCTCGGCTCTCCCTCCCACGGTATTGTTGATCCATCACCGGAAAATTTAGAAAAGCATGTCTCTGCTTTCCATGAACTGGACCTCCCTACCATGGAGGCTGTTCGGGCCCGGGTTGACACGCTAGTTGAGGATCCGAACACATCGGATAAATTGAAGCCGTGGTATCCTTCATGGTGCAAACGCCCGACATTCAGTGACACTTATCTACAGACTTTCAATCAACCCAACGTTGAATTGGTCGACACGGATGGCCAAGGGCCATCCCAGATAACGGAAAAGGGTATAGTTGTAAGTGGAAAAGAGTATGAAGTCGACGTTATTGTTTTCAGTACTGGATACCAGCTCTCAACTACAAGAGCGGCAAGCCCCAGCGCGAAGAGCAAGATTACCGTTGTTGGTAGAAACGGCCAATCACTTGATGAAAAGTGGTTGGCCAGTGGCGTAACTACTCTCCATGGTTACCTGACAAGCGACTTCCCGAACCTGTTCTTTACTGGGACGTCTCAAGCGACAGCAACAGGCAACAACACATTCATGCTTGGTTTCATTGCTCACCATGTTGCGTTCATCATTTCCGAGGCATTTTCAAGGCTGGGATCCCAGTCACGGCCCATTATCGAGGCCACAAAAGCCGGAGAGGAGGCTCATGCCAAAGAAGTTCTACGACGCGCGCCGTTTTTTTTCACGCTTGCCGGATGTACACCGAGCTACTTCAATGGGCATGGCGATGCGGCTGCTATCAAGTCTGAGGAGCAGAGACTCAAGCGAGCAAGGGGAAGTATTTGGTCAGAAGGAGCAAGATCATATATTGATTATTTGGAGCAATGGAGGAACAAGGGGACTCTCGATGGATTAAGTATAACATCAGCGAACAGTCCTCAGATTCGCTCGAACTTATAATGTAGCGTCCAAAATTTGGAGATGTGTCCGAGCCCTTACTCGCACTTGAAAAACATCATAGGCGTTTCAATTCATAAAGCGACTTTTCAAGTTGAAGGAGGGGGACATCTGTGCATCTCATAAAGAAGTATAAGATAAGCTACGGCCTCATTGGAGTATTGCAACAAAAAAAGAGCATACAGCCTCAGATCAAAGTAGAGCAAACCCCTTTCATCGTTGCGTGCCCGCGGCATTTAGAGATAGCCGATCACCACCTGTAAAAACTCATTGGAGCACCTTTGTAATTATACATATCGTATCGCTCGCCGCTCTGGTCTCCTCCACTCGCAGCTGCAACTAGAAAAGGCATGAAATGGTCCGATTCTCCTTCCTTGTGAGCTACAAAACTCTCCGGCAAATCTCGCCAGCCTAGCAGTAGGTTTCTTCTCTCTGTAGCGTCCGAAACGGTTGCAGAGGCTTCCAGAAACTTCTCAAATGCCCCTGCGCTCTGAGGAATTTGCTGATTCTCGAAAACGGCTTTAGCAATGGCGTGGAAGTCATGGTAAGAGCCCCCGCTTCCGCAAATGGCATAACCTCTCTCACGGAAGCCTGCCAAGGCCTCACCCAATTTGACATTCTTCTCTGTCGACTCTCGCTCATTCTCACCTTTGAGAATTGACATTTGGACAATTGGGATATCGGCGTTTGGTCTCATTAGCGTCATGGGGACGTACACAGCGTGATCAAACCCGCGCTCGGAGTCTATGACTGGGTTAAAGCCGACTGACTTGAGGTGGTGGGCTAATTCTGCCGCCAACTGTGGATCACCCCTGGCTGGATATTTGAATTCAAAAGCCTCGCGAGGGAGAATGTCCCTCTTGTCCTCATAGTCGTAGAACAATCCTGGATCACTGGCTGATGTAATATGTGGTTCATCGGTTTCCCAGTGCGCCGACACTAGGACAATGGCCTTGACACCATCAAGTAATTTGCCGTGACCGCGAAGAAGCTGTCTGTATGACTCATGATCAGGATTCAAGAGAGGCATTGGCCCAGTACCATGAGAAATGAAAAGGCTTGGAGCCCGGAGCTGCTTAGTGCTATTCTCAGAGTAGGCCATAGTCAACGATGGGTTTGCTTGAAAGTGAAAAGAAGGGGAATCGTGAGCTGGATGCACAATCTATAGACCTGCGGATTTTGCATGGCTTTTATAGTAATTTGCTCCCAAAAAATCAACCGACATACTCTGTTCAATCGGAAGAAATGCGTGACCTATCGGCCTCTCTTGTAACGTTGGTGCCGGCCGCGAGACTACGTCCATCCTCACATGAGCGTATATGGTAATTTACTCTCGCAGCACTAGTCCGCTAGCGTCGCAATATTAGAACCCAGTCAGATAAGATCAGATCATTGGCTGGTTAATTTCGAATCCACATGAGTGACTGCACGTTGAGATTCGGACTTAAACGATATGCCGAATTTCAAATCCGTGATTGTCTTGACAAATCTTTGACTTATTGGCACCAGTCTGCCGACTGCTTAACCGTTTTTCTTGCGTTTGATAACTTTGACGTCAACGGCGTAACTATGCCCAATGCCCCGAATGCTTGCGCGAGCTGCTTTTCTAAGAAGCGACGATGTGACCGTTTGCTGCCTCGATGCAGCCGCTGTAATCTGTATAGTGACGTGACCCCTTTGGTACTTGATAGCGGATCTACTTTAGGACCGTCGCTGATTGGAACCAGTACTGGAGGCCGATGCTCATACAATCATGGCAGCGTGCTCCTGGGCGAGTTCAACGAAGCAAGAGTCCAGCATATCCCATTGCGCAGGCAAAAGATGGTGTCCTGTGCCAACTTCTGGTCCCAAGCCCAAGATCTCAGAAAACTTATAATATCCTATGCGCACTTCATTCTCGGCGAGATCGGGAATCCTAGCCTTTTCGTGGGCAAGCTGTATAGGGACTCGGTTCACTGGTGGCTACCGATAATCGACCCTGCAAGACTCACTCAAGCGATTTCTAAATATATCAACCATAGGTCTGCCGAGGCTGCTGTTCTATTGTTACATATCTCCCTCTTGGATGCGCAAACAGCAGCAATAGAGGCCAAGGCAGAAACTTTCTCATCCTCTCCCTATGCTATATGCAATTCCGGGTTTATGCTTCTACGCAAGATTCGGGGCTCTCCAATTGCCAAGCTACAATCAGGCATCCTGCTGGCCGTTTTCGAAATCGGAGAGGGACTTCTATCAAACGCATACAGTACCCTGAGCATCTGCGCTCAACTATGGCACGAGAGCGAAAGCTATTACTCGGCCACAAACACCAACAGTCTCCCACAAAATGATGAGTTGAAAATATTGCAGTCTGCAATATATCTCTTAGATAGACTCCATTATTTCTTCAGTGAATCACCAAGGCCGTACTTAGTGGAAAAGCTACCTTCCAATCAAGCGTTCAGCCATATCAAAGCTGACATGGAGGACCCGTCGGCCATTGAACTGGCCAAGGCATCTCATGGAGCCAAGAGCCAGTATCAGCGGCGACTTATCAATTTTACTCAGCAGACGCAAGCATGTGGATTACTAGAGAGGGTGGCTCTATTAAAGAACCCGAGTCCGAGTGACATGCTGACCCTGGATATTCTACTCCGGACAAAGCTCACTGAGAATCTTGCGGTGAGAGAGGATGATTGGATCCTACCCTATTTTTCTACGGTTATTCTATTATTGTATGTTGCATGCCGGGACGAATGTATCTCCGCTAATAGTTATATAGAGCTTTGATCGAGTTGCACTTGAACGCCATCAAATCTTGTCCTGATTCTAAAGCGTTCTCTTTACTGGCTATTGATTCCGTTTTGAACACGACCAGGGATATTACAAGGATGGACGACGTTAACAATATCAGGAGGATGCCATTGGCTGCTGTATTACTGCTACGGAGGACCGTAAAAGCAGCAAGCATGTTGGATTCATCCCTGGGTTATCATCCAAATCCGGAAATGCTAGAAGATCTAACTGGATCTTTGCGACGTGCCAGATTTCAATGGAGAATAGCTGGCGATATCGGCAATTCATAAATCTATCGAGTGTTGATTAGTTGTTTTAAAGGTTTTCGGGCTGCTCCATGATACTTCAATGGTCTGGTAAGGAAACAGACACCACAAATAGGAAACCATGTGTGCTTTGAGCCACAGTCGAGAAGCCGCTGAACTAAGGCGATTATCGGCATGCTTTGATTCCCTTTCGATCCAAGCCTTACTCTTTTTGAGCACAGAGCTCATACGTTAGTAGACTTGAAGCCACCAAAGAGAGATATAAAGCGGTAGGATGTAAAAGAACACAGCAGCCAGTTGGCCAAAAACGACAAATATTCGCGGCATGCACCAACCTTTTGGTTGTCTGAGAAGCTTCCTTCTAGCCGAAGTGCAGCATTGGCCAAATTTTGCTACCAACAACGATCCACAGCATCAGCTTCACCCCAATCAACATGTCAGAGTAAGCCCCCTCCCTTCAATCAATGAACTGTACTCCGAATTTGCCATGTCAGCAAACTGCCGAAGGTCTGGGCAACTGGCTCTCACCTTCCAGCGCTTATTATTATCTGTGTATAGTGGGTGTCGAACGGTTTCCTCGTTTGTCAATCGCACACGGGATATCTTTTCTTGCTGCCGGCAGCGCCATTATGACATATCGCCAGCAAGCTATCTCGAATTACAACCGGATCACATCTGCAGTACAACCCTATCACAGCAACGTGTAATTCGTTGACTCGCAAAAGGCTGCATTGTCATCCCACCAAAAACTTGGTCCGCCCAGTGGGTGATCGGGGAGGTGGTCAACACCAAGTAAGCACATATGGTCAAGCCATGAAACATTGAATGTCCTCCGAGGAGATCAATACGATCTAGCGTGTCTTTAGTTTCTGCGCATCTAACTGCTATCCGAATGACGGACCCTGCATCCGAACCCGCTACCCGACATGCGCACCACCCACTTCCTCCGCGAATCCGGTACGTGTTACCCCATGTCGGGATCCCCGACTCCTTGGGGTAATTTCAGAACATGGTGTGGTTGATCCGATGGTTTTCCCGGATTTGCTTGCATGGTCAGACCACCGTGATCGTCAAGCATGTCTTGGCCCGACACCATCCTAACCAATGTATAAAGCGTCCTACAGTAGGTACAGTAAGCTTAACCCTCCTCAGCTTCGTCTTTCAGTTCTCCCACAAAAGCATTACGTCAAGGCAATAGTCACAATTATCAACCGCTACGCGTTTATTCGTGCCCACTATTTGACAAGACATTATTCTCCATTTCACTCGAGGAGATACATCATGGCGGAAGATCATGTTGATGTGCTCATTGTCGGAGCCGGTCCGGCCGGCCTGATGCTGGCCACATGGCTAGCCAAGTGCGGTGTTAAGGCGAGAATCGTGGACAAAAGAGGAACCAAGGTAAGTAGGGTCATATGCTCAGCGTACTCTATCACTCGCTGACTCAGATCGGTTAGATTTTCAATGGCCAGGCAGATGGACTCCAGTGCCGTACGTTGGAGATTCTAGATTCCTTTGGAATCGGCCACCGAGCTTGGAGGGAATCCAACCACATGCTTGAGATTTGCCTCTGGAATCCCGACAGCAACGGCGTCATTCATCGTTCCTCCCGTCTGCCCGATACGATCCCTGGTATAAGCCGCTTCCAACAGGTCGTTTTGCACCAGGGACGAATTGAGCGCTTCTTTCTCGATGCCATAAACGAATTCAGCAACGGTGGCGTTGGAGTGGAGCGGGGAGTTTTGCCTACGAGCTTGGAGATTGACCAGAGCTGCGTGGAAGACCCCGACGCCTATCCGATCACGGTCAATCTTAGACACCTGAGCGAGGAGGACGCCACCCCTAAGCAGAGCTCGACCATGTCAAATGGAACCTCGGCACAGGACGGTCTTTTCAGAAGCAACTTGATGGCAGATGACACGGCCGACCTGCTGAAGACGTCCGAGCTCAACCAAAAGGCCAACACCACCGAGACCATCAAGGCCAAGTACATGGTCGGTGCTGATGGAGCTCACTCCTGGGTGCGAAAGGAGATCGGCCTGAAGCTAGAAGGAGAGTCCACCGACTACATCTGGGGTGTCCTCGATATTGTCCCTATCACTGATTTCCCGGACATCAGGAGCAGATGTGCTGTTCACTCAGCCAACTCTGGCAGCATCATGGTCATTCCTCGTGAGAACAAGCTAGTCAGACTTTACATCCAGCTCACCACGACATCCAAGATCCAAGGTCAAGATTCACGCACGGACAGATCATGGATCACACCCAAGGTGATTCTGGAGTCGGCCCAGCGAATTCTCTCCCCGTACAAGCTAGACTACCGAAAGCTTGACTGGTGGACAGCCTACCAGATTGGCCAACGTGTGGGTTCGAGCTTTGGAGTTCATGACAGGGTTTTCCTGGCTGGTGACGCTGTTCACACCCATAGGTATGACCTTGATCTTTATTTTCTCTTAGGTGGTTCATCGCAGTGCTAACATCTGGTTGTAGCCCCAAAGCTGGTCAAGGAATGAATGTCAGCATGCAAGATGGTGAGTTGCGCTTCTTCTACACTAAGATACATGGGACGTCACATCTAACATGTGCCTAATCTAAAGCGTACAACCTTGGATGGAAGCTATCCAGCGTCATCAAAGGACATTCAAACCGCTCAATCCTGAAGACTTACGAATTTGAGCGTAAAGCTATCGCCCACGCTCTCATTGAATTTGACCACAAATTCTCCAGACTGTTCTCTGGTCGCCCGGCAAAGGACATCATGGATGAAGAAGGCATCAGCATGGACGAATTTCGAGATGCTTTCCAAAAAGGAAATTTGTTTGCAAGTGGAATTGGTATGCACATTTGTAGATTTATGGATGCTTGCGAGTGATTTTTGCTAACCATTGACAATAGCTGTCGACTACGGTAGAAGTCTCATTGTAACCAAGCCAGTGGCTGAAAATGGTGCAAGTGAAGCAACCGCGGCAACCACCTCCACGCCAGTCAATGGCTTCCAGGATCTCGCGCCTGGGTTGAAAGTGGGACAAAGGATTCCAAGCGTCAAGGTCCTAAACCAGTCCGATGCGCGCCCATGGCATCTCCAGGAACGTCTTCCGAGTAACGGCACTTGGAGACTCCTCGTAATTCCCGGCGATGTGAGCCAGCTGGGTCAAAAGTCCAGGTTGGAGAAGCTCTGTGGTCAGCTCTCCAGTCCAGAATCATTCCTGAGACGTTTCACACCCAACTCTGCTCGCTATGACTCTGTTATCGAAGTCATCACCATCCATGGAGCACCCCGGCAGAGTGTCGACGTTTTTGACTTCCCGGAAGTTCTTCGACCGTTTCATGAAGTTGATGGTTGGGATTATGAGAAGATTTTTGTGGATGATCAGTCGTACCATGAGGGTCATGGAGAGTTTTACAAGACATTCAACATCCGCCGTGATGAAGGATGCCTTGTTATTCTCCGACCAGACCAGTACATCTCATACGTGGGAAAGCTTGACGACTATGAATCAGCTGATCGTTTCTTCTCTGAGTTCATGCTACCGCAGAACAACCTAACCCTACCCAAGGTCTAGCTAGCCAAGATAGGATAAACGGTAGTTGTAGTTGAGGAGGTGGAGGACATTAGTGATACCTACTAGTAGATAGCTAGAAGCTCCAATAGTGTCATTTCTGGCACATGGTCTTACTCGAGCTGAACAAAATATTTGTGTGTTCAAATGTTCTTTTTGACGAATTGGATCGCTATATCGGCCTAATACATAAAGGTAGGGGTGAAGGAGTTTGAGTCCACTGCATCCTTGTCAATCGCATGTGCGTCAACAACAGGGAAAAGAGACATGTTATTACCCAAAGAGTCAAACCACAGCATGTTTGGCGACATTGAAGGCACCATTGTAGCCAGATTGTCTTCTGTCTGCACACTGTCCGACTCTCGTGTGCCATTTGTCTGCGCAATGCTCCTCGCTGCTTCATTCTGCGCGTCGTTCCCTGTCAGGTTGATTAGTCCCATGTTGATGCCCTGTTCGCCTACGTTACAGAATGCCGGTAGAAATGAGGCATAAATATCATCAGAGCCACTATCTTTCAGTTGCTTTTCCGTGCTCCTTTGTCCACTATCTGAAGCATCCTCTCCGATCGTGTTGATGCACCCGAAGAGTCCCTTGACGAGGTGGCCGTGACGCTCCATCTTTCGTCGAGTTCTCAATTCTATGTATTCATCGCAAGCCTCTTGAAAGTGCTCGAGGATGACCGAGTGGCGCTTTGCGATAGCATCATGTTGGCCAAACCGTTTGAGGGCGCTCCTCGCCAGCCTCAAGCTATGTTTAAGCGGGAAATTTGTGTCCAGGTCTCCAAAAATCGCCGCCCCAATCACCAGACCTGAGACGAAGACGGAGTTCATCACAAATGGCAGTCGTTTTGGAAGGCTCTCAGAGTCCAGCAGTGGCTGGAAAAGATCGATGCTGCCAATCGCAGACTCCAGACAGGCAAATACGAGTGCTTGGTTTGAAGGCAGCGCTTTGCCTTGATCTGGTATGAGATGGTCCCCCACAGTAGAGTCTACGTGCGATGAGACCATCTTGAGAAGAAATGGCAGAGATAGTAGAATGATGGTCCAGTAGGCTGTTTGCTTGAGATGTAAGAGCCCAATGTTTGGCTCCTGACCACTGAGTTCAGTTTCACCACCAAGTGGGATGCCGTCCAACTCTAAGCCTTGAGAGGATTGTGCAGCCCAGCGCCGGTGCTCTTTGCTGATCCTTTCCAGGACCTCCGTGGAAATTACCCGTTTAGCATAAACATCTAGCAGCACGGATTCGAAGATGTTGGAGAGATCGTTGCATGCAGAATAATCCTCTACGCTTGATGTGTTCCGTGTCTCGGCGGTTGAAGGGGGCCGGCCAAGCGATGCGCTCATAAACAGATCCAGGATGCGGATGGCTTTCCAAACCCTTTCTCGGCGCTGAAATTCGTCTGGCGGATAAAGCGCCGAGATATCTTTGCGATGAAGGCCCAGCGCATATGCTGCGCGAACAGCCATGCCCAGATACATGAAGGCCGAGTTCCGCCGCGATGCTCCCAGCAGATACATGGCAATCAGCGCAAAGGCTTGGATGGTCGGGATATCAGGATCCTCCATCAAGGTATCGACAGTCAAATATCGGCCGTAGTTGAAAAACGCCTGCGCCAGATCGTCCTTGTCATGAGGGCCGGTTTGAGCACCAATTGCAAACACGAGATAGTAAACGGAGCTGGCCGGAGTAGCAGCGTCATTTCCATTCTGAAGCCACTCTGTAATCCGGTGATCCAGATCCTGATCGTCGAAAAGAAGCAACACGCAATTGGCTGATCGCCGATACCAAGTCTGGAGGTATTCGGCTTCAGCAACAGATGGTCTTGGTGGCGGGTTTCTCGCACTGGACATTATCCAGCCTCGGTCAGAATCAGGCCCAGAACCAGAGCCAGAACAAGGCGTTGCTTCTACGATCAAATGGCGTAGTGGATCGCTCACAAACGCGCAGCTGTCCAGTGAGCGGCGAACGATGCGGCGAATGTTCTGTAGAAACGACAAGGTTGCCGAGTCCCCTATAAACATGTAGAGTCCCTTGGTGTCCTTGACAAGCCGGGACATCGGGGGAACTCTGGCTCGGTGTGCTTCTTGGAGAAGCTGTAGTGAGGACGGCGTATCGTGTGCAGGCGGCGCCTGTTCAACGGACATGGGGAAAGGCGATCCAAATGCCACGCCAGGCGCAGTTTGCCTAGAACTCTCACGAGGCGCCAGGTCCCTGCTGGACGATTGATCCAGATCAACCCGTCTACTCGACAAGCCAGACATGGGATTCCCTCCATGCTCGGTATCTGGGCTTGGAAGAGAAGACGCTACCAAGCCAAAGGGGATTGATGGGGATGTTGCCATTGATGATCGTTCGCATTCACGCCCAAGTCCACGCTTCACGCATCGCCGACATGGACGCAGACCATCACATCGTTGTTTTCTATGCTTACAGGCTTCGCAAGCTTGAGCACAGCGCCGCCGGTCGCTGTCACGTACTTTCTTCGTGGGCATTCTCAGCAGGGGCTATCGACACCGGCTACCTTTGCTTGTGATGCATGGCCAAGGCACCAGTCGTGTGAATTTTTTCGTATGGCCTGCCGCTCTGTCCTACGTGGTTGCCAGGGGAAGTCTGTCCTACGTGGTTGCAAGGTTCGTAGCAGTCAATGTTCAAGTTGGCCCGTCGTCAGGGGAAAGAGGCGGTCATCAAAAACACTGCCAACCGCCCATTCCCTTGGCCAAGGTTGTTCTTCCTTGTGTCGGCCAATTGGCTTTGCTCACTTCGTAAAGCAGCAACGCACGGCTCCTACTGGCGTCGATACTAACGAGTAGTTGGTGTGGTTCCAGCCTATTACCATGATCCCCATGACGCCTGGTGCCTTTGCTCTGGCCCACAGAACCCTCATCCGATCCCGGCATCCGATTCTCGCACGGTCAGAGGGAGAGAAGATGGCTGCGAACCTGGATATCGTGACCCGTCTTCCGACAGTATCTTACCTACTTCCCCACGACTTGGCCACCCACCCCGCGTTCTCCAACATTTCTCCATAAGAGCAGCGTCAGTTTGGTATTAGATCATCAGAGCACCAATGAGGATGAGGGCATTAATTGTTCACGTCCGGGTGAGTGGATGTAAGAATCATGTGTCACGACACCCTTGCCTACCCTGCTCCTTTGCTCCCCTCACGCTCAAAGGCAAGTAGCCGACCACTAGTTAATTGGCCACCCCTCATTGTCTTACTATAGCTTCGGGGTGAGATCCGACGCTTCGTGCTCGGCTAGCAGTAGATCAGTGTCATATGTGCCTTGGTTCCAACGACCATTTACTGTTTGTGCGTAGAAGTAGTACATATTTCGAGGAATCTTCTTTGTAACCTGACTTTTTTGTTGCCTTAATAAAAAAAAAACGTTGGCTTGGGGATTGCACCGGATATCGGTGCTTACCTGCTGAGAATTCAGCACGAGCCACCCATGATGCTTACATGTATGTAGCATTCCAGGTTCCGGTCGGTCGGAATGGAGGAGCATTGATCCGCGACGTCCTTCGACACGACCTAAATGAATCTTACGTAGGATCCCCGCGGCAAGGTTAGTTGTTTGTGTTTCATTCACAGGGAAAATGGAGGACTCATCGACTGCTCTGCAAATACATGATGGAGAAACAGAAGATGGCGAAAAGTCAACTGAAAATGGCGGCGGCGCTGGGCAGATTCGCTCAATCCACAAATTAACGCGCCGAGGGCACACCAAATCGAGGAGAGGATGCTTAACTTGCAAGCGGAGGAGGGTCAAATGCCCAGAAGACCAGCCCGCATGCAGCAGTTGTGTACGACTCGGTTTGATTTGCGAATATCCACTTAAGAATAATCCATCTGCTCCCCTACAATCGACGGGGGGCCAGTTCAACTTGAAGGACCTCAGGCTGTTCCATCATTTTATCCTCCACGCATACCCACCACTTCCGCTACACGGCAAAGCTGTGTGGGACGATATAACATCATATTCTCATAATGTAAGCTCCAATATAGTAGAATACATAGGCCCATGGCTGATTTAGACCAAGTATGAGTTTCTCGTCCATTCTATGCTTGGCCTCGCGGCCTCGCATCTTTGTCTTAATGGCGGTGGAGACCACGAAGCTGAGGCTCTAGAACATCGCATCAAGTCGATCAAGCTGTTGAACCAAGCACTATGCAAACCTCCAACCTCAAAGACTGAGAGTGATGCTAGGTTCTCCACACTCATGGTGCTTACATTCCAGTCATCCTACATGCCAGATGGGATGCTGGAGATATTTCATATGATCCGCGGCTGCATGATCCTGACCAAATCCACGCTGCCGAAGTATGCCATGTCTTTATTTACAAAATTTGCCTCGGGGGGAGTTGACAAGAAACTCCATGAAGTCACAGAACACATTTCACAGCCAACGTCTTTGTTTCTTATCAATGCTTGGGCCTCACTCGAATCATTGCGGGATCTGTGTCGCACCAAGTTTGAGAAACAATATCTCGGTATTTTGGAAAACCTCGTGAACATGGCCTCAGTCTCCAACATGGATAGTATGTCCCCTCACTCCTTATTTAGAAATATCTCTGACCTTGCCCGTTCCAGCGTTGTTGGCAATCTCGTCTGCATATAATGTATTTGGAGAGCCGGACCAAGCTGATTTTAATAATTTCATGGATAGCCAAAACCACGTCGCTCAACTATTGGTGGCTCATTTCTTTATACTTGAGTATGTAATTGGGCGAAAAGTACTTACCCCATTCATGTCAGCCTTCTCCTTCAGAGAAACTATGCTACGGACATGGATAACGAGACTTTCTCCAAAGCTGGCTCCGGAGCATGCCTCATACTTGGATTGGCCACTGCGAATGCTGGATATGATGGAGCTGGCTTACCTGGATCTTCCAGATATCCCAAACTTGAGGATATCAGACTGACCCACGAACTGTGGATGGGGGTCTGATTGGGGGGGGTTTTTTTCTTCTAAAGAAAAGCTTTCGCTGTCACTTAGATTTATTAGATCTTAGAAGATATGAATTCAAATGAGGCGGGCATGGATTAGTGATGGAGTGGCCTCCATGTTGCCACAGGGCTAATTGAACCAAACACACGATGGTGAAATGATATTGTAATAAACACTAACTTATTAGCAATAGAGTTTGAATAAATACAATATATATACACGAATAAGGCATAAAAATTATGCGAAGAGAAGAAACACCAAGAACTCGATCAACCCATTGCACGCTGACTTCCTCATTCATTTCCCACCCAAACCGGTCCAATTACCCAAACAACCCGGAATGATATCTGACTCTTTAACGCCGCTATTAATTCGAATCCCATGTATTTGCAGAGTGTCGTATGTATCGATAGCTACGCCATATTCCAGCATCCAAGCGCGTTTTTATTTCCCTCGCCTGTTCCCCATCCCTTGCTTCGACCGGTATGAAGCGACAAGGTGACATAGGTGGCAGGTTAGGGAAATCTGCACGGCCAACCTAAATATCTCATTCGGCTTGGAAACAAATTATGAAGGGGCCTCGTTTTTGGATGTGTGAGTGGCATCCAGCTCGGAATAGCGCATATGAGTAGGCGCCTCGGACAGACCAGGAGAAGATGGCGGGTTGGTGCTGAAGGTCTTATTATGCTGTGATGCGGCACCTCCGTACACTGACGCCGAAGTGATTGTCGAGCCGGCGCCAAAATCTTGGTAAGGATCGATCTCATCTCGGTGGTAATGTCCTGCGTGAGATGCTTGCTGCATTGCCGGGGCGGGAGCCGGGGCAGCAGCTCGGGCCTCGTCGAGTTGCTTGTGGAGAGCAAGGTTCTTGCGGTGAAGAGCAAAGACCGCGCCGGCGGCGGCCAAGGCAATAACGCCCACTACGACGGCGAGACCAATTGTTGCGTTCTTGAAGGTGGCCGACTCAGCAATTGCTGTCTCGGTAACGATAGCGGTCTGCGTCACGTTTGCTGCCGATGATGATCCCTTGACGTTGACCAAGGTGGGAAGCTCGAATGCTCGACTAGTGCCGCAGCAGGTAAGATTATTATGCCCACAGCAGTACTTGCCGTCGGTGCAAGGCGTGATCTCGACTGTGCCGTTTGATGATCCGCCAACCTATGTTTCAATCGTCAGTTACTTCACCCTGGAGGCTGGTGGGAAGCGATACGCACCGACTCATCCATGCACACCTTGACGCAGGCGTCGCTCTCCCAAGTCTTGTCCGAGCAGTATCCACGGAACAGTAAACCCTTATTCAGACAGAGTCCGGTGGTCGTGCAGAGGTCGCGGTCGCCGGCTTTGCCATCTAAGTTGCAGCAGCTGGAGTAGACGCCTTCCTGGGTGATGCCCAGCTTGTTGCAGGGGACGTAGGTCTCATTGTCGGCCAGAGTCTTGCCATCGGGCGCGAAGCAGCTCACTTCCTGGGCGGAAACAGAGACGGGCAAGTAGGTGACTGCAAGAAGCAGGTTGACGATGGCCGAACCGAACATGGTGTATCAAACAACTTTATCGTTTACGCGCGGAAATCGCCAAGTCAAAGATACATACGCGCGCCAACTCACACACAGGGGGCCGAAGATTCAACGAACAATCAAAGAACAGAAATCGAAGACAAAAGGACTGGGGAGGCGCTGGCCAAGTAAAAGTAGGCAATCAGCTGCCAATTCGTACGGCCAGCCGACCGTTTGTCATAAAGGGTCCCAAATTACTACATATCAGATGCAACCACGCCGAAGCCATCCCGGTCAGCCCGCATGAAAGCTGACAGTATAGCGTCGGATTGCCCCGGCCTACGGGTCAATGCTTGCTGACCAAGGTGTTGTGCAGAGCAAAAGAGAGTGTATTAATATCGCAGCTAGCCATTTGCTCACCACGCTAATGCCTTCATCAGGCCTTGGGGGCTGCCTCGTGCATGGCTAATTCCTCCAGGACAAGACAGATCTCCGGGCTGAAATCCTTCAGAACACTCGTGGATCTATTAATGCGCTGGCACCCACGTTACGGCACAGCAGCCCCAATCTTGGAATTGCTCGACCCCTCCCTCGGGTAAGCGAAGGGACCGGAGTCTGCCAAGTTTGCCCGTCCACCAATTCGCCCGGGTACGACGCTCGAGAATACGACGGTCTGTCTGTCATGTGCGACGAGCTGCCTACAGACACAAGCACAAACACAGACAACGTTCGGGAGAGGCGTCGGTAGAGGCGGCCAGCACATGGCGGATTGCACATGGCATTACATCCCTGATTAGCAAGTGGCCAACAGCTGAAGCCAGCCCTACTAATGACCTCCCTTGTTCGCTTTAGGTCGGCTGCTAGACATGGGATGAATCAGTAATGCCAATATCATAATCCCGCACGAAAATCTTCATTTTGTGGGCCTCGGCCTCTTTACAGTGAGATTAGCCGAGGGCAGCTGCTGGAACTTTTGGACAATTAGATTGGCCACCAACGAAGACCCTTCAAAAATTAAATGTGGGCCTTCCCGGGGGTTGCCTCTCCGGCTAGAGAATCACGTGCATACGATAAGGGTCCGTGATATCACGTGATGTGGCGTTTGTGTTTTTCCGTTGACTAATTTTTCCGATATTTCTCCCGTGATGACTCAGCTCTCTCAACCTCGTTACCCTACATCAAGGTCAGTTGCAACACCGTTCGCCTGAATTGATGTAATGAATCCATCTGAACACTGTTAGCAAGTCTGGTATGGAGTCGGTTTATAGATTGCCAATCAATTCAATATCAATTCTTATTCGAGTAACATGAATGTTGAAAAAAAAAGTTGGTCAACTTAAAATTGGGATAAACATCACTAATCAAAGCCACCGTCCTTACTCGTATTTGCAGGCTTCTTGGCTTCGTCTTAGGCTCGATGCGGGGTAACAAGCCGGGTCTATATCTGCCGTATTATTACTACTGCACGTCCCACAACGAAATGCAAATCCCGGGGCAGAGGATGGGCCAAAATTCCCAGCAGCAGGGACGCGTCTGATATCAGCTCATGACTCGGGAACGAAGCCATGGCACGACACTTTCTCTCCAGACCTTGTCTGGCTCCGTGATCCCGCCATGGGCTGCTAGTCATGCACCGCTTTCTTGGGTCTAGCACTCGGATGAACAGGAGGGGATCTCATGAATAGCGCTCGCATCTTTGCCTGATTCGGCCCAGTTTCACCGCCGCGTGTGCTGCCGGCCAATGAGCCAATGGGGAAACCAATAAAACATGTCGCCCAATCTCCCCTCTAGCTCAATCGAGAAATTTGGGAGGCGCCTTTCTTGCAGCCGAAAGGGGTTTATATGGCTCTGCCCTGGCTGCCTCCATCTTCCTCTGCATGTGCAACACGTACGGAAAAATAATGACATGGACTCAACACTGAGCTCAACGTCGGGCACCTCGGGGACCGCGACGGTGACGGGCCCCCAGACGCAGAGAGACCTCCACGCCCTCCAGCTCTGCGAGGAGGCTTTCCATGCCGAGTTTGAGGGGAATTTCGTCCAGGCATATCACTGCCACGCACAGGCCGTCGCCGCCCTCCACACCCTGGTAGAGGACTCGCGGTTCCTCGATCGCGAGCGGAAGAGAGTCGCGAAGAAGCAGCTGAAATTCCACCAGGCCAGACTCAACGTCGTGCGGCCTCTCAAAGATGGAATTACCAACCCCTCATTCGTCATGCTGCCCTCGGTATGGACCGCTCGCGAGGAATTCCGCGAGATGCGCACCGGACCCCTCGGCCAATCCCTGATGGCGATCACATTTGTATGTCCCAACTCCATCATTTTTACTCACGTGGTTGTGGTGATATATATTTTCTTTTCTTTTTTCATCTCCACGAATTTAACGCGCTAACTCACACTTCGCTAGGATGACATCTGGCTCGCCAATTTTCAAAAGCAAAAAGAGGAGGAACCTGGGCTGGCCCCAGAACAAACCATGGCCCATTTGCTGCAAACCCCTGTTCCCTACTACTCACCAACTCTACCATCCAAGGAGCCCGCCACAGTATATCACATCTCCGTCAGCCAGGAAAAGTTCAAGGTGGGCTCCTTCATGTACTATATCAAAGTCAAGAGCGACACGCCGGAGCGACAAACGCTCTACACCCTCCAGGCCCACAAGCGCACCAAGCACTCAATAGACAAGACCAGCCTCTACCGCGCGACCGAGTTCACCAAGAGGTGTCAAAAGGTCGTCGTCACCCCGGTCAAGCCGGGATTCACCGAGATTGAGGATTCATTCAAGGGACGGCCAATGACCGTCTACAACGACATGGGAGGCCGCATCGAGGAGCAGCCCGACCGCCTGGAGAAGCCCGGATGGGGGCCGCGACGGTTCGTCTACGGAGGCAGGAATTTCGTATGGGTGACGGAGGGCACGAATGAGTGGGTGCCCCAGACGCTCTACGAGGTGAGCGAGATCCGGCCGAAGCCTCGCAGCAGGACGGGCAAGAAGGAGCACACGGTTGTGGGGTCCAAGATTTGCTGGGGAGAGGGCAGGTTTGGGTTGAGGACCAGTTCGGCTCTGTGCATTGCGGCCGGGGTGGACCAGGTATTCCGCGAGCACATCTTGAGCGTGCAGCTCACTAGATTTGCCATTATTCTGCATGGGCATGACAAGTGATGATAAGGGTTTTAATATATGTATGTGTATGCATATGGTTTCTTCATTCAGTGTAAATAGTATACGAGCCGTTTCTCGGTGGTTTCCAAGAATAATAGCAGAGCCCAGGAAGAATAATAGTAATCTAATATCCAATTGTATTCCAAAGCCTCTTCTTTGAACCTTTTGCCAGATCCCCATGCATCTGAGTCTTGGAAACTCCCAACAAACTCTTTTTGGCATTGCGTCCAGAATCAATATGAGAGTTTGTGCCTGCTTCTTCTTCTGAAGAGGGTCTGTACCAGTGGCATGTGCGTTCTGAAAATAGACATTCGAACCCGTTTCATCAATCAGCTATCAACATACCTTTCCGGAGAGTGGGTGGCGAAGAAGAGTAATTGAGAATTGTATGATTTGAGGCTGGGTTAGGTGTTTCGCGCGCGGCATGGTTCGATCTACAGGGGCATTTTACGTCACGTTGTGGGATCTGAGAAGGAGCATGCTGGCGGGGCTCTTTGATTTCGATACGTGGGATCTTTCTCTGCTAGAATCTGATCTCAAGAGAGAAGGCGGTCTCAAAGGTGTTTCAACGTTACATAGGGGTAGGCTAGAAGAGAAGCCGAGCATATTACCTTAATCACCTATTGATTTGATGAAATTCTGACGTTCTAGAGCTTTTATAATACCTACTGGTTAAGAATTTCCATGCCTTCAACAATAATCTACAGTAGATCTGAAAACATCTGATTAATACGATAAGGGGAGATATGCCGTTTATAATGGAGTAAGCACCTTCACTCTCTGGGACTTTATACACAAAATTTGAAATCAAGCCCGTTAACTGATCAATTAAGTTAGGCCTCGACAGTCAGAGGTGATTGTCTCATCCTTCCGACCTGCCGAAACTGTATGGTGTTCGGATTGTGGGAGCCAAGGAATCATGTAACAATCCAACAAGTTATCCACTGATCAGGGGCCCGGGCAAATTAATCTTGCCAAACTAGGCTGCTGCTTAGATCCTTCTCAGAATATATAACTCAAGATAAGCATCCCTTTGTATGTGTGAATTTTAATTGTAGGACTCTCACATGGAAGTTGGATAATCGCTCTTGTTGTTTTTTGAGGCGAGATGGTTCAATTTCCGCTGGCAGTCCAGCTGCTGTTTGCGGCATTCTCCGTCGCTGCTTTCACGCCAGAACGTATCCCGGGTGCTTATATGATTGAATTCGAGGATTCTCAAGTAGGGGCACCCGACCAGATGGTTTTATGCGAAACCAGAAGCAATGAGAGGCTGACAATCGTTAGGACCTATCAAGCTTGGAGAGCCTTGTTGAAACAAATGGCTACGTGCGGAGAAGATTTGATAGTCAAGTTTTTAAAGGATTATCCGTCCAACTCAATGACGTTGAAAATGCAGAGGAATCAATTAAAATACTGTCGACGGCTACTGCAGCAAAGAAAATATGGCCCATTTCATTGCACAGTATGCCAAATGTCACGATCCACTGGATTGGAAATGATACTGAGAGCTTTGAGGCGCGGTCTCTCAATAACCAAACCTCGAAGCCATATACCCCTCACGCGATGACCCAAGTGGACAAAATCCGGGCTAAAGGCTATACTGGTAAAGGCATCAAGGTAGCTGTCATAGATACTGGGGTACGTGATTCATTATCCTTTCCAGCCCAGGCTACTTATAGGAAAGAAGCCCACTTGAAAAACTTGTATTTATCAAGGTATTTCGCGTGGAAATAATGTACTAACAGAAACCAGGTTGATTACATGCATCCAGCTTTGGGGGGATGCTTTGGCGACGGTTGCTTGGTGTCTAGTGGCCACGATTTTGTTGGTGACAATTACAGTGGTCGAAATGATCCAGTTCCTGACGATGACCCTATGGATTGTGATGGCCATGGCACACATGTGTCTGGAATAATCGCGGCACAGAATAACACCATGGGGTTTACAGGAGCTGCTCCTGGGGTTAACCTTGCGTCCTATCGTGTCTTCGGCTGCTATGGCTCTGTGACAGATGATATTCTTGTTGCGGCTTTCACTCGCGCGTATGAAGATGGAGCTGATGTCATCAGTCTGTCACTAGGAAGTCCAATTGGCTGGTCGGAACACCCTTGGTCTGCCGTCATCTCTCGTATTGCTGAAGCTGGCGTTGCTTCCGTCGTCGCGGCTGGGAATGACGGTGCCGCCGGTGCCTTTTACCACAGCAGTCCGGCCGACGGCAAGAATGTCGCAGCTATCTCGGCCATTGAGAACATAGTGACCCCTGTATTCATGCGGTTATCAAACTACACTGTGGATGGAAAACCCAATGACTTGCTTTATAGCGTCACCTATCGGACACCGTTAGAGGGCTCGCTACCGCTCTGGGCTCCAGCACTACATTCAAATGCCACTGCTGACGCCTGTGAGACTCTGCCAGACGAAATTCCCGACCTCAGTCAGTATATGGTTCTAGTGAGAGCTGGAGGATGCACATACGGGCAACAATCGACCAATCTCCTTGCAAAAGGCGCCACTTCGATTGCTCTATACTACAACGACGCCGGTATCCCTGTAGTCCCTACAGACTTAGTATGGAGTGTCAATACCAACATAGTCGTCCAATCAACCACTGGCAAGGCTTGGGTTGATGCTCTCAAAGCTGGAAAAAAAGTGGTGGTTAATCTTCCAAACTCAGAGAAGCAAGTCAACACCCTCGTCGAAATCGAAAACAGCCAGGGAGGAGGTGCGGTAACAACCTTCTCAAGCTGGGGTCCTACCTGGGAAATGGACACAAAGCCGACATTTGGAGCTCCTGGAGGCAAAATTCTTTCCACTTATCCTCTTCGGCGGGGCGCATACGCAGTGTTCTCCGGAACCTCGATGAGTACGCCTATGACTTCGGCAATCTACGCCCTGCTCAATGAGGTTCGTGGCAAAATGAAGCCTGAAGCTATCAAGAATCTCCTATCATCTACTGCCAAACCTCAGCTCTTCCATGACGGGACTCAGTTCCACTCTTTTCTTGCCCCAGTTGCTCAGCAGGGTGCGGGATTGATTCAGGCGTATGATGCTGCTTTCACTACTACACTATTGGAGCCATCTAACCTGTCTTTCAATGACACGGATTTCATGCCAAAGTCGCTGAATTTCACTCTCAAGAATGAGGGCCAAAGTGAAATTAGCTATGATCTGTCATATGTCTCATCAAGGACTGTTCTGACTCTTGACGAGTCTGGAAAGGCGGCTGCGTTCCCTAACGAGATGGTAGAATCAGCAGCATCACTTCAATTCAGCCCCTCTCAAGTGACTATCAAGCCAGGGGAGTCTGCTACTGTCGATGTCTCCGCGACGATCCCCGAAATCGATGGCAGTCGTCTTCCGCTTTGGTCAGGATGGGTCACGATCAACGGCACAGATGGGACTTCCTTGTCCTTGCCATATCAAGGACTGGCGGCATCACTACACAATTCTACCGTCTTGAACACGCAGACAGGCACATGGATCAGCAGATTCAATGTGGCGAGCTACGGGCCGCTACCAAACCATACAAATTTCAATCTGCCGCCGAAAGGAACAGAGGACTTGTCTTCAGATGGCGCCAACGTGCCGCTACTTATCACCAATTACATTCTTGGCACGCGTCTTGTCCACGCTGAACTTGTCCCGTTCAGCAACGGAACACAGTTGAATGAATCTATTGGCGAGCATAGCGGGTTCCCAACGGTATGGATGTCGCGTGGGAGACATATTATTGATTGGGGTGGTAAGCTGGACAATGGAGAATACGCTGCACCTGGTAGTTACCGGTTCAAGGTCAAAGCACTGAAATTAAGAGGCGATGAAGGGACGGAGGGCGATTGGGACATTGGTTGGACCCAGCCTTTTTCCATCACATATCAATCTTGAGATCCATCTGGTAAAGGGAGTTGATGTTGCCACCTACGAATTGAGCTCTTATCTGGTAGCCCAATTAAATGTAAAGTATTCCAACCCTGGAAGGATTTGCTGGGAAATAATGACCATATTCTGATTGACGCTTGAACAAACGACCTTCGTCCGCATAGAGTCATTCCTGATGCCCGACGCTAAAGAAATGGAGCCATCTGGTGTGAAATTGAGGCTAGCGGAAATCACAATATGATAGGTTTCGTGGTCTAACGGTCATGACTACAGGTTCTGATCCTGTCAGCGAGGGTTCGACTCCCTCCGAGACCTTCTTTTTGCGCAACTCATCAACCAATCAATGCTCCCGAGCGTAGCACATTGAATGTCTATTTCAGACTGCTCCGCTCACTCTGCTCCCGCTATATCACCTACCCTAACGCCAAATAATCACTATCGCTACTCCATGCTTAAACCTTCCTCGAACTAGAAAGGATTGACAAACCTACAAATGCCTAGATAATTTGTTATATAGTAGATTGTCTTGGTATTTTGAAGAAATCGCTTTGGTGCTGAGCGCCAGTAAAAGCCCGACTTCCCAGGAAGTTGCCAAAGGGTAAAAGCTGACCGTGCCACGCCAGGATTTTTCTAAATATACATCACGTGCCGCATCTGAATGTGTTAACCCCCTAACCCATAATCGGGCGCTACTTGAAAGGGACTTTCCAAAAGTAGCTGTCTATAATTAAAACTAATTGATAGAGAAAAACAAAACTCGTATTAATACATCAAATTGCTGAACTTCTTTTCTTTTCCTAAACCTTGTAACCGCCTGTGTGCCCCGCTCATTCATTCGACCTCGCGTTGCTTGGGTCTCGCTTTTTTTTTTTCCTGGCCCCGTTTAAACTTTATTAACACGTGAAAATTACGACGTCATTATCCCACCTGGAGGTTGGCTGGTCTCATGGCCCGTCTATACCCGACCAGCCAACATCAAGTCGACATGACTTTGGTTGAGCTTCTGCAGTCGAAAGGACACTAGACTGCTCGCTCATAACACAGAAGCTTCACCAGTAGACTTTGCTTGAACCTTTGACTAAGTCTGAGACGACCAAGTTGTAGTGAATGGACTTCTCGGCAAGTCATTGTGAACCTCACTGGTATCACAACCCAAGGTCCATGCCAACAGCTAAACCTGGGACATCTTCAAATGCTAATGCTCATCACTACTCCGGAGGATTCGAGTCTCTAGCAATAGAAAGGCTCATTGCGAAGTTTCCGGCCCAGCGTATGGTCCAGGACATCCAGGAAGAGGCCTCTGATTCTGGGGCTGCCGAAGGTGTGCGGCACGTCAAGGTTGAACCGTGGTTCACATCAACATTTGGGCTGGAGTCGCTTCCAAATCCGGAGCTGCTAAGCCCCTCAATCGACTCAACCATGGCTGGCTCTGGGGTACCGCTTTGGCGGACCGATACATGTTCAGGAGTGGCGCCTGAGCTAACACTGCTCGGAGAAGCAGCCCACGACCGGTCGAAACCTCTTCCAGGTGAGGAACGACTAGTCCTTACCGATGCTGTAGACGAGCCAGGCTCATTCCCATACACTTCAATGTGCGTAGCGGTATCTGTTTCGGAAGCAGCCTCGGGTTGAGTTGAAAGATTGCTTGTATCAAAGGCTTCGATCTCTTGTGAAGGCTCTGCTTTGAAAACGAGTAGTTGAGATGGCTGTATATCGGACTCTCGAATAGGAATGTTCTTGGACCTAGACAGGTTTTTCTTGTAGAATATCTGTGCCAGGGTGGATTGTATCCTTAAAAGGGGGTTAGTTAGCTAAGTAGGGTAACGTCCATGTTGTCACTTACTCCTCTCTGTCCCGATCAATAACGAGATCTGGCTTGTAATTGTAGTGGCTAGCATCTGCAGGCCAGAACATGGAGCCTTGTTGAAGTAAGAAGCTGTGAGCCATTTCCATCAAGCCGAAACGATGCTCATCAGCTTGGAGGTCGAAAAGGTCCCTTCCATGAATGCCATCCTGGGTGTAAAAGATCTTTTGGAAATCGTTGATCCTTTTGTTGAGGAGGCTCCCTTGGGTTGTCGGTCTCCTGTCTCCGATCTTTTGAGCATGCTTGAGCTGGAAAAGTAGGTCGCCAATGCTAGTGGTCGAACGAGGAGGTTGGAATGGAAGGTTTGGGGTTCCAAGTTCCCAAGACATGATGGAGTGTCAACTCTTGTGACTTGCCCACTTTGTGAGTTAAAGGAAGCAGCTGTGGAAAGAAGATTCGCAGCTCGCTTTTGTACTAAGAAACACGTGACAACTCTACTCTTTTCTTCCAAAGGGATTCCGCATCTGCTGTTTCAGCTGTACTCGGACAGGCCGTTCTTGGCCTTGTACTGTGATTTGAACCATTATTGGAAAAGTAGTGCTTCTGCTCCTATGATAGGCCAGTCATGGTCCTCAAGAACGGAGTGGTGTGCTGCGTTGTCACTGTAATTTTAAGACGCGGTGTACATTTTTCTTTGGATAGACAAGATATCCGTTGGTTTTGATCAGTTTGGTAGTATCAGGTCCGTCCGCGAACCAACTCTCATCAGCTGAATCTGCCTCGATGGGGCGTGTGCGCTGGAGAACGCACACACCTCTCGAGGACTAATCTTGGGAAATGACGTTTATGTCTTGTCTCATTCCGCCACCGATGTGGTATTATATTAAACGCAGATACAGGACATACTGCCTAGCAGAAGGGGATCCATAATCGCGATGCCAGACAACCCAATAGGATACGTTTCCGGGAGCCTCTGGGCGCAAGTAACAGGCTGCGAGCGAAGAAACAATTTGGGACGAGGCGTAACTCTACCACACCTCACTACCTTTTGGGATCTGACTGCATGAGTCTTCAATATATGGCTGTTTTTCCTTTTCCTTTCTTTTTATATCTCGTATTTCACGAATTAGCAGCCACATGAAACTACCCCCTGTTTTTCCACTTCAAAATATATATTTCCCCACAAATGTGTTGCCCGGTTTGTGTGTAAAGGCGGACTTTTTACATTATTTTGCTTTTTTTTGGAAGGATGCAACGAACAGGATTTCGGATCAGCCTATAAGCAAATATTTTATTAAAGCATTGAGTCGAGGATGCCTTTATTAGCCAAGAGGATCAGACCCTCTTTGAGACGCCCAAGTTGGGATAAAAAAATCTCGCCTTTTAGTTCAAGTCATGGAGCAACAATCGTGGCTAAAAGAAGATAAACATACTGCTTTAGCTATCAAAATCATTCATTCCAAAGACTAGACCCAGCTGCGCACACTTGAGCGCAATAGATTTGATTTCTGAGAAGCGTATTTCCTTGTCTGGAGCTCGGATTTTATGTGGTTAGTAGTGTCGGATGGGTGTGTGCGCATCAAGCAGTTGGACGGGAGTAAGGGGGAGAGAATCAGTAAATTCAGGATGACACCCCCTTTCCTGGTACAAGCGACAAGCCCCTCTGCTGACAACAAGATATCCGGTCCAAAGCAGGATATCTTGTGTGGGCTCATTTTAGACTGCCCATCAATTGGCCGCCTCAAATTTCCCTCCTCCTCCTCCGACTGCCCTTCTCAATCATCCTTCTCAGTTGGCACCGACTGGAATGTGTTTTTGCAGTCTCGACCTGCTACAATTTACAAGTTCTGCCAACGATGCCTCCTATGCCACCAGCTACCCGTCAGCCCAAGACTGGAAATTCCGTCCCTCAAATTAGGCAGCTTCTTTCAAATCTCAATTATGACCCGCAGGTACCAGAACGGGAGCTTCTCAAAGACAGTGTCCGGAGATTTAGTCGAGACTTCGTCACCAAGGATGGGACCCGCTGTCAAGCTCTGAACCAATGGTCCTCTTCTGTTCATCAGTCTGGTCTCGAAGAAATGGCCGCCTCTTTCCTGTCGGAATTTGGCTCAAGGTTTTGGCCTTGTGATCCGACGATGTCTAATCACAATCCAGCCTTGGTCTGGCCGCTACATGAACAAAAGTGCGTAGCCGTCGCTCTCCCAAAGCAAACTACGTAAGCCTTGCTAAATAAGCTGCTCATTCTAGGCTCACGGAAATTCTGAAGCAACTGTTTTACCGGAAAAATGCGCATCTGATAAAGAACACGAAAAGAAAGACTAGGTTGATGGGAGTATCGGGACTATGGAACGCATCAACAGGTGAAGAGTCAAGCCCACACGTGATTGAGGAATCTGTATGTATTGGCCGACAGCGACGAAACATCCTAGGAGGCAATGTTTCCATCAAAGCTGAAATGGGCAATTATGACCCAGAGGAACATTCGGAGGAACATTCGGAGGCGGACCTTATCACAGAACGGGTTTCCCATCCCCCAATCTTGGGGACGGAAGACGCGCAGACAGGACCCAACCATTTCTCTTCACTCCAGCATCCGGAGGAGATGGAAACACATAACGAAGAACGCGAAACCTACTGTTCCAGTTCCGAAAGTATAATCAGCGCAGATTTAGTCGGTAACGACTACTACCAAGCCCCTTCAGCGTCCTTAATGAGCGAGCCGGAGCCTTCTCGGCATTCACCGACACCCGAGCAGCCTCCGTCCAGACCTGATGTAATTTTTCGGCTCATCGAGTCACGAGCTCCATTTTACGAAGGATCGCAATGGTACCCCAAAGGCAACTTTAGTGACAAGACTTTGTCTCAGCTCAAGGAAGAGCTGCCTCTGCCCTTCGTGAGTGAGGCGAAATACTTCGGGTTCACCTTGACTGGTCCTCAGTTTCTGATGAGGTCAGTGATCGAGGATACAGATGAGCACAAGTTTCGCGCTACAATAGTGAATTTTGGTAGCCTGATTGGGAAGTGTTTTCTAACTCATACGGACTGGGAAAAACCACCAGTCTTCATCATAGAGATTCAAAGGTATGAATCTCAGGAGAGTGTCGAACACGTCGGCCAAGGAGGTTCGGCAGTTACTATAGACTTTTAAGGCCGTGTTAAAATTTATGGTCAAAATATATGCAAACTTGGTTTATTTTTGTGGGTTTACAGAACTGATAACCAGTTAAATCAAGCACCCCCAAAGGTGGATTGATTATTCAAAAGGACGTGTTTTAGACCATGATGACAAGCATGGAAGAAGCAGCCTTTTTTGCCGATATGATTTCTCAGTTCTATTACTGGTGTTGGTACATGCATGATGTCATTGAATGAAGGCGTTGCTCTCTTCTCGAGAAGAGGGAGGCTTTGTACGAGTGAAGATAAAGAGGCTGTTATTAAGTGTGTGGAGCTCCTGGGTCACTTACCTTTGATCATTGTCCTTTCTGGGATTCAATTAACCGTGAGAGTTAAATATAACGGTAGAAGAGTTCCTAGAACTCTTTCTAATTGTGAGAACTGGAAAATACGGCCTGGTTGCTAGATCCATAGCACTATCCCCGTGTCTGTGTATCCTAAATGGAAGCTCTTCTGTAGGTTTATTCACAAGTCTTGATATGCCGCTACGGATGTTCAAAAATTCTCGATTTTTTCTCCTAGATAAGGAATCTCCGTGGCTTTGTTGAAGCATGTCTGCCAACGCATTACCAGCAATGTTAGTCAATGTTGTGACAGGTTTGCGGCAACTTTAAAGTAATGCGATCTTGCCTTTTTCGCTAGACACTTGTCAACACTACCTGACTTGAACCTGGTTTCCTCCTTGTCAATACTACCTACTGAGTCACCTTGCCGCCCTCTCTTCAACTTTTAATACAATTTTTGGCTCTCTTCCGAACACAATATGGATAAGAAAGAAGACTCCTCTGACGCCAGTCTGTATGACATGTTTAGCGGTCAAAGCGACGGACCATCAAAGACACGTATATGGCTACTTTCACAGATGAGAGATCGGCTTGATCATCCCCCGGATGCCGAGCCACTGCGGAAGCAATGGGCCTTCGCCATGGTGGCAGCCTCATCGACGGCGAGGCTTTTGGGGAAATTTGGCGAAGCTGAAGAAATGGCAAAAGAAGCCAAACAGACGCTCGAGGTTTTAGTCGGAGACGACTGCTACGAGACAACAACGGCCACTGAACAAGTAGCAGAGGCGTACTTTGCCCAGGGACGCTACGATCAAGCTGCAATTCTCCAAACTGATGTCCTCAAGAAACGAGAGAATCTACTTGAGGAGGATCATTTAGAGACTTTAAGCATAAAAGCAGCATTAGCCCGGACAATCTGGCACCAAGGTCTTTACAGTGAAGCAAGAGACCTTGAGTTTCAATTGATGCAAACTTCTAAAGCAAAACATGGCAAAAATCACCCTTTCACAATAAAGATTAAAGGCAACCTGGCGGATACATACTCCTGCGAAGGCCACTGGCAAAATGCGGAGAAACTTCAGCTTGAAGTTTTGGAATGGTGTAGAGAGCACTTGGGCCAAAATCACCCGAAGACTTTGCATGCCATGTTTGGTCTGTCAAAAACATACCGCAAGAAGGGTCAATTGAGGGCAGCCGAAGAGCTTCAATCGTGGGTACTTAGCCTCAGAAGAACGATTCTTGGCTCAAAGCACCTTGATACATTAGCCACCATGGATGATTTGGCATTGACATACTTGGATCAATGCCGTTGGAAGGAAGCAGAATGGTTACTCTCTCAGGTATCGGAGATAAGGAAAAGAGAGTTGGATAGAAGTCCAACCATACTAGCCAGTGAAAGTGCTCTGGCAATAGCATACAAGAACCAGGGACGTCTCAAAGAGGCTGAGGACTTGGAATCTGAAGCTCTCAACTCAACAAGAATGATATATGGAGAAAACCATCGCCAAACCTTTGGATGCATGTCAAACTTAGCAGCAACCTACTTCAACCAAGGACGCTTCAATAAAGCGGAGGCCCTCCTTGGAGAGGCTCTAGAGATTGGGCAGAAGGCTTTCGGAAAGTATCATCCGCGTACGATGACCATCTTATTTCACCATGCTCGGGCTGTTTGGAGCCAAAATCGAGATGAGGAGGGTGAAGCATTGATGCTGCAAGCAGCGGAAATGCAGATCAAGAGCCTCGGGGAGAATCACCCCGTGACCTTGAACACTATGGAACTAATAGTGGATAGGTACGGAGACCAACAACGCTTCAGGGAAGCAGAGCCGATATTGCTGAAAGTTATTGAGTCGAAAAAGAAAGCGCTGGGAGCGGGGAATCCAAGCACATTAGATGTGATGGCCAAGTTAGCTAGGTTATACCACAGACAGGAGCGTTTGGAAGAAGCAGAGAAGCTGGAAGTGCAGATTATGAGAGAGAGTCAACTGGCACTGGGGCCCAATCACCCAATGACATTATCACTCATGAACAAACTATATCATGTAATACATGGAAGAAACTGGGGCGAGAGATTGATGCACTCTCCCTCTTGAAGGGCTTTTCGGATGTCATAGATAGAACTGCCAAGCTTTACCACTTGAGAGACGAATATGTGGAATGTTTCAGAGAGTGATCTTGTTAAAAGAATATCAAAATCCAGAGATGTACAATTTCCTTCAGAGTAGTCTAGCCACCGGCTACGCTCTGATTGGGGTGATATCCCGATGCCGTTGAGGGAGACTTTGCCTTAAGTGCGTCTTTTATCGATGGTCCTTGAATAATTGTTCTAGATTCTGTAATTCCTACTTAGCCATAAGGTAGAGGCCTTTAGATCAAAAGTATATATCATATTTTCATCAAGGGTAAACATTAGTAGAAACAGAGTCAAGAATGGTGACTTTATTAACCCATTAAGTGAAGCAGGTATGCAAAATATTTCAGGAGTATGGATGGGATTCTCCTCGGACGTTTCCAAGACTCACGGGCAGGATCCTGGTAAGAAAATTAGAACCTTCGACATACCACAACATAGTTCATGTGCTTTTGCTTTTGGTAAGAAGTCCCGTGTTAGATCCGTTGAATGAGACCATCTAGGTCAGTGTACAAGCTAGATTGGCTGCAGGATAACTAGCCAAAGATCACGATTTGAAGGCGATAGAAGAAATTGCATAGTTAACCTAACGTATATCCCTCTATCTACGCAGCTAAGACTAGGTCCAGGCGCTCTCAGTATCAGGCTGCCTTCACGTCACCCTTCAATTGGCCAGGAGGGGTTAAGAAAGAACTCCGCCACTTATCTAGCATTTCATATCTAGCCTATTGCTAGCTGGATGACATATATTCTTAGCAAAGAACACCTCAGCCTGACCTGATATTGCGACAAACTAGGAGATGGTGTTAATTTTCCAGCATTTTTTTCGTTTTGCTAGATCGGGCGCTATTTCTCACTAGATACATTGTCTCCCTAAGAGTTTTGGGGGACACAGACACCAGGAAGTCCAGCGACAGGCTTATATCCAGCTGCACATGGTGCTTGGCGAGCCTCAACTTCGGTATCTCGCCTAGAGTTGTGCGGGACACAGACGCTAGGAAGCCCAGGAACTGGTTTGTAGCCGGTTGGGCAGGGAGCCTGGCGTGTTACAGGGTTGGGTGCGTCGTCCAGAGGCGCGGCTTGGGCAGCGAGTGCCACAGAAGCAAGGGCGAAGATATGAGAGAATCGCATTTTTTACTAAGATTGGGATCTTCTGAGGAGTAAGTAGTCTAGGAGTTGTTGTTTGAATGAGCTCTGAGGGATTCTATCGAGGTGGGCAACGTCCAGCTTTATACCTAATCAGAAAGTCATGAACAGGGCTTGATCTAGTAGGAATGCTTTTGATGTTGTCATAGTTTTCCCCAATCGCTTGGCTGTCTGGGATGTTCCCTTCTTGAGCTGTAACTCTGGGATTGGTGGACCTCCGAGGCGCTTTATCTTATCAATCACATCTAGCGGGTAACAAACGATTTTGCCATCGTGGCATCTTGGTTTGGTAAGCATTGGGATCCTTTGCGGGTAGACCGAGACCAGGGGATGGTGTTATAGGCGAAAGTACGAATTTGGTGGATCTCAATTGGAGACTCGTGAATACGAGATTCAGAGCATGGACCAGCGTCTTCGCCAGTAGTCTCTCACATAACAGTTCGCATTCATCTTTTTGCCACAAATCTTTCCCCGAAATGGTGTGGGGAGACCTTCCAGGTGGTATATGTAGGTTGGTGGCAAAAGCACAACCCGTGTTCGCCGGCAACAGGTCATATCTCTTATGTTATACAAAACCCTGACTAGGCAGCAGTGATGTGTAAATTTGGGACTTGGCTAACGCAGCTATTCTGGACTTATGGCATATCCTCATTCATTGTGTTGAGATGTCGGGTCTGGTATCTTCTATTGTTGTTTTTAACTTTATATTCGAACTCTCTTTCATGGCATATCCTCATTCCACGCACTCTCTCACTTGCCTAGCTTGATTTATCTTCATAAAGGGGGTTCTCAAACGTATTTAGGTACTGTCAAAATTATATATGTGCAGATCCACCGAGTCAAAACAGGAGGAATTGTAGGCAGCTCTTCAGCAAATATTCTAGAGGAAATTCGAAGTTTTGTTACATTGCTTGCATATACATCTTCTAGAAAGGATTGATCTGCCCCCAAGGCAAGGAACTAGCCTACACGACGGTCATAGTATGGTTTCAACAGGGCCTCTAATTCGGTCTTCCCCTCTGCCTTTGCCTTCTCATAAGGGTTGTCTTTAAGTCTCACTGCCGAGCCATTTGCAACCCCCGCGCATTCGAGTAGCGTCTTAGCACATTCTACATCTCCTAAGCGAACAGCGATATCAAGAGTTGTGTGGTCAAAATCGTTTCGTAGTTCTGGGTCAATTCCTGGAACTGCTAGCAGCCGACGAATCATGGAAACATTCTGCTTCTCCACTGCTGCTCCGAGAGCTGTGTATCCTCGGCTGCATTTCTTGTTGATATCGAGCTTATAAGATGCTAAAAGTACTTCAGTTGCCTCCTTGTGGTCGAGATGAGCGGTAATTAAGAGAGGCGTGTTGCCATTTTCATCTGTCGCGTCAACGATTGTGTCGGGATATTCCAAAAGCACCTCGATAATACGTGCATGGCCCTGGTGAGCCGCCACTCCAAGCGGCCAACACGAGATACCTGGTTTGGGGTTCACCTGGGCGCCTGGTACACTGAGCAGGAATTTGAGAGCCTCAACACACCCCTGAGCAGCAGCAAAGGTTACAATTGTGTTCCCGCACTCGTGAGGGTCATAGTTGATATCCACGCCTCCTTCGACCATTGCTTCCAGTAATTCAATATCCCCGTTCAGCACAGCTATTTGGATAGGGCTATAACCCAGTCGGTCTCCAATATAGCAATCCACACCTGGCTGCTTAGCTAGGAAAAGGGTTGCCTCTCGTTTGTTGAGATAATTGGCCCGCCAGAGGGCCGTCGCACCACCCTTTGTGCAAACATTGAGTTTGAGATTGCCAGTCGCGACCAACAGCTTGAGAATCTCAACCTCGCCGTTTTCTGCCGCATTATATAATGGTGTGAAGCCATTATCGTCTTGCGCATTGACGTTGGCACCATGTTCAAGGAGGAAACGAACTGGTTCAACATGTCCCCAGCCACATGCCCCCATTAGTGGAGTACTGCCACCTTGATCTTCAGCATTTGCATCAAACAGGGGCGACTTGGCCAAGATCCAGAATATCTCCGTATTTTTCTGGGAACAGCTGCGGATGAATGGGTTCTTGTTGATCTGCGGATGCTTTTCCGGGTTGAAGGCATCGTCAACGGCAAGATGTATCTTGATGAAGTTGGCTTGGCCAGCATTTATCACTCTATAGAGTGTTTGCTCTGCAAGCTTCTTAGACCGGCTCGTATCTCTGGCGTTGATGGCCTCCAATGCTTTCCGGTATGTGGCTTCCGGGCCGGATCTGTCGGCTGTCTTCACCAGTGCGGCGTTATTTTCCCATATATCGTCAAGTTCCATGCGGTGAAGGTTGTGTGAATAGAGGCATGTGTCAAGGAGGTTGAACAAGCGGCGGTTGGTGCGCAAAAAAGCATTCAAGTCGGCTTCCTCCCATAGCCATTCTGCAATCTCCTTGAGGATTTCATTGGGAAAGTCGAGAAGTTCCATGGCCATTATCAACTACTTTGCCTCCTCTCCATTCAAAGCATATTACTATGTTATAGTGAAGGACTTTGAGCCACGTAATAATTCGATAGGAGTGCGGGGTTACACTCATGGCAGCCCTGTCGAAAGCCTTGCAGGGGTAATCGGCAAGCCTCGGGCGACGCCTTGCACCGCCTCATTAGCATAGTAACCCGCATTACTTGAACCATTATGATACCTTCTCGTCCTCTTTTGGGCATTAACCCGGTTTTGTATACAATACCCATAGATTACCGCAGTTAGTTAAGTTTACAGCTAACCCTTGTCGTCTCCGGCAGAGTTGGGTGCAACATCAGTTGATGACATGGATGAATTTGGACTAGGTTGCTCGCACTCGGTTATGTTGGTTGTCACAAGGAATTACACGGCCTCCCCATCCGAAACTCAGGAGTCGGGAGGAGGGTTTACATAAGTTGGAGATTTTCCAGGACGAAATAAGCAAATATCATTTGAGTTGTGAGTTCTAGCAAACGGTCCTATCTATTCACCTGCCCTGTTCCTACAAATTGATCAACGTTTTCGCCGGAGCATTCAACAGACATGGCTCAACCATGGGATGTTATTGTAATCGGATCAGGTATTGGTGGCCTTACTGCCGCTACGCTTCTCGCCAAAGCAGCCAACAAGAGGGTGCTCGTGCTGGAGAAGCATTTCGAACGCGGTGGTCTGACCCAAACTTTTCGACGTGATGGGGCTTCTTGGGACGTCGGCCTTCACTATGTTGGCGGATTGAACAAGGGCTCAAGAGTCCGAACTCTGTTTGATTACATGTCAAACAGTGCGCTTGAGTGGAACAAAATGCCAGACGACTTTGAGAGATTCATTTACCCCGATATCGAATTTTTGGTTCCCTCGGATCCCCTTGAATATCAAAAACGACTCATAGACATCTACCCCGAGGAGGCAATAGCAATTCGTCGCTACTTCACAGATCTAGACGAGATCTACAACTGGCATGTGAACGGCACAATTCAACTTGCTCTACCTTGGCCGGCCAAAGACCTGACTAATCTGTCACGCCGGCGGAAAAGCAAGAAAGCGACACAAACGACCAAAGAGTATTTAGATAGCCGCTTCAAGTCACCCCAGCTCAAGCGCCTCCTCTCCACGCAGTGGGCAGATTATGGAATGGTTCCGTCAGAGAGTGCATTTGCAATTCATGCCCTCGTTACTCAGAGTTACATGGATGGTGCGTGGTATCCCAAGGGAGGCTCCAGCAGAATATCACGGACTTTTGAAACCAACATCGAGGCTGCTGGGGGAGTCATCAAAGTTTGCAAAGAAGTGACAAGCATTATTACCGACAAGAACGGGAAGGTGTGCGGAGTAAAGGCTGTTGATCTCAGCGGCGACAAGTTGACTGAGGTCGAGTATCACGCACCTGCTGTCATTTCTAATGTTGGTGCTGGCCTGACTTATACAAAGCTGCTACCTACGGACGGGGATATTGGCCGTCGAACAGCGGCTGTCCGCAAATTGATCGAGCGAATTGGTAGTGGAATATCTTCAGTGACTCTCTATCTTCGCCTCAGCAAGCCAGTATCGACCCTTGGGATTAAAGGCGAGAACTACTGGATTAATACAACGATCGAGAAGAGTGACCTGGATTCTCAGACCAAGTCTGTTATCGCCGGAAAGCCGGGCTTCGGTTATATGTCTTTCCCATCTTCCAAGAGTGGTGAAGACCGTTTCCACACAGCTGAAGTCTTGGCTTTGGTCAAGGCAGAACATTTCTCGACCTGGAAGGCTACACAACACGGAAATCGTGGAAAAGATTATCTCGATCTCAAGGATCGAATCTCGCAGGGTCTACTGGATCTTGCCGAGACCGCCGCACCCGGCCTCAAGTCGTTGGTCGAGTATTCTGAGCTTTCAACACCACTCTCCGTGATTGATTATATATCAAGCCCCTCCGGTGATATTTATGGACTCAAGGGGACACCGGAGAGATACCATGGCGCTGCACTTTTGTCAAAATCATATGTGCCTGGGCTTTATATGACCGGGCAAGATGCGGCGTCTCTCGGCATTGCTGGCGCGCTTGTCGGGGGTCTCATGACTGCAAGTCGAGTACTGGGGCCATTTGGTCTCATTAGCATCATGAAACAAGTAGAGAGTGAGGCCAAGGGTGGTCCGTGTATCCTCCCAGATGAAAAACGATGCCTCGACAAGATGAAGGCAGTTGTGATTGCTAAGACTGCCTTGACCTCGAGTATTTGGAAACTCGAACTCGAACTGCAAAATATAGTGGCATTCGTTCCGGGTCAGTATGCCCTTCTCAAGGTGGCGCCATTTGACTGGAGATACTACTCAATCGCTGAGATTGAGAATCGTCGTTTGACACTGCTTATCAGTACTCGGACCGGAGGATACGGTTCAACTTATGTCGAGAAAGTGGAACCTGGGGCCGAAACAGAAGTTGAACTTCCGTTTGGAAGTTTTAGGCTACAGAATAACGACTGCCACAAGGTGTTTTTAGCAACGGGGACAGGTGTCGTGCCTTTTCTCCCAATGTTCAGAGCAATGGAAGAAGCTGGCAAGCTGACATCTGCTGAGCTATATTTCGGCTGTCGCTTTGCAGCAGAAAATATAACGAGAGGATTTTCACATCTCCCGAAGACGACTATATGTCTCAGTGGCGAGCCAGGGGGTGGCGGTGGATTTTATGGCCGAGTGACCCAGGCGCTTGATTTGCATGAGTTCAATCCTGATACGACGGAATTCTACCTTTGTGGCTCACCTGCTATGGTAAGAGACTGCCAAGCTTTACTTACTAGAAAAGGGGCGAAGAAGATATTGACGGAGCCCTATTGATATCTGAGGGGTCTTGTTAACAGCCAACTCTGTTATCCACTCTGGGATATCTAGAGTATCATAGCATTCCAACAACTAAATCAAAAAGGAAATGCGTTATTCAAATCTTTTAAATGTTTCACAAAGATTGCTAACAATGGTGATATACATGTGATAGTTACTCTTGTTAGGTAGGGTTGCCATGCATAACAAAAAAGCTATCGCTCGCAGATCGCATTATTTGGTGAGTTCTACCATATGCCGATATCTCTCAAGGCATCCTTTACTTGGAACCCAACAAGCTTCTGGATCTCAATACCGGGGTGATAGCCGTCCTTCCACAACTAAGGTGTTTGAGTTAGCACATCTTCAAGTGAAAGAGATGACGAAGGCTCTTATCTAACTTACGCATGTTTTTCCGTCTGAGTTGGTACATTTGTTATCCTTGGAGCCGTATTTCGTAGGGTTGTCGAGAGCGGTATTAAAAGCCGCATGCGTCTCAACAAGCTTGACCTTCAGGTCACTGTGGTGGCCTCTCCATTTTGTCGTTTTCTTGTCCAGGTAGTTATTGTAAAAGGTAACAGCCTCGGTGACATTTTTGACTGTCGCGCTGCCTCTGTTCCTCATCAGTGGGGTGCGGTTCGTGGCTGCGTGAAGGATAATTAGTCTGCTGAACCACTTGTCTGGGCGCGTCTAAGAATACACCTACGTGGAACCTTGATCAGGAAGAATTTGCGGACACCGGAGTTGTAGAGGTGTTCCAGATGCGAAAAGTATTTGTCAACGACCTTGGTCAGAATTTGTTCCGTGTTGCTTTTCATGTATGTGGAGCCGATATCATTAATGCCGATCCAGACGCCCACAGCCGCATTGCTGGATGTCCACTTGGCATAGCTGGGCTTGTTCTTCAGGTTATTATCCCAGATCTTGACCTGATCAGTGACTGTAGACTTTGGCTTTGACCCAGTGATTGCGCGATCGACGGTGGCACCACTGACGGCGAAGTTATAGGTGAGAGTGTCGTTGTTGTATTTGCTGAGAAGCCTGTCCGTAAGGGTATGGGCAACCCAGTTCTTTCCACCGGAGGACGTTACTCCGGGCCATCCAGGATTCCCAAGAGGGTTCTTCGAAGAGGGTTTTGTGCCCGCAATATCAAAGTTGGTCCTAGTGTACGAGTCGCCACTGTTTGTTTGTTAGGCCAACCTTCTACGCTAAGATCTCAAATTTTGAATGCTGAGTTAACCTACAAGATGAACAGATACTTTGGCTCTGTAGCTTGGATTGCGGCTTCATCTCTAATGCAAGCTGCAGAGCCGAATGAGGCCAAGGCTACCGCCACAGATAAAAGATTGACAAGATGCATCTTGTAGATGGATACTGAGAGAAGAGCAACAAATGCAAACAACGAATAGTCCGAAGAAAAAAGAATGTATAGGCCCAACGGGAATGGCTGCGCTACTCGAGGGATTTTTCTCCTGCATCCGCCGTGACTATATAATAATCCCAAGCCTTCCACCGATGGGAGGCTTTTGTAGCATTGCCATTTCAGCTGAATGGACGGAAGAGCTAAAAATAACTTGTAGGCTCAGATAAAGTGCCAAGAGAATGGCCTCCATTGCCACCTAAAGGTCCAACCAAAGGCCCAAGAATCGGCCGAAGTTCTTCATGCAGTTGTAATTGCTTGGCCAGAAGTGGCAACGCCGAATCCGTCTGCCTCTCGGCTTTGTCCTCTTTTGACATTTTGCGAGCAAACGAGCAGGCATCTCCTTCAACAGACCAAATTAAATGGGATTCAAACCACAAGCGGTAAGTCACGAACATTTCTAATCAATAATTAGTTTAGCGACCTACCGAATGAATCTAACCACTTCACCAAGCGATTACTAGAATATCGTATGTTCAGATCCTCCGTGCTTAGGGCTCAAAAGAAGACTCCGGTTGCGAGCTTGAAGGATCGGATCAGTTTAACACGATCTTGGCATTTCGGGATTGAATTTGGTTGGCCCCCAATTATCTTTGCCGCTGGTCAACTGATCAAGTCATGATCCTGATGAAACCACTCTTGACGGTATAGAGGGTGTCATTTGTATTTCGATTCCACACATCATGTATGCTTGCCCCGTGATTTTTGGACCTAAGACTCATACCGCCGATCCCGCCAGCGTCAAAGCCCAATAAGAAAATGACGTCTTCTGAGATATTTTTGATATTGCCACCATTTTGTGTTCTTCTCTTACCGCATTGCCTGGGGCGGGCTTATCTTCCGGGAAATTTAGAATTAAACTTGAAATAGAACAGCAGAGCAAAATATGGGCTCACTTCGAGAAACAATATGCTGCTGGCTTTGAACCGGTGCTTTTAAGTGGCCTCTGATTGTTGATATGCTAAAACCAATGGACACGATGTTGCTTCGCCTATGGAGCTACAAGCTGACACCCACACACGCCTCATTGATTGGATATCTAATATGATGAAATACAAGAGATTCGCTGTAAGATAGATAATCATTCATGTTTCATTGCATACACGAGGGGGCAAAGGTCTGTTTTGGGCTTACGCCGAGCCGGCGTGCTTACGCCAGCTATCTTTCTAAATTTCTCAGAGCCGCCTTCACAGATTCTGTGACAGGGATATAATTCTAGATGGAAGAGAATGACTTAAATTAAATCCCCGGCCGCTTCGGCCACTTCCGGTCGTGTCACAGATGTTACGCTAAGGGAATTCTTAAGAGTTGGTTGTCGGAGTATTGTGACCTCCTTAGTCGGCCGTGATCTGCCGTGGCAAGAGCTTTTGAATGAGAGATGAGGAGTAGAGAAATGAAAAATTATTCATATTTGTACTTGCTCCCTTATGAATGGTATCATCTTTCTCTATCACCACACAGAAACCAAAATATGAAAGTCTTTCGGCGCGATGCATAGAACAATAACACAAGACATAGATATTGATTTAATACACATCCTGCCTTCTGCTATGTCATAAGAATGATGATGCACTTCTTATCGTGAAGAATAAAAAAGGGCTTATGGATTCTTCATGTTCATGCCTCGAAGCACGGCTCCAAGTACGTCTTCTAAGCCCCAAATATATCTCCGGCACCTTCTAGGGTCCAATTTCCGTTGACTCTCAGACTCTCGATGCGAGCAGGAGCAACTTTGGTCAAGCTCACAGTTACCGTGGGAATGTCGAAAGGCAGCCCAGGTTGAAGGGTTGCCAAACTATCGTACCAAGAACAGCTAAGAGATGTGTCGGTAGTAGTGCATCTGTAGTATGGATCGACCTTCCAGTCAAATGTGCCGATACCGTTGAAATAAAGCCTTGAGTATTGAGATTAGACATATACTAAGTGGAGAACGAGAATAGGGTAAATGAATCGCAGGGAAACAAAGAGAAGAGTTTTCGTACGGGGCTTCTTTATTCTTATCCGAGCATTTCCACACTTTATTGAGTGCGATGATCTTGTTGAACGGATCAAAACTGTAAGTGCAGTTCCAATGATCGTCCACGGGCTTGCCATCATTGTAAGAGTTGCAATTATATCTGAGAACATGTAAGCGATCACTGGCATAACGTTGGCCGCGTGTACATACACTGTCTCTATCCCACTGCCTGACAGTGCCTCGTATACATAGAAGAAGTAGTCTGCGAAACCCGGTCCTGTCAAACCACAGGTAAAACGGCTAAGAGTGGCACTCTTTGGGTTATCCGAAGGATAATCATTCGTCTCAAAGAACATGCCGCGCATGTACCAGGTTGGGTTGACAACGCTATCAAAAGTGCAACCGCCCTTTGCAGGATACGCTGTCACAAGCGAAAAATCAGGCAAAGAATTCTTAGCATCTTTTGTTCCCTGTACAGAGTGACTGCTGGATGGATCGGTGCAAGTGGTTATGATGTCGTCTGCTGAGCCTGTAATTCCTGTACTTGATTCGCACTCCATTTGAAACGAGGTATTTCCGCTGGCGACAATGACGGTACTGATTTAAATTAGATTTCAACAGATCAGGCATGTGAAGAATCACGGAGAATAGCAATGAAGCTTACGGAGACACGTTGGTAGAAGGGTTTTCAAGACAGTACCAAAGCTGCTCAATCTGCAAATCAAACTCGGGTGCTGTGCCAGTCAAGGTCACGTCCAAGATTATTTCATTGAACTCTCCACCAGTGCAGCGCAAAGGGCTGGGTGGAGAGAAGCTGCCGTATGACGGAGTGAAGTCACAGGCAACCTCATGTGCAATCGCGTTATTTGTAACCTTGAGGTGAAGATATACGCCCTTAGACAAGAAATTGACTGGGTCCAAGCAGATACGATCAGGGCTGTACCATTGCTTGCATTGGCCTTTGGTGTAGTTCTTGTATGACACTTCACTTACGACCCACTGGTCATCGCCGATGTTTGAACATGAAGGCTGATCAAAGCCAGGCGGTGGCACGGGTTGAGTCGGCGAGAGAGGGACTGGCAAAGTAGTACTGCCTTGAACGAGGTATGGTATAGGAGAAACACAATCGCTACCTTGGCATTGAGTTATGCCTGTACTGCCACTGGCATAAAATATGACTCTTGAGTGAAGAGCTTGGTTAGTCTGGGATGGTAAAACATCGAATGAGAACCTGGACTATAACTTACTTATCACCGGCATCCCCGCACACCCAAAGTTCAGTGATGGTAATGATTGTGCCTCCTGCTTCTTGGGATAGAGAAACGCGCATTTCATCGCTGCCAGAGCTGCCCTGGCATTGACCGGTTCCCTTGCATTCAATATCAGCGTTGAGGCCAGTTGGGTCTGCAGCGCGGTTTTCGACCCTGAAAGTCGCAGTGCCGCCAGACACAGTGTATTTTGTAATAATCCAGCTTGGGATCGTCAGTGATTTATCAGTACATCTTCCAGATGGCCATGTGGGAGTTTGGGGAATCTCGATGGACAAGGCCACACTAGAAGCCCATAGAGCTCCTATGAGAAGCGACAGCATTCCCATTACTGACAACGGTAAATATCAATATGTGGGGGAAACAATGGTCTTCACCTAGAGATGAAGGGTACCACAACAAGGATGGGTATCGCAAAACACCGAGACGGGTCAACCCGGTTTTATATCTACAAAGACAAGGGTCTTATTTACTACTACATTCTATGACTAGATCTCACGTGAAGCCTCCAATGTGACGCAGATTCTGTTGCTGAAGCCGATTTAAGTATGTCTTCAATTACGAGGAGCCTATATCACTGTTGAAGAAGCGGAAGGTAGTATTCCGGAAATGAAAGAGTGAATGCGTTAATGCCGCGAACCAATCGGTTGATTGTGGCTGAGAAATCAGGGTTCCATCCAGAGTTCAATAGTGAGCTTTTAGTTCGGCACGGCTAGCATACAAAGGCCCGGAGTCGAACAATGTTTCTAGTAAGCATTAGTCAATGTCGCACTGGCCAGTGTCGGAACAATGCAGCTCATGGGCGGGATGAGTTTGAAGTTGAGGTATTCGCAAGAACAAGACCCTGCTTGTCAGTGAACTGAATGTTAGCGCCAGGGTCGCCGCTCCTGTAACTCTTTTTTCATTCATGAGGCTTGCCGGATCGTAAACATCGGACTCTTTTTTTACCATATCTGTTGTAGTGGTATTGAATTCCTTTGATTCTCCGTTCTACCAAAATCGAAGTTTGCAGACTGAATTCACAGGAGGGTGCTAGCGTTCACTGGCCTTTCAATACAGTTGAGAAGTAAATGATGATTATCGACTTACTTGTTGGGGAAGCTGCTCCCGTAACGGAATTTGTCTAGTTGTGATTCCGCCAAATGGGATATGATGTTGCTCCGGGATTTCGGTATCTGGGAGTGTGGTCAGTGTTCTGAAGGATCTAACACACCAGCAAGGATGAACGTATTCCGATATGTAAGAAAATGAATTACCTATTAAGAATATTTGCTGACTCCCGAGAACAAGGATGTGGGATAGAACGGCTAAGTGGTGTGTTATCGAAACTGGGGCCTTGCTCCACGGCTACACCATACCTAACTCCCAACTTTGCAGCTGATTGCTGATCCTCCCGTGTCAGAGCTTTCACCCTTGCCGCTTTTACTGTTGAATTGAAGACAGTTTTCAGATTTCGAGAAGAAGAAAAAATGATCTGGAGGGGTTTTGGCCTAGTCATTTTAACGGAATATGAACAAAAGCCCGTCATTTCAACAGGTTACAACAAAGGCTAGGATGGCTTACCCTAATGTAGAGCATTCACTAACTGCGAGGCTGATACAGCACAATTTAGAGCCAAAAGGAAAAAAAAACTCTTGGTAGCATCAAGATGATTTTCTCCACGCATGCACACGATACTTCCCACGAATTCGGTGTACATGTGTCTCAAATCAACCATGAACAATCAACCTCTGTTTCTTAGAAGCTGTGAATAGCACATAAGTGAAGTGAACAGTTTACTAGTTGTATTACTAGTTACAGCCAATTTAAATCCGAGTTTCTGCTACTTAGATGTATTAAATCCCCTGGCTGCCAATCAATCAACCACGGCGCTGTGGCTCTTTTATTTGATTGATTTAACCTTGTCTGTTCTTGTGGTTTTTTGCTTGTCTTATGTCGTGATCTGATGCTTCTCCATTGTGATGTGGTGTTGGTGATTAGTTGTGACTGTGACTCGATCACCACTTGAAAGTGTGATTTAATCTGAGAAGAACAAAGACTCTGTCTTCAACCAACCCAACCGTAGACTCGCAAAAGCCTATAAATATTGACCTAGGTTCCCGGTTTGGCTGCTGGTTTCTTCTCTTTTTTACACCAAAGTCCGATACCTGCACTGCAAAGATATCAAGAAAATCGAACTGAACCTCACCACAACACGACAGCTATCACAGCCTCCGCAATTTTCAACCACATCGATAAGGAATACGTCTTGAATTCCTATCAGCATTTCCTAAGCGAACCAGCAGAGTCTCCGTATCCTTTTGAACAACTGACAAGAATTGCCAAAATGACCACCGAAAATTTTGACGCAAAGTGGGCTGAGCTGCTTAAGACGATGGCAGATTTGAAGGAACAGACCAAGGAGTGTAGACAAGAGCTCGAAAAAGCTCAAGCATTGTCCGATGAAGCCCTGGCCACGAAACTCACGGCTATCAAGGCTTCCAATGACATCACCAAAGACCAGATGAAGATGCTGGATGGCGAAGAAAAGAAAGTTGAGGCAGCTTATCAGTCAATGGCGAAGTTTACATTCGTGAACGCTTCGGTTGGAACCCACCGAGACAGTGAAAGGATGGAATTTGGGGCCAAGATCACCGATCTTGGCGCTGAAGTTGAAATCAATGACATGCTTATCAAGAGCCTGGAAGATTCTCGTCGAGAAAAGTCAGGCGGATCCGAGGCAAAATAGGTGCCCTTAAAAGTTTTCTTGATCATTTCTAGCTATCTAGGTAGAATCAGCACAAAAATCTAAGGACTTTCAGCAGAACCAAACCCCCAAGCGTGCGAAACGAATACAAGTGAAATTTATGAGGGCCAACTAGATAAAACTGATGGGGCCCAAAGTCTAACTATAATTTTTTCGCTGACCCGTTACTTTCTCACATTTACTTTGTAAGCAGCAAGAACACTATGAGGAGACTTGGTGCATCTGCATCAGATCAATTGATCTAACTACATCTACCTAACAAGTTAATATCCGTTACATACTTCTATCCTATCAATCCGTAGAATTCGAGAATTTAAGAGGTGGTTGCGGTTATTGAAGGAATATTAGTAACGCGTAGTTGCACTACCCTATAGTAAATCAAGCCAAGAATTCTTTTCTAGTTGCTGGAGAGCGAAGTCACTTGAAAGTACCACTGGCTCGGAATAAAAACTCAAGACTATTCCCTGTTCTTAGGGAACTGGAAATATCGAGGATCGTGTAATCCTATAATTTTGTAAACATTGTCTGCGGCCGCTGTCGATCAACGGCTGAGTTAACTTAAAGAAAGAAAGAAAGAGTTTTTGTGAACCCCACGCGGCGTCTGAAAGAGAACACGATTGAGGGCTCAATGTATGACGGAAGATTGGTTTAGTTGCTCTTCATAGCAATTTCTATTAGGGAGGCACCTAAACGGAGACGACCGATGGTCTTGTCCCGAGTCGTGAAAAACAAGGGCGGAAGGAATGTTGCGGCAACAGTAGTGGAATGAAATACGATGAGCACGTATTCAATGTCTCACAACTCGTCCAGGGAAAGGTAAAAGGTAATGGCGGCCCACGAGCCTAACGATTTTTTTTCTCCTCATTATGTATCCCATTAGCTGAGCGACTGCATCACCAAATAATACCAACATACGAGCGTTGAGCGTCATGGCGAACGAGGCTCCGGCCGTGAGCTCGCCTCACCCAGAGGGCATTGCTAGCAGGTCGAGTGATACAGTCATTGTGGAGCTCCAGGCAATCGAGAACCAAGAAACCCCAAGAGCAACATCGACGAGAGAATCCAGCCGGTCGCGTTCATCGATCGAAGACATAACTAGCCTCAGCAGAGAGGAGGTAGCAATCATCAAACGCCAGACCGAGGTTCCCGACGATAAGAAATATGGATTAACTGACCTCGTTCGGTATGCCAATAAGCTGGACATTGCAGTCATCATTATTTCCACGCTCTGCTCGGTGGCTTCGGGCGCCGCATTGCCGCTCATGACTCTGGTGTTTGGTGGCCTGCAGGATGTGTTCCAAAAGTTTACCGCACTTGGAAGCCTCGATCCGGACGGGTTCAATAGAGAACTGGTCAAGTACCTCTTGTACTTTGTCTATCTCGCTGCTGGGACGTTCGTTGCTACATTCATCTCAACCATCGGCTTCATTTACGTAGGCGAAAGAATCACAGATGCGATCCGAAAAGATTATCTCGAGGGGTGTTTGCGCCAGAACATCGGATACTTTGACACACTGGGCACAGGAGAGTTCACGACGAAGATTACGGCCGATGCGACGATTATACAAGACGGAATCTCTGAGAAAGTTGGCCAGCTCATCACATCATTCTCTACATTCGTTGCCGGCTTCGCCGTCGGATACGCCAAGTCGTGGAAGCTGGCGCTCATCTTGACCTCGACCCTGGTGGCCTTGGTCATAAGCTCGGGCATTACGTCCTTCTTTGTCCTTCGGTATCAGAAGCCGCTGAATGAGGCTACTTCGCAAGCCGGAACTGTCGCTGAGGAAGTGTTTTCCTCGGTTAGAGTAGCTATCGCATTCGGCTCTCAGCGTCGACTCGTTGGCCGGTACGGTAAGATTATCGATGTCGCCCAGAAATGGGGAATCAAACTCCAAATTACGGTGGCCTTCACACTTGCCGTGGCATTTGGACTCGTCAACCTGAGCTATGGCTTGGGGTTTTGGCAGGGATCGATATTCCTCGCTCGTGGTGAAGTAGGCCTATCTGATGTGCTCATTTGTGTTATGTCAGTCATGCTCGGCGCTTTCAATGTTGGAAGTATCGGGCCCTTTTTACAGGCTCTTCTCAAATCCATAAGCACGGCAGCCAAACTCTTCGTTACAATAGACCGACAGTCTCCTCTTGACCCGACAAGCAACGCTGGCGATACAATTCCAGACCTTCAAGGCTATATACGCCTTGAGAACATCAAGCATATCTACCCTTCCCGCCCCAACGTCGTCGTTATGAAGGACGTGTCGATGGACATACCTGCCAATAAGGTCACGGCCCTCGTCGGAGCATCAGGGAGTGGTAAAAGCACTATTGTTGGCCTCGTTGAACGCTTCTACGAGCCAATCCGCGGAACTGTATACCTGGACGAGCATGACGTGAGTACTTTGAACCTCAGATGGCTCCGGCAGCAAATCGCGTTTGTGGGCCAAGAACCTACCTTGTTCGCCGTTTCGATTTTCGAAAACATTCGTTACGGCCTACTTGGCACTAGGAATGAAAGCGCCGACTATAGTACACAGAAAGAGATGATAGAGCAAGCTGCACGACAAGCAAACGCTCATGAGTTCATCATGCAGCTCCCGGAGGCGTATGAGACCAACGTGGGTCAGAGAGGATTCCTGCTCTCAGGTGGCCAGAAGCAGAGGATAGCAATCGCGCGCGCAATTGTGTCCGACCCGAAAGGTAAGTCATCAGACGAAAGTATGTTCAGACTTGGCTGACAGAGATTCAGTATTACTTCTGGATGAAGCAACTTCAGCGCTTGACACAAAGTCGGAAGGAATTGTGCAATCCGCGCTTGATAACGCATCTACTGGCCGTACAACAATCTGTATTGCCCACCGTCTATCCACCATAAAAAATGCGGACAATATTATCGTCATGGATAAAGGTTGTGTGATGGAACAAGGCACGCACAGTGATCTTATTGAGAAGAGGGGCGCCTACTACGCTTTGGTTCAAACTCAGAAACTCGAAGACGGCAAGAAAGACGAAGAAGAAGCTGCTGATATTGTCGAAACTGCTAAAGAGCCAGTTCAAGACATGCGCGTTCACCATATGTCGAATGAAAAGGAAGGAAATCCAATAAACTCAAAAGAACCAGACTCTACAGTTCTAGAGGTTGAGGAAAGCGAAAATAGTTCAAAGGATACCGGACAAAATTACTCGGTTTTCACTCTAATAAAATTCATATACGGCTTCAACAAGTCGGATTGGATATTGATGATTGTCGGTTTGGTCAGCGCAATTATTAACGGTCTCTCCAATCCCGTCCAAGCCGGTGAGTCTCAAACACTCATGAGTCGTCTCCTCTGGAAATATTGACCCCGAGCAAAATGTAGTCTTTTTTGCCAAGCAGCTGGTTGTGCTAGCTCCAATCGAACTCCCGGGAATCGACAGGTGGGCAATCCAATCAGAGTCCAACTTCTGGTCATTGATGTACTTGATGCTCGCCGGAGCCCAATTCATCGCACAGGTGGTTCAAGGTTGCGCGTTCGCTCACACTGCCGAGTATCTTATTCGGCGCGTTCGAGAAAGCACCCTGTCCTCGTTTCTAAGACAAGACATCAGTTACTTTGACAAAGATGAGAACAATCCCGGCGCGCTGACCGCCTTCTTGGCTGTTGAGTCAGCTCAGGTCGCAGGCATTAGTGGAGTTACTCTGGGGATGATCCTCAACTGCTTGGCCAATATCGTCGGAAGTCTCGCACTATCCTTGGCAATCGGCTGGAAACTGGCGCTTGTGTGCTTCTCCATCCTTCCAGTGGTGCTTGCATGCGGATTCTTTCGGATCTGGCTTCTCATGAGGTTCCAAGCGAGGGCAGCGAAGGTTTACGCATCTTCTGCGGGATTCGCTGCGGAGAGTATCGCAGCGATGAAGACTGTCGCGGCCTTGACCAAAGAGAAGCAAGTGGCTGAAAGATATTCATTGGAAATTGACGAACAGCAAAAGAATAGCCTCATGTCTGCGGCAAGATCGAGTCTCGCGTTTGCTGCGGTGCAGCCGGTTGTATTCCTTTGCTTTGCCCTGGGCTTTTGGTACGGCGGCACGCTTATAGCGACTCGAGAATACGACATGTTCAAGTTTTTCATCTGCTTCATGTCTGTAATTTTCGGAGCCCAGTCTGCTGGGTCGTTTTTCTCACTTGCGCCCGATATGGTCAAGGCCAGGCATTCAGCTGGGCAATTAAAGACTCTTTTAGAACGAAAGCCTGTTATTGATACTTGGTTCCCATCGGGAGACGAGGTTCCGCACGTTGATGGCACTATTGAGTTCCGAGATGTCCATTTCCACTACCCAACGCGACCTAACCAACCTGTATTGCGCGGGGTGAGCTTTAAAGTCGAGCCGGGTCAGTACGTTGCTCTTGTCGGGGCATCGGGCTGTGGCAAGAGTACGACAATATCATTGCTGGAGCGGTTTTATGACCCAGTATCTGGGCAAGTTCTGATCGACGACACTGATGTCACAAAAGTCAATGTGAACAACTACCGCTCTCATCTCGCAGTTGTCAACCAGGAACCAACGTTGTACCAAGGGACAATACGTGAAAATATATGCATTGGGAGCGAGCTAGAGAATCTATCTGACGAAACGATAGAGATCGCATGTCGAGAAGCCAATATCTACGATTTCATTATATCGCTTCCGGATGGATTCGAGACCACAGTAGGAAGCAGAGGTGCTCTTCTTTCCGGGGGCCAAAAACAGCGCATTGCTATAGCTAGGGCCTTGGTACGATCCCCAAAGGTCCTTCTCTTAGATGAGGCTACATCGGCACTTGACTCTGGGTCCGAGCATGTGGTCCAAGCTGCCCTTGACCGTGCGGCAAAGGGCAGAACTACGATTACAATTGCACATCGGTTGAGTACGATCCAGCATGCGGACACAATCCATGTCTTTGACCAAGGACGTATCGCGGAGTCTGGAACGCACTCGGAGCTAATGGCGATGAATGGACGGTATGCCGAGCTGGTCCGGCTGCAATCCCTTGATCAGAAGCGGAAGTAAATCAAAAAGGAAACTAGTTTGACAATTGTTTGAAGATCCAACTGGTTGGAGATATCTTAGATTTAATAAAAAATTATCAATATGCTCCCTCATCTTTCTCCGCTGCCATTTCCTCCATTCCTGCTGGTGTTGCATTTAAGATGGCGATCACGGACTATCTCCATGAAGCTCCCTGACTTCGGACTACTGACGGAATCGAAAGAAACTGAGCAGCCTCAAGCAGACGGCGAGTCTTTTCCTGCAAGAACTCGCAGTCGGGTGCGGCCAGGTCGGAGTGTAGGGTGTCATCGGACAAACGCCCTGTAAATCCCCTCACAGGCGCCCCATTTAGTGGCTACAACCGCTGCAAGGCGTCGGAGAGTCGAGGTGCGGGGCCGATCGGAGTAACCTCCAGATTGTGCGGGGAATCGGTCGGCTTAAACTGATTTCGGGAATACATAACCAGCACCGGCTTTCCTTGTTCGGAAGCCAACCTTGATATTCCTGCATCTTCTCTTTCACTTGTTCCATCGCCATCTGAATCCCCTCTCTAAATTGCACATTGAAAGTTGTTCATAATCCACAGTACAACTTGGCCTGGCCTGTCCTGATCGCCCAACATGACACAGACGATTGCCCTGACCGAGTATCTCTTTGCTCGCCTCAAGCAGCTCGGCGTCGGTGCCATACACGGTCTCCCGGGCGACTTCAACCTCACCCTCCTGGATTTCGTAGAGCCCAGCGGCCTCACATGGGTGGGAAACGCCAATGAGCTGAACGCAGGCTACGCTGCTGATGGCTACGCCCGAATCAAGGGTCTTGGTGCCCTCATTACCACCTTCGGAGTAGGCGAGCTGTCGGCCATTAACGCCATCGCCGGTGCTTATGCCGAGCGGGTGCCTGTCGTACATATAGTCGGTGTGCCTTCTCGTGAGCTGCAAGACTCCAGGGCCACGGTACATCATACTTTCAATGATGGCGATTTTGGCAGGTTTGCACTGATGGCTGCCCACGTCACTGTCGGCCAGGAGAAGCTCTGGGACCCGAGAGACGCCCCCCAGCAAATCGATTCTGTTTTGCGGAAATGCCTTGTCCATAGCAGACCAGTCTATATTGAGATCCCCGTCGACATGGTTGACGCGCAAGTGTCGCGCGAGAATCTGAATATCCCCATCACATCGGGCAACGTTCTTCCAGGCGCCGGACAAGCAACAGCTCTCGACAAGGTTCTGCAGAAGATGGCCTCAGCAAAGCAGCCGGTGATACTTGTTGACGGAGAGACGCGGTCGCTTGGAATAGTCGATGAAGTTCGCGCACTGGTCAATAAAACCGGCTGGCCGACTTGGACGACCGGGTTCGGGAAGAGCATCATTGACGAAACACTTCCAAACTTCCATGGTCTTTATCGTGGTAGATTTGCCACTCCTGAAGCAAGGGAATTTTTTGAAGGCTCTGACCTGGTGCTGTTCTTTGGCGCACACCCCAGCACCACCAATTCATTCCACCTCAGCGCTCTACCTTCAAAAGAGAAGTCAATTTGGTTCAAGGATACCAATGTTCTCCTGGGATCAGAAATTGTCAGAGACGTGCCCATGAAAGCACTGATGACTGAGCTATTAAAACAGCTGGAGTCTTCTAAATTCACCGTTTATGAAACCTACCCCTCTCAAATTCCAACAGACACCATATTGTCCTTTGACGGTTTACCTCGAGATCAGCCTGTCACCCAGGATCGGCTATGGAAGGTGCTTGCCAATTTCATTAGACCTGGAGATATTGTCATGGGGGAAACTGGCACGCCGGGATATGGAGTCCGGGAGTTCAAACTACCGGAACACACGCGAATGGTGACGTTCTCAACGTGGCTCTCCATCGGGTACATGCTTCCAGCAGCACAAGGTGCGGCTCTTGCGCAAAGGGAGCTGCAGAAGGACAAGCAAGGACGAACCATTCTCCTCATCGGAGACGGAAGCTTCCAATTAACAGCGCAGGAGATTGCGACAATGGTGCGGCAGAACCTTGACATTGTCATCTTTCTGTTCAATAATGATGGATACACAATCGAGCGATGTATTCACGGGGCGAATCAAGGGTACAATGACGTGTCGCCTTGGAGATATCTTCAAGCTGCTAGTTTCTTCGGAGCCCCGGAGGATAGCTACACGAAACGAGTCAAGACGTGGGGAGAGCTTGAGGAAACACTCGGCGACAAAGAGCTTTCCGAAGGGCGAGGTATTAGAATGGTGGAGGTCATTTTGGACCGGGATGATGCCCCTGAAGGGCCATTAAAGGTCCTTATGTCCAAACAAAAACCTGGCATCTAGATGGGATATTGAATTAAATCGATTTACCGTACTAGCTCAAATGATGAAGCCTTCCAATACAATGTTAAATCCTCTACCCTCGGAAACCCCCCCCAAATCGCAGAAACCTCGATAAATCGCCGTAGTCAACCGTGCCTGAGGAAGCTTTAAAGCTCAGTCGGGACTCCATCTGGGTAGCGACCACCAGCGATCGTAAAGTTCTCCAGAATATCATCCAGCTCCTTCGACTCCTGCTCCGCCAACTCAATAACCTTGCTGTTCTCCTGAACTCGGGACACGCTGGTTGATCCCGGGATAGGAATGATGTCGGGCATGCCGGCGCGGGTTCCAACATGCCTGACCCATGCGATGGCCATCTGGGCAGATGTGCATCCCTTCTTCTCGGCAAGAGCCTCAACCTTTGCTACAAGCTTCAGGTTGTGCGCTAAGCTTTCATCCCGGAATCGCGGGAATGAGGCGAGTCTTCCAAGGTACTGCGCGTCGGCATTGGTCTTGAATCGACCGGTGAGCATCTATCGACATGGAGAGATTAGTACTTGCTTTGTGAACGAGTAGATCAAATCTCGGGTTACTTACACCTCGAGACATGGGAGAGTAAGCAGTGATGGGAATGTTGTGCTTCCCGCAAGCGGCTGCGACTCCATTGTGTAAAATGTCAGGCGTGAACATGCTGAGCTCGACCTCGACTGCGGCCACGTCGATGATCTTGGCCGCTTCCTCGATCGTCGCGGCGCTGCACTCTGAAAGCGAAACACCTCCGATCTTGCCAGTATCGACATACTCGTCTTCTAGTACTCGCAGGGTGGTTTCAAAGGAGGAACTGTGGTCTCGCCTGCCAATTCCAAAAGAATCCAGCTTCTTCTTTCCACCAAGTTGCTTTAGAATATTATCCACAGATCTCCTGATACCCTCTGGACTGCCATCTGGTCGGATAGTTACGGGGTCTACGGCGCCCTTGATGATAAGGGTGACCTTGTCGGCGTGCTCCGGGTACTGCGTGAAGTAGCGATTGAGAATCGTCATACTGTTGTATTCGGGAGTGCCGTAAAACTCGGCGCCGTTCCAAACTGTGGCACCGTTATCAAAGGCCGCTTTGAGAGTCTCGATTGCCTTCTCAACGGGGATGGGATCCGGGCGCCAGCTGAAGCCTTCATCAAGCAAGTTAGTACTCTGTATCACGGACCTTTCGAATCTATGAGCTTACCCATGAGGCCGAGGCCAATAGGGCCAACTTTCTTTCCGAGAATTTGGGCCATTGCGTATAGAGCAGGTACTTTGATATGTAAATGGAATGTCCGAGCAGTTCGGGACTCGTTATGCTGGATTGTTTGTCTGGGTGATTGCAGCGAGGAGATGAATGTGCTTCTTGATCCAACTCATCTTCCAAGATTCATTCATATTTATATCATTCCTCATGGGGCGTATTTCTACTACTATCACGGGTTTATAATCTCCGCCTCGATTTCCTCTAACCTTTGGCTTTTTAAAGTCCGTAGATATGCTCTGGCATCCATTCTTGCCTCGCATAGCGTCTGGCCTAAGACGCTGATTACTTGCGAGTCGGACTTAAGAAGCTCGCCTCGCGAAGGCGAGCTTCTTAATTCCGGCGGGTCCAACATTCGCTACTGACGCCGCGTTCGTTGGATTTGCTCTCATCGAGCTATGGGTCAGCTAACTTTTGACTTTCTCGTGTATGAGTTATCTCCGAACGCGGTTGCTAATCCTCCTTTCGTCAATCATCTTGGAAAGGCCACGCATATTTCCTTGGGTCTGTGACGAGGCTGGTTATCCTGTGTTCTGCATTTCCAAGTATGAATTATTTTTCTCTAGACATCTAAACATATTAAAATACAAGAGAAAAAACTCGCACCTATCCAGCCTGTCCCACCATCAAAGCTTCAGATTTCTTGTCTTCATCGATGGGAACGTCTGGAGTCCGCCTCCATGGCAAGGGGGCCGAGACCCCCTCAAATGGAACATAAGACAAAATCTGGCCTTTGCAGATCAAGGGGTTCAGGTATTTCCTTATCAAGAAATCTGAACCGATCCAACGCCTCAAAAACCGGTCGATGAACCAATCTTTCCAGGAGTCCCACGTTAACTGACGCATGCTTGAGTGAGCTTGATGGTAGATGGCCTTGAGCTCCCGTGCGCGGATGTGCTGGTAGCGGGCAAATGCCTCTCTAAGTGATTCGGTGCTTGGGTTTCCGGCCGACGAGAGCACGGCTTGTTGAAGCTGATTGGCGAGTGCTACGCTTGAATGCAGGCCGCAATTGACGCCCAATCCATTGACGCTCGAGGTGCACACACTCGCGTCGCTGGTGATCACAACCCGGCCGGTATGCCAATGTTTGGCGAAGCCCTCGTTTTGATTCACCAGCCGAGCCGTGTGTTTGTGGAAGTCGGCCCAGATTTCTCCCAGTGATACCCCTGGAGCGACTGCCATGTCGAAAAGGGCCTCCGCGAACTCCTCCATCTGTTCTGCTGTATACGAAACTGGGCCAGTCATCTGCTGGGGAAGCTTCCTGTACATGATGATTCGCAACTTATCATTGTCTGCCCCCAGCTGGATGGCCCTCCCCGTGTCTCTGGTCTCGTAGAAGGTGCCGCTGGGGATCTTCTTGGTGTTGGTACCCTCGGCGTAAATGCTATAGTACTGAGAAGTTGTTGGAATATCAAACAAGGGGGTGGCGGTGGCCTCCATCGCGGTTTTGGACACGGCCTCTTCAATGTATTTCTTAGTCATACCATGGACTCCGTCGGCGCCAATCACAACAGACCCAGTCTCAACTGTGCCGTCTTCCAACTCGACCTCAACGCCTTGGTCAGTTTCTTTTATGCTCACGGCCTTGGCTCCTGTTTTGATGAGGTGTTCCCTGTTTGGAATGCTTTTGTAGAACATCTCGAGCACATCGTATCGTTGGATTGGTAGCGTGGGGTAGCCGTGCCTGGGGACCTGTCAGCAAACCTTCGAGAGAGCTTCGACATAGTGCGGTATAAAAACAGACCTTTCTTCCAGCAGATACCACATTGCATAATCACTTAGCACATAACCAGTTTTCATCATATCGATCTTCCTGTGCAGCTTGTACAAGCGCTTCTTAGCCTCGTCATAGAGCCCTATTTGGTACAGCAGTCGTATAGTATAAGGGAAGAGCAGGAGGTGATTTCCTCGCTCGAGAAAAGTAGCTGAAGCACGTTCAAGAACGACGTAGTCAATCTTCACTGCTCCAAGAGCTCGGGCCAGATACAGTCCAGCTGGCCCAGCACCAATAACAATAACACGAAACGGCTGGTCTTGCATCTTCTCGAGAGAGTAACACCAATAACATAAAATCAACAACAAGCCTGAGTATCAGAATCCGCTCCAAAGTGCGAAGGCGAGAGAAAGGAGGTTAAAACAAAGAAGGAAACCTGCTCGGAAATTGAGTTGAAGAGTAGGTAAACGTAGATACCGTATAGTTTCATAAAATTCAAGTAAAATAAGCCCCGCCCGGATCTCTATTTTTATCTATATATTATTTACTACTAAATATAAATAGATTAACAGCTTTAGATTATATCTAGCTAATCTCTTAAAAATATATTAGTTAAGAGTTAATCTAAGAGATTAGAATAGCTTCTATAAAGCTAGAGTGTTTTTTCTAAAGCTATTTAAAGCTATTTATAATATCTTTTTTATAATTAAGAGATTTTAATATAGTAGTTATACTAACTAAATACTATATTAGTTAGAAATATAAAAGCTATTTTCTTTAAAATATTCTAATTATATAAATATTTTTATATTTTCTAATAGTTAATAAATTAACTTTAAACTATAAAATAATCTTTTAAGAAGATATATAATAAAAAGAGCTAGAAAAATCTCTAAAGAAATAGTTTTAATTATTAATAATCTTTTATAATTTATTTAATAAATTTTAAATAAATAATTTATTACTTTTAATTATATTCTTATAATAATATTATCTATATAATACTTCTACTAAAACTATATTATAAATATAAATAAAATCTTTATACTTTTTAAATATCTTAATAGTTATATATATAAAATTAAAGATTTAAAAATAATAAATAGAAAATCTAATTAAAATAGATAAAATAAATATTAAGCTATATTAATTCTTTATATCTTTATAAATAGAATCTAATAATTAAAACTAAAAAAGAATAATTTATAATAAAAAGAATTAAATTTTTAAAAATAAAGATTATTTTTATTTATTTAATATTACTATTAAATTTAATAAAATAGTATATAATAATAGGAAATTATTAAGATAATAAATTTCTAATAAATTAATTAGAATTCCTAATAATAAAGAATATCTCTTAGTAATAGATATAACTAGCTTCTATATAACTAATTTTTTTTTAAGGTTTTTACTATATATAAGAAATATTCTAAGATCAGGCTATATATAACTAGATCTATATAATTTATTTTTAACTAAGTTTTAATCTATATCTAATCTTTAACTCTATTTTTTTACTTTTTTATTTATATAAGCTAAAGTAAGATAATAGTATTTCTAAAAACTCTAAGAAAAGCTTACTAAGTATATAACTTAGCTATAGGCCCTATTATATAACTAATAATATATTTTAAGATCTATAATTTTATAAGATTATAATAATTTTAATCTCTCTAGATTATATAAAAAAATTTTAATCTTTTAATATAGTAATTAATAAACTATTTAAAGATTAACTAACTAAAAAGACTTTTTACTATATTAAAAAGTATAATCTAAATAAAATAAAAAAGTAATTAGTTTAGAAAAAATATATTATAACTATTTATATTATTATAATAACTTTAAAGAAACTATTTAAAAAATCTAATTTTATTATTAATATTTTCTATTAATATAGTATTAGTATTAAATCTAATAAAAATAAAATTATAAAATCTATATTAAAGATATACTAATAGAAACTATTAATTTTAATAATTAGAAAAAAGCTAAAGAAACTATTATTAATATTTTTAAGATTATTTAACTAAATATATAATAAAGAGAAGATTAATATTACTAGTAATAATCTTATAATAGCTCTTAAAACTCTATAAATTATAAATCTAAAGAATATATTTAAATAATAAGAATTATAACTATTAGGGAATAAGAAAAATCTTTTTTAATATTTTAAAAATTATTATTATAAATTCTATTATTATATATTAAGTTATATAGTATATTCTACTTTTTTTAACTAATTACTAATAAATTATCTAGATCTTATAATAAATTTAAAATAATAGATTATTACTAAGTATTAATAATTCTCTAAGTTATTTAATTATTATATATTAATAACTTTTATTTAGCTAATTATTTTATTTTAATTACTTTTTATAAAGTTATTATAGTAAAATTATTTCTAATTTTACTAGATTAAGCTATTATTCTAAATAGTAAATTTACTTAAAAACCCTTATTACTTTAAGCTCCTATCTTTTAATAAACCTCTATTAGAATCTTAATAAATACTACTATAATACTCTCTAGCTCTACTATAGTAATTAGATAAGCTATTTATTTAGTTACTAAGAAGTTAGTTTCTAAGCTTCTAATTAAGATACTAAAATAAATTATTTTATATTATAATTAGTACTTAGTAGTTATTCTATAAATCTATAAGTATTATATTTATTTACTACTATATTTTTTTTCTCCTATTTTTTTTATTTCTTTCTATTCTTATTTCTTAATTTCTAACTAACTCTTTATTTCCTCTAAGATCTTTTACTTTTCCTTCTATTATAACTCTTTTCTCTCTCTAATATCTATATTCTTATTTCTTTAAAATTATAATTAGATTATAATATAGCTCCTACTATATAGTTATCTCCTAATCTAAATCTAGAATATTCTAATCCAGACTTAGAATACTTAGATAAATTTAATATTAATAGTATTTTTAATAATAATAGTTATAAGAATTCTAAATATAGAAGTAATAAGATTATATTAGAAGAGTTTTCTAATAATAATAAAGTAGATTTTAAAGATATTATTAATTTATTTAATAGAAATATATATCTATTAGAATACTATTAAAATATAGTAAAGAACTTTACTAAGAACTATTATAATAGTTAAGATTATAATCTAGATAGTAATATTCTCTTAGATATAATAGAAAATATATAGAAAGAGTAAGTAACTAGTTCTACTCTTAATAGTTTATACTAATAGATTTTATTTATAAGTTCTATAAGGCTATTAGCTATAATTCTAAAGTA